GAGTGGTATGATAAGTTCGGAAAAGCTTTCAAGCAAATTAAAACAATTGAAAATTCATAAAAAGAATTCATCGTTTATTTTCTGGCTCTTCTGGTGGCCTACTTGATTGACTACGAAGGGAATTTTTCTGCCTCCGACGAACCTACAGCGCATCGTTTTTGCGACTTTAGAGCCTTTAGCAGTTTGTTATTCTCAGCGCAAATTACGCATCCCTAGGGGAGACAACCGCTCCCTGTGCCTGTAGGGTGCACTTAATATGAGCACTTAAGACTACAAAGGGTTGGAGAGCCTTTTCTTAAATGTTTAGCCTAACTAAATATTCATAAAACATTTTCAGCATACAATAGCTAAGGAAATGCTGCCAGGAATAGACGAATAACGTGAAAATTAATACTGAAAAATGCCTTCAGACACCAGTTTGCGATTTACAATGTATGTATGTAGTTCTTAAAAAGTAAATCGCAAGATATTTATTGTATTCGAAAAACTACCAAATATTATTTTCATGAGACATGATTCATTCAATTGGTGGTCAAATGATTACTCATTGAGCAACAAACCTTCTAAAGGATATTATTTACAATAATCACAAAAACTGGAAACCTTTCTATAATATCCCCAAATTGGAGTTACGTAAAGTTATGTGGGATTCGTTCAAGCAAACTTTTCTTTTTTGTCGAGCATATAACTTTATAAAGAAAAGCAACTATGTTTTAAGACAGGTTTCATGGTTTTGGAAAAAAAATATTACGTGGGAATCATAATAGTTTGATATATACTGCTATATATAGCAACTACTGCATAATAGATAGGAATAAGGAGCGAATAAAATACAAAAATAATGAACTTCTTCAATAATTAATACTTAGAAGTGGATTCTATGAAAATATTAGCTGGAAAGGATAGCAGATATTACCAAAAATATTTAAGGATTACTTCCAAATGGTTCTTTTTGGCAAATTATTGTTGTATAGAATGATGTAAATGTTTGTAAAATTTAAAAAGGTGGAAACGATAGAAGAGATTTCCAAAAATATTAAGTGATTATTTTCAAATGATTCTTTTACGATAACAGAAATGTTAAAAAGGTGGAAACGATAGAAGGGATTTCCAAAAATATTGATCGCTTATTTTCAAATGATTCTTTTTCGATAACAGAAACGTTTGGAAATTGTGAAAAGGTACGATGGAAGAGATTGATTAAAATTATGGAAAAGATATATATAGTATGGAAAACATTTCCCATAATTGTTACAAATTTTATTTCAACATTTTCCATAATTTTTATCAATTTCATTTCAAAAAATTGTTCAAAATTGTTTCGTACACACCTCGCTCATCACCATGTCAATTTTATTTTTGTTTTGTCTCTGCATCTGTATCTGGGTGCTTGCTGCCTTTCACGCAAAAATATGCAATTTTATCGGTCTTTACAGATTTAACATAAAAAGCAAAGTGAAATGCGGTGAATGAAAAAAAAGAATAACACGACAGAGAGCGAGTAAGATGAAAGCGGAGAAAAACGAAAGAAAAATAGCATAGCCTGAAAGACATTTGCCAAGCACAAATGTAAATATTTATCATACCGGAAACATGCGTTGCTGCTACATCAATTTACATACTCCAGAATTCTTGGCCAAATACAGGCGCAAACACACACACACACAAACAGACGCACACACACACACACACAAACAGAAGCACATGCGTGGCAAAACTAATAGCCAGCAGCCGTTGCAGCAGACTGTCATTTTGGAAGCTTTTAGTTAATTTAAAAGTTGAAATTTATAATAAAATCCCAGCCAGCATTTGCTGTTCTGTTCATTTTGTTGCACGACCTCGTGGCAAGCTTGCAAGCACCAGCACATGACTCACAGAATTAAGTAAGACACGAAAAAATTTTGCGTTAAAAACGTGCCGACATTTTGTTGTCAGCACACACACACACACAAACAGACGCACGCATCAATATATACATACATAGCATATATACTCACTAAGCTGCCTATCAGTCGAAGAGACTGGGAAATTTAGAAAGCAGCAACGTTATATAGAGAAGGAAGCTATGGGCAGGGGCCTTGGAACAGTCGTCCATAGTTAAACTTTAGTTTTATGGCTGCAATTTAGAGAAATGTTGTATGTGTGCGTCTGTCTCTCTCTCTCTGTGTGTGTGTGTGTGTGTTTTTTTTGTTTTTCTGCCGACGCTGTCTGCGAAAATGCGACGTTTTATTTTTTCGTAAAATGTTTAGTGCCAGATATATACGATTTAAAGTACTGCGTTTAGTCCGAGATATATTACATGGCAGAGTAATATGTTGGACAGCAGTCTATGAAAACGAGAAAGTATATGCTTGTGTGTGTGTGCGTGTGTGTGTGTGTGTGTGAATTAACAATGTGACTTTAACAATGAGCTTGGGACCCTATCCATTTACTGGGGTTTTCTTTTCAAATACTCGTATGTGGTTTGTAGGGCTTACAGACACTTTTTCACGCTTAGCTTAGCACCTCGGCTATTTATTTTAAGCATGTGTTTTAGTTAACGGCTAACCTACAACTATTAAAACACAGATCGTTTACGAATTATTAAAAGCCATTTCTATTTCAAAGGCTTAAGAGCAGACTTCATTTGTAATAGAGAATATTTCTAGAATTAGGTTCCCCATTTTCTGCAAAGAGACTGCTGCTTGAATAGTCCTCATCTGATCCATCATCAAAAGAAATGATCTGCCTTTATGCACCGATGATTATGACATTATAATATCAAGTTTTAAATGAAATTATTTACTATCTTAAATATGGTATATAGTTTTGTAACTATATAAAATGGAGATTCTATATATGGTTTCTAATAAACTTGATCTGGCTTTGGATTAGTGAAGATTAGTTTTGTTTCTAGCTGTTATGGTTCAAAAGTTCTCGATGCTTATAGTGCCTCATCATATTTATTGGAGTCGAAATAAAACCAAAAACTTCCTCAAAGTCCATAGCTCTTCTTAGGGAGCTTCAACAAGGCCATGAGTAAATAAATATAATATTATGGAACTAAATCTTTTCCTTAGCATGATAGTAGAAGAAAAATCAACTGATTTGAGAGAGATTTAAGATTTCTTTGTGATTCGGTAGAACCATGGCCTAAGATCAGCTCAGTTGCATTGCTTTAATCAAATCTTACCCACTTCTTTCAGATTTTACATTAAAAAATTTAGCAGTGAGTCATTTCCTAAATGAAGGAGCCTTTTTCAAAATACTTAATGCCCAAGAAAAGGCAAATAGAATCGCCAGTTTTTTCTGTTTTTTCTTTTTAAATAAGTTTAACTTGCGACATAACTGTCTTCATTTGTTAAAAAAATTATTAAGTCGACCTCTTTCGACAGCTTTAGTTCCAAATTTAAATCGCAATCAGCATTTCTGTTTGACTTTATTGCAAATGTACTCATATGTAGCTTTTCGGATTTCATTTGGATATATAAATTAAATAACACAATGACTGTGGCTTTCAGTGAAATATGTTAATAAATACTTTTGACAGTTGCACTTGCAAATTAAATGAGTAGGCAGAAACAGAATATTTTCTGTTGACAGTCAACAAATATATAATATTTCACATTTTTTGTATACAAGCCCCGACCACTATTAATTCAATACGATGTTTATATACATATACAATATGTTTGTGCACACTTAGCTGCTAAGGATTTGCATGCATGAAATTTAATCTAAAATATGTTGATATATTGCTGATTATTTAACTTGTTTTTGCACAAAAATTCATTTACAGTACTGGCATTAAATTGTATTTATGGCATTTCTAATGTAAATGTTTTCAAAATTTTTTGTCTTTTTTATATCTGGCGATCAGAGCTATTTATTAAAAAAGCGTACATTTACGAGATTTATTTTTAAATTCTGTACTGAATTGCCTCAACTAAAGGGAATCCTTTGGTTTGTTGCCCACAAAAGCTCTCAGTCATCCATCCACCCACCTACAAATGTGTATCAGATCGAATTTAAAAACATTTATTCTCACTCCTTTTATGCCTTTAACTGTGAATGCCGCCACATCTTTGCAATATTCGAAATTGCATTGCAATCGCATCTTTGTGGAGGGGTGGCGGGTGGAGGAGGGTCGTAAAATGCGGATTGTGCACAGGCAACCTACCTTTACGGTAAACGCAGGCGCCAGCATCGTAAAGGATGGCCGCAAACCCAAAGCTATTTAAGGATGCTGCGCTCTGATGCGCTGCACAGTTAAGACTTGAACGCGCAAAAGCAAAGGTGTCCGAAGAGGTTAACACACGATACAAGCCATCTACTTATATACTCGTACAGTAGAAGTTGCTTAAACATATCCCCAAAAGTGAAAATCGAACAAAAAAACGGATAACTGTTCGTTATAGAAATTGGTGTTCGATTTCTAAAATAGAACACAGCAAAGGCTTTTTTAAAATATGGAAAAGCCCCTTTACATTTGTTACCACAGTTTTTTTCGGATATGGTTTTAAAAAGTTAAACTTATTTTTATTTTTTTAATCTTTATTCTTTATTTAAGATCTGTCCTAAGGAGGACAATTATTAAATTATATGGTAATGGTTTGTTTAATCATGCGTTCTGTCATGATGGTTGTGACGTGTTATAAACTTATTTGAAAAAGTTTAAATAAACGAAAGAACTCTTTACAGCATTTTAAAGATAAAGAAAAATAAATTGATGAAAACTGCTTTAATAGCTAAAAAGGGGAGTTCTTTTGTTGGAGGCGTTTTATTAGCCTGTCTTCTTAGCTTTGTCTTAATTGATTGCGAGTAACGCACAGAAATATACTAACACGGATTAAATCAGAATTCCATAACAATCAAGCAACAGTAACGAGACAATTTAAACAATTTAGTTTTCCCAAGGCTAGTAGTGATTTTCATTAAGCCATCCCCTTAGGTGTTCGCCTCGATGCCAAACATATAATGATGCTAAATAAACAGTTCGCTTTTATTTGTCTACTTTGCAGATAATTTGGTCAGCGCCAAGTCTATTGGGAGGAAGCACATACAATAGTATATAGGATAACAAGAGGGCATCTTAGTGGCAAGCCAACAACGATTATTGTATAATATTTGAAATCAAAGCGCTAGGGCATGACAATGTCTGGATTGCATGTGAAGCAGAAGCAAAACATGCGCACAACAGCCGTCAAAATGAAAGAGAATCGAAAGCAACAGAGCCGGCAGCGAAGCCAACGACAACGACGACAACGACAAGGAGAAGCTGTCGAGATGTCCACAGCCAAATCAAAAGTACAGGCAATACGCCAGCAGCCAGCAGCCAATTGACAATGACAAATCCGAGAAGCAAAACAGCAACTACAAATAGAGCAACTATACTCGTAGATAGAGGAGCAACGGCAAAAACTAAGCTAATGCTAATACAGAAGCGTTTTCTACATATATTATACTTTTTGCACGCTTGCTTGATGAGCCACATTAGAACTACACGTATTTGTACAAGAATTGTGCAGCAAATTGCAGCGAATGGCAGCAGCAACAGTCGCAGTCGCAGCAGCAACAACAACAACAACAACAACCAAATGCAGCAGCAACAGCAACAACAACAACAAGAGATGTCGCCAGTTCGCTCAGGAATTTGCATTATAAGACTGATAACATTAAAGAGCATTCTAGATTTTCTGACAACAACAACTTTTAGCACATGGCCAACAACAACAACAGCAACAGCAACTACAGCGGGTAACAAGGCCACGCATACAAAACACAATCAGCAGCAATCAACGCATCGGAAGCAACGCTGCCAAACGTATTTTTCACAGTTATCGCATTTCCGACAGGAAGCAGCAACAACAGCAGCAACAACAACAACATCAGCAGCAATCCAAAGCTCTGCACCTGGCTGGGAAGCACAGGTGGTTGTTGCTGGTAGCGACGACGCTTCAAGTTCTCTGCGTCCCATATTAAGCGTCGCTTCTTTTCATTCGACTCGTGGCCACCATTTCGGCCCGACTCCTTCGTCGATGCTGCAACGCACTTTGCTGCTGTTGCTGCTCCTCTCCTCCTTGTGGCACAACTGTGAATGCTTCCACGGAAGCGTCAAGCTGAGCAGCAACACGGTGAAAACCAAATACGGCCTTCTGCGCGGCATTGTTGTGCGCTCCACGCCACTGGTCGAGGCTTATCTTGGCATACCGTATGCATCGCCACCGGTGGGCAGTCTCAGGTGAGTACACTGTGCGAAAACTTATGCTAAATAAACAAAAACAAAAGTCGACAAACGCATGCCAAGTTAAACACGAGTTATTGTCTTTATCTGGCCGGCCAATATTCTTGTTACTTATCGAACATCCGCTTACAGGCAAACTTCTATAGATCGCACAATAGAAAAATTCATGTTTTACAATTACACCTAATTCTGTTTTTACACGGTAGATTGATTCCTAAAAAAGTCGTTGATTCCTGGAAAAAGCGGTGATTGGTTCCTTATCTCTAAAGAAATATAGTATATATCAAATATTTAATTTTCAAACCGTGTTAAATCAAAACCGTGTAAATAAAGTACGTGTAACAACAGTATTAGGTGTACTTTAATTAGTTTATGTGTTTATGTGTTTTACAACACAGCCTAATTGTTTATTTAAATAATCACTGATTAATATTGATGATAAATAGGCAGCTAAACTAAAAAAAGAAAGCCCAAGCAGAAAGCAGTTCTAACTTCTTCCATTCTTCTGTTAAGATGGGAATAATTAGAGATAATTAACAAGGCTCTATTTCACTATTAATGGAAATAAATGCAAACAACTTTCATAAAAGAAAACATAATAATAATTATTAGTTATAAAAATCAAGATAATAAAAAAAAAACAATAGATGGCAATTTTTTTTAATCTAAAGAATTTTATAAGATTTTTTATGTCAAGAAGAAATGTCTCCTCCTCCTCTTACAGCATAATGTAATTGGATTAGATATTTTAAAAAATTTTGTTCTGCAACTTTAAACTTGTTTGCTATGAAAAGAATGTTCAAAATCGATTAAAATATATTTTCCAAGATTTAAAATCTGCTTTAGGCTTATACATATATTCAGCTGCACACAAAGTACTAAGCCGTTATTGGAAAATCAATCCAATTTGTTTAAATACGCATTCATACCTGATTTACAAATCGGAAATGTGTTTAGAATATCTTCAAATGAAAAACCATATGTCTAGATTGTAAATAACAAATTTTTTTAATTCTGAAGACTTTTAAAAGATTTTTAATGTCAAGAAGAAATGTCCCCTTCTTTTCTTAAAGCATAGCATAATTGGAATAGGTATTTAAAAAATTTTGTTCTGCTACTTTAAACGTGTTTGCTATCAAATAAATTTTCAAAATCGATTTAAATATATTTTCCAAGATTTAAAATCTGCCTAGGGTTTATTCATATAAGACGTGATTGGAAAATCAATCCAATTTGCTTAAATGCGCATTCAAAACTAATTAAAAAATCAGAAATATTTTTAGAATATCTTAAAATTAAATAGCATATGCTCATTAATTTTAATTTTATGCTTAAAGTATGGCATATTAAGCCATCCATAAAGTACTGAGCCGTAATCGGGAAATCAATCTAAGTTGTTCAAATTCGCATTCAAAACTAATTCAAAAATCAGAAATAAAGTACTGAGCCATAATGGGAAAATCAATCTAACTTCTCCAAATTCGCATTCAAAACTAATTCAAAAATCTGAATTACATAGGTTAACATAGGTCCTTACCGTAAAGTCTGGCATATTTAAACCAAGTGCAACATTAAATACCAGTCCTGCAATTCGAGAAATAATTTCCTGCTTTCGTGCAGGAAATGAAATATTATATAGAGAAAATACAAAATTGAAGTATAATTTTTAATTAAATTGTATTTTACGTCCCACCCCAAATTTGAGCGAGTTGATAGAAAAAACGATGAAAAGTGACCTACTTCATCCTCGCAGTGTATGTACAGAGAAAGCTCAGTGGTGCTATATTTACAAGATTACGTGTCATGGGTCGCGCCATGGGTCGTGGCTGCTGCTGAGTGCTGGCCCATTCGTTACACCCGATGCCTTGTCACCGGCTGCCGGTAATATCGTGCACTTGCAGCTTAGTGGCGCCCAACACAGGGCCGGAGGCGTTGCATGTGTGCGTGTGTATGTGTATATGTGTGTACGTGTGTACGTGTGGCTGTGGGCGTGTAACTTTAGAACTTATGAACGCGCTGTGAAAACTTTGTCGTGGTCTGGCAAGCAATTTTAATAATTATTTTCATGAAATATATATATATATATCTTTATAAATGCTATATGTATGTGTCCCTTACTTGGCCGGAGCGTGCAAGTGGCACCATTTCCAAGCATTAGTTAAGTCCGAGCATTGTTTAACAAGAGCAAACTCTAAGCCTTTGTCCTATGCACGGCTCCTGATGAAGCTATAAAGGTGAATTTCTGCACAATACGCCTCTCGGCAACAATTAGCAGTTAGTTATTAGATTTTAATACTGGGAAAAAATAACATCACACACCCACACCATACCTATGACTAAAACATGAGTTCTGCGGGTCAGCGTGTACAGCATAAATTGAAAGTTTTGTGCATAAAAACACAAAGTAAATTTTATACTTAATTACAACAAACTTACTACAACAATGTTTATGTTTTCTTTTTTAAACTTGAGATTATGTTATTTCTGCGAAGCGAAATGCAACATTCCCTCTTAAAACAAATTATACCACAAAAAAAGATTTAATAGTTAGTAACTACAAGTACATTTATCTTTTTAAACCGCTTTCAAATCTAAAACACATAAATACATACATACAATTTCAAATTGGTTTTTTGTTAAAATAGCTTGTTGTTTAATTGACTGAAAGGTCATAGCAAACAGGGTTTTTATTTGCATAAACAAAACATAACGAGAATTTAATGTAGTTTTTTGTTCAAATATTTAAATCCTTTAATATCCTGTAGACCTATAAATTTATTGATTGGTTTTTTACTTAGGTATTTGTTAAATTGTCTGAAAGGGTATAGCTAACAATTTTTTTTATTTGCCCAAACATAACATGAATTAAACGTTCTTTGTCAATTATTTAACGCATTAAATATTCTATAGACTTATAAATTAAATTGGTAAACGGGTATTAAAACTTCGTAATCAACTGTTGAAACCTACTTCTTCATACGCAGACTTTCTTAACTCAACTCGCTTTTGTGCCATTTTAAAGTTATAAGTAGTGGTCTGCTCTCCGTTAATAATAATATATTAAACAGTTCAATCCATATTTATTTAAATTTGGGGGTTTGGGTATTGCCTGAATTATAAACATTAAAGCTACTGGTTGTTTTTCCCAAGCATTTCTCGTTAAAAACAAATAATACAAAAGAAATCAGAAAACATGTCATTGATGATTCAATTATTGAATAATTTCGTTTGGCATTTATTTTTACCAACCTGGGTATTGGAAATAATATTTAATTAGGCATGGACTTTATAAAATAGCAAAGAGCTTACGTCTTAAAGTTTTAATTCTTAAACTCAACTTTTAATTGCTGTTTTGGTTGAAAAGATCACAATCCTTCAGAAACAGAATCGAAACCAATTATATTAAAACTTCTGGTTGCCGGCTGATCGATACTTTATTAGTGCTAATTAAAAGTGTTTAATAAACATTAACCAACAATAAGAGTTAGGTAGTTTTGTCGCCAACAAAAGTTATAAGGAATCAATGCTGTAACTCAAATTTAATGCTCAATTAAGCGGCGCTTTTAATCGATTCTTCCTATAGCAGCTATATAGTATGTTCCAGACTAAAAACAGTCCACGATTTTAATTCAAAATATAGTTAAAAAATAACTATGTATGCTTTAATGTGTTGAAAGCAGTTACTTAAAGGGAAAAAGAAAATAAAATTCTTGGGCCATTTATTAAAAAAAAACTGCTTGTGTAGCGGTGAACAAATTTTGAATACAAAACCAAATAAATAAATGCCGCCAGACAGAATTTATTTAATTTAAAACTCATTACAGCTAATTCTGTTTTTACACGGATTGGTGGCAGAAACAACAGTGGAAAAAAAGACTTTGATCATAGGCAAAAATAGGTGATTGGTTTCTTATCTCTAAATATATATACAATTTTTAAAATTTCAAGACGTGTTATATTAAAATCGTGTAAAAACAGAATTAGGTGATTTAACTACAGTAACTAAGTTTTGATTGATTATTTGCCTTAATTTTATGATGGATTTCCAATTAGTAAAGAATTGATAGGAGAAAAGGTGTTCAATAAATCCTTCGATTCAACTTGTAACTCAAATAAAATGAGAAAAGTTGACAACCCTGACTCTACGTAACTACTAAAAGTAAAAGTTCATATCTTGCTGATTGCCCTGCTTTCACACCTAACACCTGATCTGTTGCTCTTATAAGGCAAGCTAAACCATTGTTTGCGCTCGGGAGGAACTCCCCAGCAACTTGGCAAAAGGCGCGACAAATTGCTCGCACGGTTCTCGAACCGCATACAGACAAGGCATGACCGCCATTTAGATATGCCAGGAGCATGTCTTACGCTACTTTCCCACCGCACCGAACCAAACTAAAACTTGACTCGTTAAACAAACGCAAATCGCACAGTCGTCCTCGCTATCGCTCTATCGCTGCCATCCTTGTTGCGCTCACCGTGGAAATAAAGGAAGAAAACTTTGCTAAGCCATTTCAGCAGTTTGTCCCATTAAATGTCAGACGACTCAAGTAAAGTAAAGTTTCTCAGTTATATTATCAAAAGTTTCTCACAGGCACTTATGCACATGTCTGTACGCATGTATCTGAGCTATGTATGTAAATGTGTATTGTGTACATATAAGTAGTACGTAGTATGTTCAGATCTACTTGTACGTATAGTATATGTATCTGTATATATCTGTGTATGCAGCTGGCGGCTTTTGCTCTTAGTTTTATGTGCTCGGCATGCACAACAAGTGTATTTGATGAAGTGATTGGAAAATGTATGGCCCAAACCCACTCACCACTTCATATTTACACACCTTTCCTCCACACCTTGCCACCACCTTTTTGCAACAATTGATGAAAATTGCTCTTTAATTACTTCCTCTAGCAAAATGTTTTTGTGTGCTGCCATCAGGCATCAGGCAGAGAGACTCTTATGAATACCTCATTATCATGCAGCAACAGATGTGCAAAGTGAGCAACAACAACAACCACAACACCAACAACCACAATAATAATACCAATAACGACAACGACAACGACAACTCCAGCAACCGAACTTAATCAAATGCCAGTCGACTTAGCCACAAGACACGTCGCAGTCCTCGTCGTCATCCACTTAGTTGACTGACTGGCTGGCTTTCGAATGATTCACATTCAGTTGGCATTCGATATGGTTGACACAGAGTGGAAAGAGGAGGGACGAGGCAGGGGCAGGGGCAGGCAGCATAAAACGTGATTTTTGACTAAATTTATTTACTCTGGTGCTGACACTTGTGCTAATGCTGGTGCTGGTGCTGATGCTGCTCCTCTGGCTGCTGCTGTTGTTGGCTCTGACGAAAGCCAATTAATCATTTTGGCCAAGCGCATCTGTCGCCAAAGTTCCTAATCAAAAAATCACAAATTATTGATACAAAAGCTACAATGGCATCAATTCGAATTAGTCTGTGCTAATTGAAAACGACTCTATCGTAGTAGTAGTACTGACGTATAACTAAAAAACAAACTCGGCTCTTTCGACACAGCATTGATGTCACAAAATATTTAATTCTTAGCTTCACAAGAGCTTTTTATAGCCTGTACCCAAAGGGTGAAAGGCTATACTAGTTTTGTGCGCATGTATGTAACACACAGAAGGAGGCGTGGCAGACCCCACAAAGTATATATATTATTGATCAGGATGAGAAGCCGAGTCGATATAGCCTTGTCCGTCCGTCCGTCTGTCCGTCTGTCTGTCCGTATGAACGCAAGGATCTCAGAAAGTATAAGAGCTAGAATAACCAAACTTGGTTTCCATATTCTCCTAAGGCCGAGAAAGTACGAGTTTGAGTTTTTTTTCGATGCACCCCCCCACTCCCCCGCAATTCGTGTTTTTTCTTATAACTTCCGTAATTCTCGGAATTTTGAAATCAATTTTGGTAGGTACATCCAGTTAGTACTAATGTGTCCGTGTGCCAATTTCATCATGATAGGTCAATTCTGTAGAAAGTTATAGCCATAAGTAAAATCGCTGCTCATGCGCTGCCTCTGTCGGCAGCACTGCCCGCAGCTGTTGTTGTTGTTGCTGCTTTGGTTCAACTTTGTGCTGAATACATACACGCATATGAACACGCATAGGTACGTGATGTAAATGTATGCTGTTAAAACTGAACATAAACATGTATTCTAATTTAATTAATTAATTCATTCATTCATTTTTTTAATAATTTAATTTTTTTTTTAATTTTTTTTTTTAATTTTTTTTTTAAAATTTTTTTTTTTTTAATATTTCTTTTTTGTGGAGAGTACAGGCTATTTTACTGTCGGGCTTGCTCGACTGTAGCGTTCTATCTTGTTTTATATTGCTATTAAATCAAGAGCCTGTTGCTGTAACTGTTAATCAGAATATGACGATGGAGATGAATTGGACATATCATAAGCAGAAGCCACAATGATAAAAGCCGAGCTGCATTAGATTGGAATCCCCAGGGTAGTAGAGGAAGAAGAGAACGGTCTACAAAGAATCGTAATTACTAAATATTTAATTCTTAGCTCGTCAAGAGCGTTTTTATATTGCTATTATATTGCTATTTAATCAAGAGCCTGTTGCTGTAACTGTTAATCAGAATATGACGATGGAGATGGATTGAACATATCTTGCTGCATTAGATTGGAATCCCCAGGGTAGTAGAGAAAAAGGCCCCGCAATACCTGGAGTAGAACTGTGCTTGCCGAATTGGTTAACATTGGAACGCCACGGGCACAATTAAAAACATTAGCTCTAAAAAGAATTAGATTTCGTAGTTTGGTTTAAACCTTAAGCTTTCAAGTGAAGTGAATAAAGGGATATAATTCGTTGATTAACAATTAAGCTCGTCACTTGGGAATAGAGAATAGGGAATATGTTTTGAATAGATTGCTTCAAAGCCATGGTCAGACACAATAATTTCAACACAAATTGCAGGGACTGTTATCATTATAACTCAAGAGTTATTATAAAAATTACAAAATAATGTGTTTTTTTTTAACTTAATTCATTAGCTCATAATATAATGATTAACTTTGAGTTTTTCTTTACAACTATAGTAAACTCAATAATCATTATATATAATGGATGCTAATATAATGATTAATATTGCATTTTTCTAATTTCAATAATCATTATTTTCGAGCAAAAACATAAAACTCATAAAATAGTGATTACTCTTTAAGTTTTATTTATTTGATCACAAATAAACCTCAAGCTGTATTTATCCTTGCCTTTTTCATAAGGAATAATTACAAAACATATATATATCCGTAAACAATATGCCAAGACAAACCCCTATGGTAAAGCTAAAAAACACATCACTAAGCAAATATTTTCAGACAAAATAAAGCTCAAAGAATAATCATTTTTTTATTACTTTTATTTTTTTGCACAAAAATATTATTAATCATTATTTTATTACTTTTATTTTTTTGCACAAAAATAATGATTATTATCATTATTTAATTACTTTTATTTGCTTGATTATTAGTTAAGTTGTTAAGTAGAATTCAAAATTAATCATTACATTTTGAGGCAATGAATAAAAATGAACATTAAATCATGGTGAAAATGCATAGATAGTCTTAAAAAAGAATAAGTTCCTGGCCTCTCAAATTTAAAATATATAAATTATTTTTTCTTAAAAAAAGAAACAAAATTATCATCATTTGCTGTCCCTGCAAATTTGTCAAACTCCTCAGCTGCTTAGTAATTTGAATGCTGATTTATGATAAAAACTAACACACACATTTCCAACTTAAATGATATCCTTAAACACTACAACTAAGAGGCATCGATCAGCATAATCAAATCCATATCTCATTTCCCCCTTTTTGTGGAGCATTACAAGTGTACATATATGTATTAGGTATCAACAGATATTTTTTATACCATATCCATTTACTGATATCTTCAATAGCCTCATCGATTACCCTCTTTCAGATTTAAGCCCAAGATAGTCTGTCACCAACACTTATAAACAAATACACACACACACACATACATAGGCAGGGGTGTAATATTATCTAAGCCCGTTCTTTTTTTTTTTCAATGCAAAACCTGCTGATTTATTTGACAATAAATCCTATTTGCCGCCATTGTGCTTCACACAGCGACTGTCGGCAGGCCTGGAACTGATTTGAGGTATTTTTGGGGCTGGGCGGAGTGGCAGCATAATGCTGAAAAATTGCTACCATTTTTGTTGTTGTTGTTGTTGTTGTTGCTATGCCACAAAATGTAAGCTTTTTGTCAACCGGTCCATTGTTTCAGGCTGAAAGCAAACTGGGAGCCGAGCAGACGAGTGAGCGTAAAATCGGAAAACAATAAAAACGTTTCGCGTCAATTATCGAGTCATAAAATCAACATACGAGCCTTGGAGCGACGTCGCGTCGATTCTTTTGATCGATGGATTTCGACGTAAAACAATAAAATGCACAATTAATCAAAAACAGTACCGATTTTGATTGATGGGCTGCACTTAGTTTTCCTCCCTTTTTTGTTGTGTTTTACGAGCGCACAGGACGCACAAATCTTCTCAGCTCGAATCAAATCCTTTTTCCCTTACAGCTCCTTTCATTGCACCTAAATATATAGTATATATATACTATGTATAGTATATGAACTTGTGTAGATATGTTTGGTGTGAATGCTTGTTGATTTTGTGCTTGTGTTGACTTTTTTTCAGATTTATGCCACCCATAACGCCATCCACATGGAAAAACGTTCGCAATGCGGATCGATTCTCGCCCGTCTGCCCACAGACCGTGCCCATCCCGCCAAATGGACCAGAGGCCCTCCTGGAGGTGCCACGGGCACGTCTCGCCCAACTGCGACGTCTGCTGCCGTTGCTCAAGAACCAATCGGAAGACTGCTTATATCTAAATATCTATGTGCCATACGAAATGCGGCGCTTCAGACGTAAGTCCCTTACAATCTTTCACAAAACATCTGAGTTTTCCTGGAACACAGCTGGCTGCACAGCTTTCAATTCCGTAGTGCATTGCAGTTGAAATTTAAAAAGCACTGCAAGCGCTGCGGAATCGGCATCTATACAGCCCCCAACAGCAATTAACTTCAATTAAATAATTTGTAACTAGTTATTGAAGTTGGTTTATTATTATACTGATCCTGATAAGTGAATGAAAAAAAAATATGGGCAACTGAAAGATTTGTTGGATAAATATTGTTTACTAATTCGTGATAGTTTAAGAATTTTTGGATTTGTGAATATCTGCCAAAGATGTAATATATTTTTTTAAAAAAACTTGTAAAGTTGTTTGATAATTGAACTGTAGAATGAGCAACAAACCAAAAATTTCGTTTGATTGTCTCCATCAATATGTTTCGTGTCGTGCTAGTATTTCAAAAATCATCTTAAAACTAAAATGCAATCCCAACACTGTTCTGGGTTTTGACAACGCTTTTTATACACCTATTTCAATGAGCGATCATATTAAACCCGGAAATAGTTCGGAATTGAAATAACCCGACGTTAAAAGTTTGTATATGGTTCGGAAATTCGAAAATAACTCACAGAACTCAAGCAAATCAAGTGTCTCCAATTTATTTATACAATTTAGAATATCAAAATAAACACTTGGAAATTAATATCCTATCCGAATGCTATCCTAATCTACAAAGAATTAGACGAGCCCTAATCCAAAAAAATAAGCTCCTTTTAATTTATAAAAAATATTTAAGCCAAAATCAATAATAGAATGGTATCCCGATCGTTGCAAGTTATTAAACAAAAATTCTATAATAATAAAATAAATTTGAAGAAAAAATATTATACAAATTTTTTTTTCTATAGAATAATAATACGATCAACTTTTTAAACAAAAAATAATTAAAATCATTAAAATAAATTATGAGTAAACAAAAATATGTTTCATAAAAGAATCCCCAACAAACATAACCACAAGTATATTCTCTTAACAGTTTAATTCGAAGTGAAATAATCATATATAGGTATTATACAAGTATACTAGACTCTGTGAAAAGTAAACCAATAATATAAGCTCTAAATTTTTGATTGGCTTTATTTATGCCCCTTATTAATTGCAGGTTACACCCCTAATAGCGGCGAAGCGACAAATGCTGATACTGGTCCGAAGCTCTCAACCGTGGTCTTTATTCACGGTGAATCATACGACTGGAACTCAGGGAACCCCTACGATGGGTCCGAACTGGCCACACACGGTAATGTCATTGTAGTGACAATCAACTTTCGCTTGGGCATTTTTGGTTTCCTGAAAACCGGCGGCAAGGAAAGCGCCCAAGGCAATTTTGGTCTAATGGACTTGGTGGCCGGTCTGCATTGGCTCAAAGAGAATCTGCCCGCATTTGGAGGAGATCCGCAAAGCATAACGCTAATGGGTTATGGGACAGGCGCCGTCTTAGCCAACATATTGGTGGTATCCCCCGTGGCCAGTGGTTAGAATTTACTTGATGCTTGGAATTATTTTGAAGCGTTTAAAGATGGACTTAATTACAGATCTTATACAGCGTACGGTTCTGATAAGCGGAGCCGCCCTATCACCCTGGGCCATTCAGAAGAATCCTTTGTTTGTGAAACGACGCGTAGCCGAACAAACCGGCTGCCATGGTGATATGCTCTACGATGATCTGGCCCCTTGTTTGCGAACCAAAACTGTGGCCGACCTGCTGGCCGTGAAAATCGATCATCCGCGGTAAGCATAAATAATCAGAAAGATTTTCTTTAAAATAAATAAATTCTATATCTTAGTAATGCACACTAAGATCAAGCAGAAAGATTGGCCGAACATTAAAATGAGAATTCAATTATTATTAGTTCCAAGATAAGATCAATTGTTCAAGCTATTTGCAAGTCCTTTATTACCATTCAAACAAACGAAAGGACATGCCTAAATCCATGGAATGTCTACGAGGTAGCCTCCTTAACAATCTGTGGTTAGAATGCGTCCTTGTTGCACGTTTCATTGTCACAATTAATTTAATCCACAACTAGGTTATTGTGCAGATTATTTTAAGACACCTATATCCAAGTAATTAAAACTTAACGACTTAAATGGAGATCAAAACTATATTATGAATGACCTTTAGAGCTCGAATATTAATATTTTAATAACGACTTAAATGAAGATCAAGACTATATTATGAATATGTTTTTAAACCTTATAACGACTTAATTGGGGATCAAAACTAAATATATTATAAATAGAGAATGGGTAGACTTTTAGAGCTCTAATATTAGTATTTTTTGAGATTAACTGAAAATAATCCACTATTATTATCTTCCAGTTTCCTCGTGGGCTTTGCACCTTTTGTCGATGGCACTGTTATATCGCCCAGCGTGGAATCCATTGGCCCCACTGCATTGCCCATGGGTTCAGCTATTGTTAGGTAAGACTTTAACTAAAACATGAAAATATTCGCTAATTTCCTTCTGCAGTACTTCAGGAATTGAATATGCAAACTTTCCAAAACGTGACCTCATATTCTGCCTTACATCTGTGGAGTCGTATCTGGATTTGAGCGCACAAGACTTGGAATTTGGCTTCAATGAGACAAGAAGGGATCGCATTTTACGGACATTTGTGCGCAACAATTTTCATTACCATTTAAATGAAATTTTTGCGGTCTTAAAGGTAGGGTTTTCATATTGACGAAGCAGCTATTCTATAATTTCTTTTATTATAAACCAGATTTTTGAATACTCTTTCTTTATATAAAATCTATAAATCGATGTGCTAATTTTTGAATACACTTTTGTATATATAGTTTTTTTTTACAAACATTGTCAATAAAAACAATATAAATGTTAAAAGGCTAGGAAAGCCTATGTTGGATTTTGAAATAAAAAGAAAAAGGAAAATTAATTAAAATCTAATTCCCCCTTTTTCATATAAACTTTTTTTAATCAATATAAAAGTTATAAAAATAAAGCCTTATAGGTTTGGAAAGCCGGTTTTATTCTTAAAATTTTCAAAATAAAAAGAAAAATTAAGAGAAATTAATTAGAAGCTAATTCCTACTTTTTCATATATATTTTTTTTAATATTTTATCTTTGTTTTTTTTTTAACAATGTAAAAGTTATAAAAAAGTTTTATAAGCTTAGAAAGCCGGTTTTATTCTTTAAAATTTCAAAATAAAAGGAAAAATTAGGTGAAATTAATTAGAAGCTAATTCCCACTTTTTTATATATTTTTAATTTGTTTTTTTTAATCAATATAAAAGTTATAAAAATAAAGCCTTATAGGAAAGCCGGTTTTATTCTTAAAATTTTCGAAATAAAAGGAAAAATTAGGTGAAATTAATTAGAAGCTAAGAAGGGGGAATTTTAAGCTAGTCCGGCAAGCTATTCCCCGTCTCTTAACCGTATGTGGTCAGAGAATCCGGAGATGGCTGGAAAAGGAAGCTTTTGGAAAGGAGAGAGGCTTTGAAACTGCTACTACAATGTTGACTTTAAAACTGTCTTCCATAAATATACATAACTCATAACTTTTAAAAGGCTTTTTAAAGTGTATATTTTTAGTTGGTTTCCTTTAGCTTTTACGGTTCAAAAATTCGCAGTCGGACAGACTTGCTTGTCTTGACTCTCTATTCTTATAATAATTCTACCTATAACATGGGGTCAACCACACCTCCTTTTGCCTGTTAAGTACATTTAACGTTTATATAGCCCATTTATTAGCCCATTCAAATTTCCGGTGCAACACCCATTTTCTATTGTATTTTACTGAATTGCTCTCATTTCGAACTCACAGAACGAGTACACAGACTGGGAGAAAGCCATACGCAATCCATTGAGCTCCAGAGATGCAACTTTACAATTTTTAAGTGACGGGCACACGGCCTCTGCGCTTATTAAGTTGGGCTATATGCATAGTCTGCGTGGAGGACGCACCTATTTTCTGCACTTTAAACACAGAACTGTAGAAGAGGAATATCCACAGGTAGTCAGTCAACTGCAGAGCAAAATGTGGTCTAAGGAGTTTAAAATTGTTTGAAATTGCAGCGCACTGGTTCCGTGCATGGCGAAGATGTGCCTTTTTGGTTAGGTTTACCCGTTTCACCGCTATTCCCACACAACTATACCACTCAGGAGAGGCAAATCGGTCGTCTAATGCTCCGTTATCTGGCCAACTTTGCCAAAACTGGGTAAACTTTTAATTGCACTTAGCCCAAAACTTTAACTGCAGCTTTCACAATCCACCCACATTTCAAACAGCAATCCGAACCAATCGACAATTAAGGCCACATCGCCCACAGCTAGTGCCAGAGCAGCCACATTGCCAACTCATCCACAAGCGAAGCGAGCAACTGAGACCTACAATGATGCCCTAAGTCTGGCCGTGCTCTATAACCAGAGACGCAGCAATGCGATGCACGAGAAGCGCTCCCTTTACCGGAGACGTCTGCGCAGCAACGATGCCGCCGCCTACACACAACTGGGCCTGGGCAATGAGCACGAGGTGGGCAGCTACGACGGCGACGAGTTGCCCTTTTGGGATGCCTACGATGTGGTCAACCAGCTGTACATCGAACTGGGTAAGATCATTCGTAATTCCCACTCTATCCTAAGCTCATTCTCATGCCCCACCATCAGGTAACAAGGCGAACATTCAGAGTCATTATCGAGGCCATAAGCTATCCATGTGGCTGAATCTGATACCACAGCTCCATAGGCATTTCAACATAAATGATCAGTCCATGCGCCATCACCAGTTTCAGGATGACATCAACAACAGGGATCTGTATGAAGGTAGGAGCGAACCACAATACAATTGTATGCAATTTTTCCTCCAACCGATTTTCTTCAAAATCCAGGAGTGGTGCGTCCCCAGCTGCAAACGAAACCACCAGACGATGATAGTGCGATCTTGGTGCAAACAGCCAGAGCTACAGTTGCTCCCAATAAGAACGATAGTCAGAACTCAACGATTGCTTTGAATGCAGCCACCACAGGAACCACGACAACAGGTAACCTCACACTAACACTTAATACTACGTCCTATAAAGCAATGGGAATAGTCTGATCCAAAACATTGCCAGATTAGCCAAACAGAACACCTCATTTCATTGTTATTTTTCTGCAGAGTGCGGAATCGATGGAGCCATGTCCGTGTCTGAGCTGACCACCACGCAAGCGCCCAAGGATAATCGCACACAGATCCACGTCGAGACCCAAAAGGACTTGGCCACCGCTTCGACGGGCATCATAGGCAACCTGGAGCTGTTGCGTCGACTGAGTGGCAAACAATTTCAGAGTTATACCACAGCATTGATAGCCACAGTGGCTGTCGGTTGCTTTCTCCTCATACTCAACGTATTGATCTTCGCGGGCATTTATCACCAGCGGGAGAAACGCGCACGCGATGCCAAGACCAAAGAGGAGCTACAGGAGGGTGATAACAGCAAGAACTCGAGCATGCTCAAGCTGAACGCGCTGGGAATGGATGGGGGCAGTGGTGCTGGTGGTGCAGGCAATAGCAGCGATGCGTATACCCTGAGCGGCAACAGCGGCAAGGCGGGCGTCCTCTTTGGCGAATACAGTTGCTATGATGAGAAGACGAAGCAGATAAAGGAGGAGAAACTACTGGTGGAACTGCCACCACCGTCCTCGACACAAACCACACTCATTATGGACAGTGTGGGCACCTGGGCGGCCTGTTCCACCAGCACACTGGACCTGCTCAAGACCAAGCATCATGGGACTGAAAGCCTAACACACTACAACAGTGGAGTTAGCGGTGGCGGTGGTGGTGGAGGAGTTGAACAGGAAATGGTCTCGTACACTGCTCTACCCCTGACCACCGTGCTGGAGGCCAGCACCTCGGCAGCGTCCAGCAAGCGGGGCTCCTTTGTGGACAACAGTGGCACCCAGTTGAACCAGCAGTTTGATTATGCCGTGCAATCGTCCGATCAAATGTCCTTCAAGGCCATTGAGGAGGCAGTAAAGGCTGCCTCTGTGACTGTAGACTCCGAGATAATGAGAGACGATGATATACCAGAGCCCCCGCCACCACCTCGCTCCTTCTTGGCTGCCCAGCAACAACAACAACAAATGGGCGGCATACTTCGTCAAACAAGCGGACCCGGTGGTGCGACCTCCTCGACAAGTGGCAAAAAACGTGTACATATTCAGGAAATCTCTGTCTAGCGTGTAATTCCCTTCTCTATTTAATTTTCAGGCTTTACGAACTGTGAACTTTATGTTCTTCGCGCTGTTTTTCAATGTGTCGTTAGGTTTGAATAGGAAAATGCTTTCAAAACTCTCATTAATGTCTGCTCTCTCTTTGTACATATGTCGTCTGTTTATCCGTAAACCATCGGGGATACATAATTTTAATTTATAAAAAAACGCTCTCTCTTTAAAACCGAAATTATGTGTTCCTAATCAACAGTTGAACCTTTTTTACCATTTTCGTTAGTTTTTTCTTTAATGACACATTTCTATCCGATATCGACTATTGCCGAATAATATTATATATATTTCAATTTCCCTTTAATTTATTTAATACTTCATTTATGGAAAATGAAAAACCTCTGTTAAAGTTAGATAATTCAAATGTGTTAAAGGTGTATGTTTGTACATTATGTAAATGTTCCTTGTAGTCGTATATGTCGCGTTTATAAAGACAATTATAGAGAGACATATATGTATGTATCTGAGTATTCAATTCATTGAAATTGTTTTACAGGTCATTTATTTTCTTGCGTGTGTATAGTTTTATGTTCTTTAATATTGTATGTATGAATAAGATTTCAAAAATAACTAAATTTGCTTGTTATTTAATAATTAGCGAAATCAAAATAATGTAACAAGTTTTTAATTATTTATAACACCTATTATACATATATTGTACTTAATGTATTGTAAAATATTGACTCTATTTGTATGAAATACATACATATATAATAATATACAGACAAATGACTCTTTCTCCTCGATATTGAAGGGTAACGATTCTTATAGGAAGCGCCGAATAACTCTCTTGTTATTAAAAGTATGTTTTTCATACAAAGACCTTATTAGATTGTTCTCAATACCCAACTTTAGAGTCTGGAACTAAATATGGCAAGCCAATTTTAATAAACTTAGGATTATGGCGAACATATTATAGGACTAGGATATAGTATTTACCTTAATGTGCCTTACAACAATAACTTTATTCGTTCAATATCATGGGCAGCGAATTATATATATCTTATCTATCTGTTTTATGCAAAAATTCCTTCTTCTATGACAGCTATATTTTTTTAATATAGTGTCTTTTTAATATAGTGTTTAATATAGTGTCTGCCCTTTGTAGTCTCGACATATGTCAAAAAAGAAGGCTTGAAACAGGCAGATAGACATAGATTTGAATTCCTCTTGGCAGGAATTATATTAAGTTCATTTGTGGCTGTTATATACAACGCCACAGCAGTAAACATTAGAAATAACAGTTATTTAAATGAAGTATATTTGCAAATCCACATTTATTATTGCCAAAAATGCTAGCTAAAAATTATAAACTTAGCACCAACCTGTTCTTGCTGCTGGATATTTTCGATTTTTCTCAGCGGCGGGTGCTTTAATTTTTTCCGCTGGTTTCCAATCTGCACCACAAGTTCCGCCGGTTTTATCGACATGCCGAAAGGCGTGCAGTAACCGCAATGTCTCATCCACTGAACGTGCCACATTCAAACTATTAATGGTCGAGTGGCGCAATATGCCGCGAGAATCGATGATAAAAAGTCCACGAACGCTGTGACCCAGGTCAGGCATATAGACGCCATAGTCCCGACTGATCTGATGATTTAAATCGGAAAGCAGAGGTATGCTTACATCGCCCAGACCACCCTCCCTGCGCGAAAATTGCATCCAGGCCAAGTGGGCGTGTGGCGAATCGACGCTACAGGCTATCAGCTCGGCATTCTGTCTTCGAAAGTCTTCAATTCGATCGGAGAATGCCGCAATTTCGCTGGGACACACTGTTGTGAAGTCCAGGGCGTAGAACACAAGCACAACATAACGTCCGATATATTGAGAAAGCGTTATGCGGGCTAATTCCTTGTTGATCACGGCTGTGCCTTCAAAATACGGTGCCGGTTCTGATACAATTGCCCTCGTGTATATGCCCAATGGGTATTTGTTGTCCGGTTGCTCATTGGGAATGTACATTTGGGTGTTCGCCAGACCACCACTATGTTGTGTAGTGCGCGCCAATATGTTAAGTATTAAAAGCATAAGCAATGCCAATGACTTGCATAGTGACTGCATGGGATTGAGACTCCGACTCCAGCTTGGAGTCAATTGGGCTAAAAATAATCTTCTAAGATGCATCGGGGGAATCAGTTTTCTTGGAGTTATCCAGACTGGAATATTTAGTGGATAGTGTGAGGGATCATGGCGCCATTAAGTCCTTGATTTTGAAATTAGACAATTTTGTGTTTATACCGACGAACTTAAAAACAAATCATACTCGGTTTAAGTGAGTTTTTCCACATTTGGAAGACATCAATTGAATTGAAAACATTGCTTTGCATTTTAGAAACATACTTGGATTTGTACTTTGAATGATCTTCTTTTTTTTGTTTGAGACTAAATCGGCTCTATTTTTATTCGTTTCATTTTGTTTGGCGATTCAAGCACCGTCGTTTCTGCTTTTGTTCGCTTTGATGATCGCTTCTTTTTGTTCGCCTTCTCTGTATCCTTGGGTAGTGGTTCTGCCTTAATTAATTCAACCAGTCCGTTCAACTCCAGATTAGGATTTTCTTCGGCTTGTTCTGGACTCTCAGACTTTACGCAGTTGTTCTTCGAAAAGGGAGAGTGAGATTAATATTTGTATATCATCTCCAAACATTTAACATGCTTACCAGGAGCTCATTTTCCTCCATCAACAGCTCGCCTTCAATGTAGGGCATAACATTGCTTATATCGAAATCTTTAATGCGAAATTTAATATCCTGTTCCATAGTAATGCCTTCATGCATTTTTCGGTTCGTAAACCGAATTTTAGTATTAAACACTCTGTAGAGAACGGCGCTGACTTGATGCTTCGATATGTGCCGCACAATTCCACTGAGCACAGCGCCCGCCTCGGGCCGAAACACGTAGAAGTCGGCATTGATTAACAGGTGGATGGAGGGATCGTCGGCGCGCAAAGCAGCTGAGTTACCTAGTAACTTGATGTTCTTAATACCCAGCACAATCCCATTTAGGTTGGCATCGTATATGCCCACTTTGGTGCGGATAAGTAGCTCGTGCAACGCATGCTTGAAATCGGCCATGCCGTAAGGCCCCATGGAGAGGTGCATGTCTGTGTTGACGTGTCGCACGCACGAATCCGAGTTTGATGCAAACTGTTCTAGCTCCTTCTTAGAGAAGTTTATGTATTTTTGAACAATATTAGCCATTTTTTATTCAAAAACACAATTTTGGTGCGGCTACGAATTCAACCACATGCTATAAAGATGAGCAAAAGTACGTGCGTACAATCGATTTTTACCGTTTACGATAGACTTATCGACTGCAAAAACAATCATGCGTGCACGTTAGCATTTAAATCAAATGCTAACTTATACGAGCTGCAGCTCCAATATAAGTTTGTACTGCAGGTTTTTCTAATAGTAACCGGCGTATCAATCAGATAGTTACCGTACCAATGAATGGTGATAACGGTCGTTAAAGAGTCTTATTTTTGCCTGGCTGTTCAGAGCGTTATGCTTTGAAAGATTTTTACTGGCACAGAATATATTAGACAGAACAAACCCGAAGTATGCAACCCACCGATTGCACCCGTAATTTGTTTACACATTCCTTAAAAGTCTGTAAAGTCCTGTAAAATTGATTTCTGTTTTGAGGTGGGTTTCCTTAACAGTTATATTAATTTAAAACAATGTGTAAATAAATCAAAAATCACCTTAATTTATTGGCATATAAACTATTTGAAAATCTATCTTTAAAAGTAACACAATAAATAGTTTATTGGCGTTAACAAAACCGTTAACATTATTATACAGATAATACTCAATATGTATGTACAAAAATTTAGTTTAGAAAAAGTGTGCGTTCAAAACATAGACGCTGCTCAGTTGTTTGAACTGAAAAACATCCACAGATAAAAAAAAATTGCGGTCTTCAATTCGAAAAGATAACAATAGTAGAAAAAATAGAAACGATATCTTAAAAAAATACACACTTAATTTAACACGCTGTGAGCTTGGTTCACGTTCGACAAAAAATCGATATTTCTTATATATTGGCAATGACATTTTTGTTCCGATCCCGTAAGCCTTCGAATTTTGAATGGGATGGAAATGGGGTACGCATTCGCCGTGTAAACGAGCGAAGGCAGCGTTTACCATCGTTAAGTTCGGATGTGTTTGTAGAAGCAAGCACGGAAACTGAAATGTACAAACGACTATTAAAATTTGACCACCACAAAAGTAATATAATTTTTTATACATACTTTGTTGCTCGAGCAATTTGATTTGTTTCTTTGCGTCGCGCAATTTGTTGATAAGTATCTCATTTTTACGCTTTTCCACTGTCAACTCCAAACCCAATTGCAATTTGCTTTTAGAATCCACAGCGCTTAAGATGCTATAACAAAGTTTAAAGATATAGTTGTGGCGACACTTGGAATCAGATTTTGACACCTACTTGTGATTAAATATGGACATCGAAGTGGGCCTTTCATTTGGATCAGGGTGCATCATTTGGGAAATGAGTTCATTAAAGTCCTTACTAAGAGATGCTATTACGGGCACCTCACCATTGCGCAGCTTATGCCATTCGGGTCCATTCTTTGGCAGGGGTCCACCGCCTGCTACCTCGTACAGAGTGATGCCAAGCGAAAATATGTCAGCCTTGAAGAGATTACTGTAGTCCTCTTGCAATATCTCCTTGGGCAAATACCGACAATCGCCCTCCTCTACGTGCGGTTCCTTAACTGATGTTACATGTCCCAAATCACCAATTTTATATGTAACAAGATTTTCCGAATTTTGCAGCTCCTCATAGACGCTGGCCATGCCATCCTCGTCTTTGCATTGCTGCTGTTCATCCGTTGCTAGTTTATTTGCCACTAGATTCATCGTTGAGAATATATTTTCCGGCTTTATATCCATATGCACCAGATCATTGGAATGTATATATCGTAGGCCTTCTATCACATGCATAAGCAGAATCTTTAATTCAGATTCGGTTAGACATTTGTCTTTAATGCGTGCCTGCAAGCTGCCACCATCGCAGAATTCGTTTTGTATCAGCATATGATCATCCTCCGCCCAGGCTGAGTAATAGCGCACCACATTATCGTGTTTACCGAGCACAGCATGCGCCCAAACCTCATTCAGAGCGCGTTTCCTGCAAGTAGCCAAATATTATTAATATCAATAGTAACGTTTATGGAAACTAATCGTAAAACTTACTCAAAGGAGCTGCCGGCCACGGGCTTCTTACTCTTTTTAATCGCATAAATACAGCCATCAAGTCGATTTACGCATTGGAAAACCACACCAAACTCGCCTACACCAATGAGGCTGACCTGCATGAATTCGCGCTTAAAACGACTGATATTTGTATCGTGCAGTGCCAGGCGCTTGGGCGCTTGCTGATGTATCTCACGCATAGGATCGCCTTCATTTGGCAGCCAGACAGCATCGTCGTCACTCCTATCACTAAGCAAAAACTTTTGCACAGAGTGTACAGTGAGATTCTCACGTCCAATTTGGGTACGACAGCGTTTTTTGTTGTGTGCCATTAGACCTGCAAGCATTTAAGTTAGTGAAATAGATACATTTTAATAACATTTTTGCACACTTACTGTCGGGAGTGAATGGATTCACATTGGCCGTGTCCTGCGGCTGCATGCTTCGATTGTGCAGTGGCAGGGAACGCGGCCGTTCTGTCGTCCTGAAGACTTCATCTCTTAGCGTTGCATTTACGGCTGCAGCCGCTGCAGATAAATGATTGCAGTTGGACGTTGTAGACGTTTTCAATATGGTTTTTGGTGTGGCTGGTGTATCGAAGAGACGCAAAGCGCGCACCTTTTGATAAGGCGGTGAAATTGCTGGGGCATCCTTCCATTTCTTTTTTTGTTGCGGACTATCCTGCAGGTCATCCTTGTCAAAATCATCGTCGGCGAAGCGCAACTTGCGCGGATTAAATGTTGGCGTCGGTGAGCTTGTTTCCATTTCATGCTCCTGTTCCATTGAAGTGTCTCCCGCACTTAAATCGTGCTTAGACGTGCGAAAGGCCATTGCCACTACCGTTGTTTGTGCGTTGCACTCTTTCGCCGTTTTTCTTTTTTATTTAATATATTATATTGTTGTTGTTTCTTGAAATTACGAGCGTAAATCAAAATTGAAAATGAGTAGCAATACGAAGCGAACTGTAAACAATATGGTCACCCTAAATAGTTATACACGCAACAAGCGCATCTTGTGCTATCGACAATCGAATAACTACTCGATTGACCAATAATCGGCTATACTGTGCCAACTTTTGCCCATCCACTAATAGTAATCGACCTGCAAAATTGAATTTACATTAACGGCCTGCTTGCTGTACCAAAACCAGGCATGGCTCCCAAAAGGCTAACATTACTCCATAAAATAACGATAAGGCGATAAATATTTGTATTTCCACCCTTTTTTCAAAACTTTGTATGCTCACACACAAATTGAAATTTATTACTGCTGCATTCGGCATCATTCCACGTAAAATTGTGTTTGTGACTCAATCGCATGCATCCGATTCGACATGGCTCATTTGGCATCCAATTTGAGTAAGATACAGATGACCCATCTTTCATCCAATACCATGTTGTTATATTAAAACCCAAATTCGTAGCACCAACCCAAACGTCGCTCCTTATAGAAGCTGAAAGCCAATATTATGCTAATTTTTAAATGTCAGCTCTAAACCACTTACACATATTTGTTCCGAGAAATATTATAAGGGCCGCATAATGACTAGGTTTCTTTATGGTGGCCAGCTTCATGTGAAATTTCTCACAAATTCGATATGCTTCAAACCAGTTCATCTATAACAGAACACACGAGCTAACACGTTTTATAGAAAAATACACTCAAGCCAATCTTTACCTCAGTACCAAGTGCGTAGTCTGTGCCATAAACAGAAAATAGCCGCTGTCTGGATCCGATCACATTATAAACGACTGGGCCAGCATACGCAGCTCCTGGGATAGCCAGTAGAGCGCCAAAAGCCCATACCAAACTTTCAAGAAGCATACTCTATCTGATTCTACTACATCGAAGAATAGTTACCTTAACTAAGTGCATCAACATGTTGATCAACTTAGTCACGTTTTTGTAAGAATTTGTCTCGCTTTCTGCGCTTCAGATTAGAGTTGGATTTATTTAGTTTTCACATTATACCTTAACTAAATATTGATCTTATTATGAGCTGCATCTACGGACTTAATATTTTAGAGGACATACATTTATCTGTGTATTATCGTTGAAAATTTGCAAAGTAAAAACTTTTGGCATTAAATTTATTGATTGAATATCTTTTGTGTTGTAGTTTTTTTCAGCGCATTTTGACGGTAAAATACGCATTTCATTCATAAGAAATTATATGTACTTAACTATGAAATTAGGGCATAGGTATAATCCAAAATTGTTACTTAGCTTATAAATAATAGAAATTCAAATGACGAGCATTTTACGTTAAATGGTTCTCAAAATGGAGCAGCTTTGGGTTAATAAATAAGTTTTAGAATTTGGCGAACTCGAGAAAGTATTTAAAGTTTTGGGACCCAAATGAAGGGGGACAAAATTAACGGCCTAAAGCCGGTAACTGCCGTGCACGTGAAGATTTATGAAAAATGTTTTATGTTACCACTATAATTTCTATGATGCGATGTTTATTGAGTGCCCACATGATTAATCATCCAATATTTTTTAGGACAGAAATTTTTAAACGAATCGGGAACACCTTTGTAATATTCCAAATGTTATGGCGACAAAAAAATAAATCTTCTGCACAGTTTAAATGTAAATTGAAGGTTACACGAGACATATAATGCAAGCAAATGAGATTTAAAAATGTGCTATATACTATAGTTCGAGGCGGTCGCTAATAATTATAAATCTCCCTCAAATCAAATTTTAATTTCAATACGCGATTTATTCTGCGAAGCGCCGTGGCGGTTAGAAATTAAAATTAGACCCATTCATATGAAACTAAAAATACGGGAAAAAAATACACTAAACTATATAATTGTGACCAACCAGGAAGTACATATGAACTGCATGATAAACTTAGTTGGGTTATCGGTTGGGAATGGAGGAGTTATTTTAGTGCCGCTAATGTGAACTCTGTCGCTAGTCTCTGGACATTGAACGTGAAACCGATGAGTCACCACGGCGGCGTGATTGTGAAACCGATGAGCCGCCGCGACGCCGAGACTGTGATCCACGATGTGGTGGCGATGGTGATCCAACCCTGCCTCTGACCCTGTCATCGTCCTCGTCGTCATAGCGCCTCTTCACCGGTGGCGGCGAATCCACTGGTCCACCACCATTCCGTTCATGATCACTATAACGTGACACTGAGCCATTCACGCCACGTCCGTTTTCACGCGAACGTGCCGAGCGACGGCCCACAGATCCAGCAGAACGGCGCCCGATAGAGCCCACCGATCGGCTACGAGAGCGTGTTGCTGATTTCGAGCGAGTACGACGACGCCGCGACGTACTGCGTGATCTGCTCAGTGAATTACTTCTAGAAATAGTAAGAAAGAAAAAATTTAAATTAGTGTAGGCCACAAACATTATCTGGAACAGGCCTGTGCAGTTGATCCTTAAGGAGTTGCAAATAGAAATTATGTTGTTTCTCGTGTACTTTAATCAAATAAATCAAATATTGAAATAAATTTGAAATATTTTTATTGTGTTTTTATGAATTATTACAAGTTTGATGTATTTATAGAGACAAATATTCTACAACTACCAAGCAACTTTATTAAAAACAACCAAACAAGTGTGTTTTAGCCATGTTTTCCACTCTTCTTATGGTGCTTGTGTTCATGTTTCTTGCCACCCTTTTTGCCATGCTCTTCCTTCTCCTCATAGCTATCGCCAAATTTGTGCTCCTTTTTATATTTCTTGTGATCTTCATCATGATGACCCTTTTTGTAGTGGCCAGACTTCTTTTTGTGTCCCTTCTTTTTGCCACTTTCGTGTTTCTCTCCTTTCTTGTGCTCGCCATGCTCCTCTCCATGGTGTTTGTGCTCCTTACCGAATTTCTTATGATGTCCACTCTTGTGCTCATCATCGTAGAATTTTTTCTCCTTGTGGTATTCATCTTTGTTGAATTTTTTGTGGTATTCCATTTCCTTGTGGCCTTTCTTGTGTTTCTTCTTATGATGATGTTTGCCCCCCTTTTTGTGTGCTCCATGCTCATGCTTCTCACCATATTCTTCCTTTTCACTGTAGTGCTTCTTTTTCTTCTCCCCCTTATCGCCATGGTGATGTTCGTGATCCTCCAGCTCATGATGCTTCTTTTCACCTTCGTCCCATTCCTTTTCTTCCTTCTTGCCATGCTCGCCCTTATGCTCCTCATGGCCATATTTCTTCTTCTCATGCTCCTCCCCACCATCCTCACCCTCCTCCGAGGACTCCTCCTTTTTCTTGGCCGCCACGTATGTCAGCAGCAACGCCAAAACCAACAACACCTTTAGTTGCCCTCTCATTTTACGACTGGGCGTAGTTACCAGCTGCTCGATTCGCTTTTATATTGTGGCACTCGATTTGACCGCAAAATCTTTGGCTCCATCTATGATGCAAGTCTTTGGGGTGAGAAAATTTTCTGCTTCATTTCACTTGTACTTTTTGTTGTTTTGCTTTATCGCACGATGCAATTGAACTTCTTACAACTTACACTAGACTCCAAAGCAACCGTTAGTCTTTAAGACTTAAAATCTTAATAAATGTAATGCTGGAAAAAGTGATTTTAAGCAAAATGTACCGGTACTTGTTAGAAAAAATAAAATTACTATAAACGGACAGTATATATACAGTATTAGAATCGAGAAGATTAAGTAGCGATTGGAATCAAAAGGCCTTTTGAGTTGGATATTAGGTATATTTTATTTCTAAAAAATAAAATAAAAGGCTACAACGTAACCGATGTAAGCTTTTCCGGAAACTGTATTGTAATTTTTTACAATTCCTAAAATACATAAATCTAAAACTATATTTAAAACTTGATAGTTGTGGGTGCTCATTCTTGATGTTTCGACTTTTTCTTCTTCTTTTTCGGTGGCTGCGTATCTTCAGGATCTTCTTGTTTGACCTCTACAGACTGCTGTGGGGCCTCCTCATCCCCATGCTTATTCTTATTTTTATTCTTCTTCTTTTTCTTTTCTGACTTAATTTCGGTCTCTTCTTCGTCTTTGACTTCTTCTTTAACATCCACTGGCTCTACTTTGACCGGCGTTTCAGCCTCCGAGTGCTTTCGTTTTTTTTTTACATTAAGCGTATTATCAGCATCAGGTTGATACGTAAACACCTCACTGAAATCAGAAATTTTATTAAGAACAGGGAAAACTATAAGCTGAAGAAACTCTGGAGTTATGGTGATGATGAGCTCAATCAGACAGCCAAGGTTTTTCTTCACAATATTAAATCGGAAAATTGCGAAACCTTTGTTTATCATCATATTATGAGCTTTACACACCAAAATTCCCCGAGTTCCAAATAAACACATACCTCTTGGCCTGATATTTTTCAAATTTGGCCTTTGCCTTGCCAGTGCCAGACAATTTTCGTAGGTTTCCCTCCTCCAGGAGCCGCAACCTTGATTCCAACTTCACCTTGTGCGTGGCGCCCAATTCAAACGTAGCCTCTTCGCCAAACGCATCCACGCGCGTTGCCAGGGACGCCTTAGCGGCCAACGAACGCGACATTTTGCCCTTGTTCTTTTGGCTTGCCTGACCCACCAGCTCAGCATGATAGATGAGACCATATTTCGGTGTATCCTTTTTGGTTTTCAGTGCTCGAAACAATGCTTTTTCAGCACCCAATATTTGCACTGTCGAGGAAGGATGCTTGGCCAAGTTGATCAGAGAGCCGGCGTGAGCAATCAGTCGAGCGCCGATTGTGTCGCCAACCAAAACCGACAAATTGGGTGCCATGGCCATCATTCGCGCCTTCAAGTAATCATATAAATGAGCACGATAATCATTGATAGCTATGATTTCATCGCACAAGCATTGAATATTTAGTACATCCTCGTCGGATATTTCAGTGCCCATTGAAATCTCAGCGGCCTCTTTCACTTTCTCCTCGACTTCCTCGGGCAAAATGTCGGACAAATCAGATGCTCCCATATTCTCGCGTGTGCCAACCAATTTCAGAGTCTTTACAAACGCTATATTGTCGGTGATGATTTTTCCAAGCTCGGGAAAATGCCAGCCATACCATTCGCGTGCACGCATTATGTAGTTGTTGAGCTCTTTGTCCAGATCATCAAGTAAACATTGCGCCTGCACAATCATTGTGTCGATTTTGTCCGGTGAGAACTTCAACTTATAACGTGACAGCGAGTGTGCCAGACCCAATGCCATAGCAGTCATCTCACGAGTGGGCAGACCACCCAGCAAACTGTCCGCCTGCTGGCGTATGCAACGCATCAACTCCTGCACGCCCGTATTATAGACACATTGCACCGACAACTTATCCTTGATGGCGCTGCCCAATTTAGCATCCGCGACCAACAGCGACGCCTGTACATCGTCAACAAGCAGTTTCTTCAATGTTTTCTTCAGAGGCTTCGACACCGAGCCCTCAACTGCCGCTGTGGCGGCGGCTAACGCTTCGGTGGTATCATTGAACTTTTCAAAATGTTTCAATTTAAGCAGTTTATTTGCCTTTTCCGGTGTCTCAAACTCCTTGTACAGATTATCGACCTGTTCCAATTTTTTTTCGTCCAGTAGTTTGAAAATTGCGTAGCCCGCAGGCGTTTCATAGAGCACAAACATTTCTGCACTCTAATTTATTCAATTTGCACTAACAATGCGTGCGAGAATTTATAAAAATATATTTTATTAACTCAAAACGCGCCTATCCAGCGAAACTTAACCTTTCAGTGTCTATGCCGCGTTGAGAAAGAAAAATCCAAAGTGAAGCGAAAACACGTGCACGTATGGCAGGCGTTGCCACTTTAGCAAGCGCGATTTTGCGTATGTGTACACACCGGCACAATTATATGTACACACTTTCAATTTAAAGCTAGATATGGACAATATACTGGTTCCCTCCATTTTATAACATCAATTAAGATATATAATACGGATGAATACTAACCTGCGTCGTTGCCTGGCCTTGCGCTCCCGGCAGTGGCGGGCAAAGTGGCCACGGCCGCCACACTCATAGCATTTATCGTCGCCCCGCCCACCGCGTGAACGATCCCTTGGTCCTCCTCCTCCTCCACCACCTCCGCCAGACCGAGCATTTTTTCCTGTTGACAATTCTACTCGTGCTCTACGACCACATACTGTCCGTCCGTCTAGGGCACGCACAGCGTCTTGTGCATCCCGGGCATTGTCGAACTCCACGAATGCGAAACCAGGTGGATTACGAGCGATCCATACACTCCTTAGGCTTCCATAGGCCCCGAAAACATACTCTAAATCATTCTTACGTGCATTATTGCCCAAATCTCCAACATAAACCTTTCGATCGCTCGGATGGCGCGACATGGTTGTGGTGGCGTCGCTGTCGTTGCAAATGTGGCAGCTCCGCAGCGCAGAAAAAATCGATTTGCGTAGCGAAAATCCCGTGCAATGGCTTTATTAATAGCGCACTGGGTTAAATATCTTGTTGTTGAGTCTCACTGGTCATTATTTGACGTAATGAAGAAAATATCCTAGTTACACATGCACTATTTTTGCATCAGCACAAACATAAGATATTTATTTTACCGGGTAGAGTTTTTACTTGCCCATAGAGATGGCCCTTTAATAAAGGTTTTCGATGTTTTGCCAATCTTGAAACAGTCTGGCAGCGCCAACCAAATCACCTTCACAAAATTATCACAAATTAAAGTAATTCTTGCCACATTTTTAATTAAAATAAGCAAAATGAATTAATGTATATTTTTCCCTTCAATGGCTTTTCGAAAACTGAAAGCTGCAAACAAATATGTGGCATCACCAGATGAGCTACAACGCCGTTGAAAATTAATGGCGGCCTGGGAATGATGTATAAACCTATGGTGGATTATGTCGCGGTGAATGGCCACCATTAAACGTGGCGAGTTTTTCGGTACACATTTATCATAAGTTAGGTTATATCGTATGCATCAAATCATACAATTATTTATAAGCTAGTTTTTTAAGGAAAAAACACTTATATTTAGTGAATTTGCAGTGCGAAATCTTTAATAACCACAGACGAACACTTGGCGCAAACGGTAAGAATGAAAAACAAATTAAATTTTCATTTTACATAACAATTACGGTGCTTTTAAAAATGCTTGCCTTTCGAAAAATGCTCGATAGCAGCAGCAGCAGCTTGGTGTAATTTTTTATTTGCTTTGTGAAATTGCGGCGGTCGAGGACAACACAAACATATAAACGATCGTGTTTGTTTCACTTTTAATTTGTGCGCCAAAAATGTAATTTTACAGTTTGTGATAGTTAAAAATTGCTTTTCTCCTATTAAAGTGGAAAATTTCATATTTTATACATACAAAAAAAGCTATGTATAACACTACACCAACACATGCATAACCACAGATACATACATATGTGTGCACATCCATACGGTCGGTCGGCCATTCGCACGCATACAATCACATGTGCGTTTGTGAATGTGACTGCGTGTATATACTTGAGATTGCGGTGCAAAATACAAAAAGAAGGAAACGTGCGAAATTTAAAAATTGCGTAGTTAGAAATTATAGCAATTGTTGCTTATTCAGTGAAACAAATAGGCGTAGCATTGAATTTGGCTGCGTGTCGCTTTTTTGCCGGCTTACATGGGGTTGTTAATAACTACAACGTTCATATGTGTGCATGCTTGTTCATACAATATGTAATAAAAGTATATCTGTGCACTACAGAATTTAAAATATGTAATTGTGTAACAAATCAGTCGTCCGCATAAAAAGAAATGAATGGGGTTTCTTGAACGCATTTTGGCCATCGTCGTCGGCACGTCTTCCATTTTGTTTTTCATTTGTAGCTGCCATTGACGTCGGCACGTCTGCTGTGGTGAATTTTCTACAATAAGTGCATTTTATTGTTAATTTCTATTTATGTTGATTGTGCATATTTTATTCTTTATTAAATTACAAAAGTGTCCAACAATTATAAATCTGTTGGAAAATTAAGGAATTTGCGTTCTATATTGCGCTATTTTTGCATACGTTTTGGGGGCATTGCTTTTTTCATCTTCTCTTTACTCTTACATTCGCTTTCACATATCACAAGCGTTGCCATATGTATATAAAACGCGCCTTTTGCCTAATTATTGCTTGTGTGCCGCCTGCTGTCTGACTCACGTAAGCAGTTTTTAGTAGGTAGTAATACCGGAATGGAAATCAATTAAAAACTAGTGATTGAGATTAGCTTATCACAGTAGTTACTATATATTTTATCTAAGATAAAATGATGAAAATGTTTATTGAAAAATATTTTAAAAACTCAATTATCATAGGTTAGGACAATAATTATGTAGACCACGTTTCCTCTTGCAAATGTTATTTAGAAAAATTTGCTTATATTTTATTAGCTTAACTGTCTGGCAATGTTGGCAAATGGCGCGAAAATGTGGTGAACCGGCACTTTGTTTTATGCTGTGATTCTCCTCGCCATAGTATTTGTGTTTTCACCATTTCCAACCAAAGAAATTGCCTTGGGAAAAGTTCGTTGTTCTCAACATTTATAGATATACATACATATATACATACGTGCCTATATTATGTTTGTAGTCGTGCATGAACTGAATGGCTGGCAGTGGACAGCTATACGCCAACGCTGTAAACGTAGCTCCCATGTTATGACGCTGCAAAAAGAAAACAATTTGTATGTATGTACATACGTGCTTACTTTCTCGTAGCAAAGTGTAGAAAAGACAAATACATACATATGTGTGTATGTATAAACGAGCGCTAACAGAGCGTTGCAAACGCCACCTAAACTTGTGAATGTATAAAAAAGAAGTTAGACAACATACACATGCATACATACACCACAAATACACATAAAAAAGGTTCACATATGGTATATGTATACATATGTATGTATACCGGCCGGTTGGTGTCTTCATACCTGTCTTTCATAATTACATGTGTACCACAGCCATACATACATACGTTTTAGCTTAAGTTCTTGACGATATTTTATTCACATTGTATATTTCTAACTTCTTTTTCATAAACATTCCGATGATGCCACCAACTCAATGCAAATCCTGTCGTGTTAATGGCCGCGTTCACCCTGGTTTTAATTAACCAATTAAACTCAACTAATATTCAAAAATATTTAGAAAGTTACGTGTTAACGTCGTGGCTTTTGTTTAATTTTGTTCAAGCAAAAAATAAAATACAATACAATTAAACAAAAAACTTTGGCAACTTAAATCAACAACATAAACAAAATACAATAATTTTGATCAGCCAACAGTTAATCTGAAAGTGTAAAACAAAAGTGTAAACAATCCCCCTCCCAAACAAACACACAAAAACAAGCAAACATTTAAACTTACAAAAGTGAAACCAACAACAGCAGCAAAATTACGTCAATTATTGATAACCTGTCCGGCGCAATAGCTCATAATCACCAAAACAACATTATGGAGGAAGATGAGAGGGGCAAACTCTTCGTCGGCGGCCTGTCGTGGGAGACCACGCAGGAGAATCTGTCGCGTTATTTCTGCCGTTTCGGCGATATCATCGATTGTGTGGTAATGAAGAATAACGAGAGCGGCAGATCGCGCGGTTTCGGCTTTGTCACCTTTGCCGATCCCACGAACGTCAATCATGTGCTGCAAAACGGGCCGCACACCTTGGATGGTCGAACCATCGATCCCAAGCCGTGCAATCCGCGCACGCTTCAGAAACCTAAAAAGGGTGGTGGCTATAAGGTATTCCTTGGTGGTTTGCCCTCGAATGTCACTGAAACGGATTTGCGCACGTTCTTTGGTCGTTATGGCAAGGTCACCGAAGTAGTAATCATGTACGATCAGGAAAAAAAGAAATCACGTGGATTCGGTTTCTTATCGTTCGAGGAAGAATCGTCCGTGGAGCATGTCACCAATGAGCGCTACATAAATCTGAATGGCAAGCAGGTGAGTACGGACACTGAAATTGGGCTTAGAACCGTTTATAAAAGTGCCGTGAAACAAAGAAGTCAACATTAATATGACAAAAAATGTCTAAGAATTACTAAAGACTTCTTTGTTTTTCCTCTTTTTATCCATATTGGATTGTCGTTTAAATATTTAATTGATTGTTTCAAAGATAGATTTGTGTAAAGCCTTACTAAAATAATTGGTTTGTTAATCTTTACTATTTTGTTATGAATACTTTCTCATAGATGATTGTTTACAAAATTGTCTATAACAAGGCCGTATCCTGTTAAAATAAAGACATAATAAGACGGAATTGTCATTAATCATAGTGATTATTGATCATTTTCAGGTGGAAATCAAGAAGGCCGAACCACGCGATGGCTCTGGTGGACAGAACTCTAACAACAGCGCAGTGGGTGGTGCCTACGGCAAATTGGGCAACGAGTGCAGCCATTGGGGACCACATCATGCTCCCATTAACATGATGCAGGGCCAGAATGGTCAAATGGGTGGACCGCCATTGAACATGCCTATAGGTGCGCCCAACATGATGCCGGGTTACCAAGGCTGGGGCACTTCACCGCAGCAGCAGGGTTATGGCTATGGCAACAGTGGACCCGGTTCATATCAAGGATGGGGTGCACCACCAGGCCCCCAGGGTCCACCACCGCAATGGTCCAACTATGCGGGACCCCAACAAACTCAAGGTTATGGCGGTTATGATATGTACAATTCTACATCGACGGGTGCACCATCTGGTCCATCGGGTGGTGGTAGCTGGAACTCATGGAACATGCCGCCCAATTCTGCTGGGCCTACGGGCGCACCAGGCGCTGGTGCAGGTACAGCAACGGATATGTACTCACGAGCTCAGACCTGGGCTGCGGGTGGTCCCTCGACAACAGGCCCCGTCGGTGGTATGCCCCGAACCGGTCCCGGCAATTCGGCATCGAAATCGGGTTCCGAATACGATTATGGCGGTTATGGCTCTGGCTATGACTATGACTATAGCAACTATGTAAAGCAGGAGGGCACATCGAATTATGGTGCCGGGCCCAGATCGGCATATGGAAATGACAGCTCCACACAGCCGCCATATGCTGCCTCGCAGGCAGTTTAAAAATGAAGCGTTGTCCAGCGGCCAAGTGGTGAATGATGAAGAAGACAAAAGATGGTGGTAATTGTAAGCTAAAGCGTCGTCTGTTCGTAATTTTTTTCTCACTGATCTGTTGTTGAAATTAATATATAAACAAATGTTTGTGTACTACTATAATTAAAAAAAAAAACCGCCCCAAAAAAATTGTTCACAAAAAAAACAGCAACAAAATCCCTAGCGGCAAGGCAGTTACATAGATGTATACATATAAATACTATAGCAATGAGTATGTAATTTATAGGCAACATCGACACTAACACACAGCAACAACAAGAACATTTTCATGAGCCTCAGACATTGTACTGTATGCTAGCCCCCTATTCAACTAAAAAGTAGTTAAACACAAACCCACACACACACACGCATTAACAAAATAGTTTTGTGAAGATTAAACGTAAAGTTTTACAAGTATAATGTTTAGCTAATTAGAGACAAGAAAAAGAGTGCGAAAACATAAAAAAAAAAAAAAACAAATCAAACAAGCAAGAACATAAGAAATTATACTTTATTTAAAACGTAAAAGATGCAAATCCCTTAATTACTAAAATTAGTAAATACAAATTCGAAATTGTACATTTAAAGTAAAAAAGATAAGTTGTTACAGCGCATGCCGCATTGCCAGAAACAAAGCAAGCAAGAAAGCACTGGCGACAAGACACAGCAGCCGAAGGCCAGACCTCTGGATCCCAAAATATCTGGGACTGCTTGCCTTAGTCAGAAAGCCGGCAGCGTGCGAGCGCTGAGCAGTTGCAACAAATGCGAAAAAGCGTTACAAAATTAAAAATTTACCATTTAAAGTAAACAACTAGCTAAAAGTTAAACTACATATATAAAGAAACCTAAATAATAAGCGTATGTCGTCGTTTGCCTGTAAGCGAAAGTTGAACTTGAAACTAGAATTATATAGTGCGTTGGATTTATTATTTAGTTAAAGCAAGAAATGATTATGTGAAAAACAAAAAAACGATAAAACCACAAAAAATACGAAACACTCTTAACAAATATAAATAAAGCTATATACATACTTATTTATACATATATATAAATTTACACATACATATACATATATGCGAGAAACAACAAAACGTAAATTTAACTACTGTCTAATGTAAAGGAAAGGAAAAAAAAACGATGCTTAGAATTGCGTTGCACATTTTTTTTCAAATTTTCATCGTTTGCCAAGCAGACAACCAATCATACCAACAATGCCAACAACAACATCTACAATTGATCAGCATGCGTGTAAACACCATAAACCACAACACGCACATCGACAAGCAAAGCGGGAGAAGCAGCAACAATTTAAAACGATTTATATACATACATTATACATATATATATATATATATATATATACTCTATATATATCTCTTTAATTACTTTTACATTATATTACTCCTTCACATGGCTCGCAAGAATCATATGTAAAGTTAAAGCAAAAACTAAAAAGAAACCCCACAAAAAACTATTTTAAATGATGATGATGATTAGATTGCGATTTTACCATTTATTTTTACACTAATACATTTACCATACATAAACATAAATAAATATAAATATGAAGTAATTTTTTCTATTAAATACACTAATTTTTAATTTGTTTATTAAAGAATTTTACAATACATTTAATTACAATATACTTTATTTTTCGGTGATTTATTACATAGTGCTCTTCGTATAATTTTTATTAATACTTACAATACAAAAACAATGATCCTAAAAAATAAATGCCTAATTTAATTTTGTTTAAAATTACAAATATGCTTAAAATTTATATACTTATTTAAAAACTAAAAAGAAACAACAAACCATACAAAATACACATAGAGAACAAGTAAAAAGTAAAGCGTGAACGTATCAAAAGCGTTTCAAATTTGAAAAAAAAACTGCGAATTTATTTATTATTGTTTTTTATTTGTGTCAAGAACTATCTGTTTCTGCCTTAAATTTCATTCAGTTTTTCTTTGCGTGCGTGTTGTGGTTTATTTTTTGCAGCACTTGTGCATATTTTTGTCGATCCGAACATCGAAAATTTGTTGGTGGGGGGCATCAAAACTGATCCATAGCCCGTTGTCCATGGCCGCTTGTAATTCAGCGTTATTTTGTGCGAGAATGTATTAAACATTTTCAACAATAACAAAAAACGTAACAATAGCAACAACTACAAGAACCAACTGTGCGCTGCTTTGATAATTCAGTTTCCAGGCACTGTAAAATGTTAGCTTATAATTAAATCAAACTATATATATATATAGTATATATGCTAAAAAAATGAAAAAACAACTACAATGGTTATATTTGTATAACTTATATGTTTAACAGCAACAACAGGAACAACATTAAACAATAAACAATTAATGTCAGACAGCAGTGAAAAATGAAAAGAACATGTAAGGTCGGTCTATAAATATATATTAAATATGCATTAAAAGTAAATGTTGGTTAAACAAAACACCTGATGTAATTTTATAAGCTGAAATTATGAAAATATGACAAACGTAAATACTTTTGGTTATAACACTACATTTTTGCATAAAACAGAAACAAAATTATAACAAGAAACTTAAACGAAAAATCAAAAATTAAAAAATCCATAACAAATTCGTTTAATCATAAACACAAATTGAAATAAGTAAACGTAATTACTAATTCAAGCGAAGTCTAATAGTTAAAACAAGGTTTAAAGTAATGGCAAGTAAACGTAAACAAAAAATTATTTAAAACAAACACACTGACTGTTAATTGTAAAACAATTTCTTTTTAATGCCGTACGAATTATTATTTAAAGTTAAATTTCTGAACTGGAACCTATTAAATGAATTACATAAATGTATCTAAACGTAATATATGAATACTATACTATATACAATTATATATACACTATATATATATATACATACATATATCAATTTAACAGTAAAGAATAAATCTTAATATTGTACTAAAAACAAAAAATAAAAACAAACAAATGAAGTGTTGCACTTTGAACAAGAAACAAAACAAGACGATGCAAATGCACATAATAAACAATATTTAAAAATGAGGTAAATTGGAGAAAGTCCACATGCAACATTGTACCGAATATTGTCCAGACACACTCACATACATACATACAAACATATATGTATGTACGGAGCGGAAGAGCAGCAACACAGTTTTTATTTGGTTTGATGTCATTTCGGGTGTTTTATGGCTTCTTTTTATATGTTTTTATCCATTTTTCAGTTACAGGTAATATGTTTAGTTATTAACTTTTCCGCATTGAGATGCTTTAACAATAATTCAATGATTACAGTTAATTGTCAACTGATTGCACGACAACAAAAAATGTTCTTTTATTACTAAATATTTGCAAAAATTGTGGATTTAATGTAGCTATTTGTAGTCATAAGTTTCCATGTATAACTTTGTCTTTTTTATTTGGTTTCAAAAATATACTTTCTATTTTCTTAAGTTGTTTTTGTTTTTCATTTTTTATTTGATTACAATTTAGAAACAGTAAACTACCTTTTCAAATGTGTTTTCGGCTAATATCTGGAAACATTTTCATTTTTTACACTTTACAAAACATGATCACAGAAATGTAGCATAACTTATTCACATTTCAGTTAGCCTACAATGAAATTTCTCTACTTTGAATTTTATTTTGTATTAATTAGGATTTGTTTCGCTGATTATCTTTATGGGGTTTCTTAATAACAATTAATAAATATACATTTATATATACACTTAGGCAAAAGCATAAACACTAAGCTATGAGACGAATAAAATGAAAATTGTTAAAAAGAAAAAAACGAAAGAAGAAAAATAGCTGAAACCAATGAGAATTCAATAGCGTTTTAAATACTTATAAGCTGTGTACACTGAATAACTAAATGTAGACAGAGAACAAGTAAACCGAATTTTGATTTGCATTAACATTCATTTATGATGATTTGTTTCAAATGACTGGTACCATAGTTAAGCTATAAGACATTACACGACACACGATACACTCACACCACATAGACTTTCTAAAAGGTTAAAACTTAAGACATTGAATTTTGTTTGCTTGTTGGATAATGAAACCAGCAGTTTCCCCAAAAATTTTAGGTAACGTAGTGCATTAGCCTCTAAAGACTAGAATGATTTGAAATAAGAAATAAAAATTAACAGATAACTAAGCTAAATTCCTAAGACAAAACGATTCCACCTAAGACACCTTTTGTAATGAATACGAATAATCGTAAAAAATTTATAGGCAAGGCATACAAACCAAACCAAAGTAAACACAATAAGGGCAAATGACCGAGAGAGGGGTAAGAGTTAGGACATATGTATGGTGACATGGCGTGTGCGCATGTTTTTTACTTGTTTTTTATGTAACTAATGATGATATACAATTTTTAAGCCGTACAACATACATACATACAATTACAATTAGAGACGTTTCGTTGGGGAGTAATCTAAAGTAAAATACTTAAAATAGCATTGATTAAGGAAGACAAAAAACATCTACATGCATAAGTCAAGTCGTTTAATGGATTGTTACGCCTGCAAATTGTTTTTGTACTTTCCACCTTTACTTCGGTTTTTAAGCATACATATAAATTCTAAAACACAAGGTATGTATGTATATGGTAATTTTAAAATGTATGTAACGCGTAAATAAACCAGAGATAGTAAACAAAAGTAATAATTTGTACGTATGTAGTTTAATAATAGACAAAAATGGGAAAAACAATGAAAAAAAAGAGAAAAACACACAAAATAACCAAAATAACAAAACCCAAAATTGAGACTGTAAAATGCAACAATGAAGTTATATACTCTTAAAAGATGTAAAGCTTAAACCCTTAACTCGTATAAATCTCAAGAATCTGAATAGGCTACCTACATAAGTTCGTATAAGCATGGCGGCGACTGCAACTGCGTAGCAAAGGAAGCGGCATTAACTACTATCTAATTATAATTTAAATAGCGGCAAGAAGAAATTCAATTAATTTACTAAGTGCGCCTGCAGCTTGTTTCCATAAATGCAGCCTCGAGATCACTTACATGAATACATAGATTAAACAAATTCTCTTTTCATTACTTTTATGTGCGCTAGCTATAGTATTACGAGATCGAAAAAGAGAACAAGAACGAGTGTGTGAGGTCAGGAGCAGTTTTCCGGAGTGTGGAAAAATTGTGTCATATGATTTTTCTGTTTCATATATTTAGTGCTGTTCAGCTAATGTCATTTATTTGAAGCTTTTAATTCAAGTTGCTTAAAAGAGCTCACAATAATTGTTACATACATACATACAAACATAATATTTATTAAAAAAAGGCTAATGGCAAAACGTAAATCATTTCGATCGCATGTGTGTATGGAAAATAGCAAGCAAGTTTTCATGTTGTATGTACACATTAAATGTCACTAAGTACTAATATCAACTAACAATTACAACTAAAACATACAAGAACAACAGCTTAGAAAGAAGCAACTACAGTATATGAAGACGTTCGCGTTCAAAGAGCCGATATACAATTTAATAGAGTAACGGATCGAGAATATATCGATAACATAACTGAGCGGTTAGTTTGTATAACACACACCCATACACATACACAATTACAACATGTAGGTTATTGGCCACACGTAACGGGTCTTTAGGCATATAAGTGTTGCTACTTGTGTGAAAAGATTAGACGGTAATGTAAATCCATGATGTTTTATGGTTGGAGACACTGAAGGATAATGCTATTTTTTACATTCCTGGTTTACAAACACACTAACCCACATACACACACACACACACGTACATAACACACGCATTTATGTATGATTTTGTGTTTTAGACTTTTCTACTTGTACTTTTAGAGATATACATACTATACATAATGAAACATCTGAATTTGGTACAGCGTTGTAGCATTAAAGAAAATAACATATTAAAGACAAAACAAGATACACATAGCGAGATAAACATACTTACATAACATAACATACATACATACATATAGTTCATAAAAATTACATTACAAACAAACATTCATACATATAGAGTTGCAAGGTTTTAGTTTACGATAAACTTAATGAAATTTTTTACAATGTATTTATACATACCTAAATTTAAATTTTAAATTAATTCTTTAATGTAATACGAACACAGTGCCTAAGTAATATCAAAAACAAAACAAAAACATAAAATACATACAAACGAGTTTAAGAGAGAAAAATAAATAAATAAGAATACATAACCGTCAAGGACATTGTTACCGAAATATTGAATGATTAAATTTAAACAATAATTGGAATAAACAAAATTCAACTGAAAGAAAGTATGGAAAAAATGACATGAACATAATATAAACACACACACACAAATTAAATAAATATATAACAGTAACAAAGAAATACACAATTTACAATATATACCTACACATATACATATGTATGTAATAACATAATTAAGAGCGAGCAAACAATTGCATAATTTTATAAATGTAACTAAAAAAAAACGAAACAAGAACAACAACAGCAACAAAAACAACAGAATGCTAAAGAAACATAAAATAAACTAATAAATACAAATAAATACAACAAGATGCCCCTACATATTTACGTCTCTCAAGAAAATGCAACTGAATATTATAAAGTAAACTCCCAAAGAGGTCGGTCATTTATTTTGTTAGACATTCAATTACAACAGTTTGATTTTTATCTGCAAATGAATAAATGTATGTGGACATGCCACCTACTTCTCACAATGACATCAATTGCAACATTAGTAAACGTGTAAACAATTAAAAAAACGAAGAATTGGTTTGTTTTCAAATTATACTTTTTTAAAAATTGTTATTTTGCAGCAATCTCAAATCGCTATTTAAGTTATTTAACCATTTCGAACAAACCGTAAAAAATACCCGAAATTTACGACAAATTTCGAATTATGTTTAAAATTGAATGTAGTATGTAAAAAAACGTTTTAAGCAAAAAAAAAAAAAAAAAATACTTTGAATATACATAAATTGCAAATAACTAGAATAAATTTCATTCGCTCTTTTTATTTCGCCCGCATTCAACATTTACTTGAACTTGAATTAAAACTAAGCTCTCAAGACATCAACAGTTTCTGCCTGTATAGCAAATCATCGGCAAAGCAAAAATTGTGTTGAATTGTACCCTTTTTCACTTTTTCTTAGCCCTCTTATTTCTTGCGAAATTGTCCAAATTCTGATTACTTGTCAAGTTTCTTCGTAATTTCAAAGCAAGCTATAGGCACAAATATAATTTCTGGTTTAAATCTGAACCGCACAGAAAAGCATAGACACAAACCCAATGAACGTTGAGTCAATTGATTATAGATCTTTGTTTATTTTACTAAATATTTGTATTAATGGTATTTAAATAAGTGTAATTTAGAACATTTTTGGGTTTATAAAGGCCGCTGAACTCTGTCATCTCATTTTTTGTTTAGTTTTTTATCATTATTCAGCAATAATAATAGACGTTTTTTCGGTTAACTGAAATAGTTCAACATTCGATTCGCCTTGCCCTTAGTTTTTGAGTTGTTATCCTTTACACTTGTCCTGTTTCAATTATCCGCCGTATTTGTTGCGTCGTCTTGGTCGATACGCACGGTTTAATGTTCTGAAACAGGATTTTGTACTTTTTGTAGGGGATCTCGTCCATCAGGATTTTGACCAGGCTTCAGAAGTCAATCAAAAATTGTTCATGAAGAGTCTGTTTTCAAAGAATCTGTAATATATGTATGTATATACTTTTCTTTTTATGGAAATGAGCAGCTTTCCAAAGCTTATAATTGTTGGAATATCTATTCATTTTTTTCGTAATAATTCATCTTCATAAAAGAGTTTGTTTTATCATGACACAAAACTGTTCCTGATTCGTAACCTCTGGTGTGTGTTACTTGTTTACTTCGAACATCGAATAAGTCGGTCTACTCGGATTTTCAACTCATTCCGCACTTTGATTTAAATTTCAAAAATATAAATTTCCAATGTTGTAAGACATTTCAAAATGCTAGAGGCTACTGCTTTCTTTATTTTGAGTACCACCACCTATTTCATTAATAGAGTAGAGGTTCCGCCCACTATGCGAAGATCTATACGTTTGGGAATGCACCTAACAGCTTATTTATGCAGCGCTGGAATTGTTTATAAAATTGTTGGTCTCAACCTAGTCTTCAGTGTATTAAGTTTCTATTACTAATTATATCTATTTATTTAGCGCTAAATTTCAGAAGAAAGAATCAGAAACAATGTTTGGGATTGATTTTAAAAAGGTTGTATTTATATTTTATAACAAATTAAAAAACCAATAAACTCTTGTACGTATTAACCAAATAAGTTCGTATGAAGTGGAAGTGGAGCAGCAAACAATGTCGGATGATGCCTGTAGTATGAAATAGGCTTATAAAAAAGGCAAGAAAATGAATGGGTGTTGAACTAGTGGGTGGTTTAACTAATACGATCATTTTATAAATATATAAATGTACGAGTAACTAAGACTGTGGGATGATACTTAGGAGCTGATTTTACTGCTTGGCTATGCGGCGTCTTGTTGTTGGGGTGGTGGGTGTTCCTGTGGGTGGTTTGGGTATCTGAAAGTATGGATGAAATAAATTGTATATACATAGTTTCCTCACTATAGTATGCTATGTAGTTGAACTGATTTACCGATCGTATGGGCTTAGGCGTGAGCGCATTGGCAGGCGGAGGCTCTCGCGGCTGTGGACCATCCGGGTGGCCAACGACTGTGACAGCTACGGGTCTTTGCTCCGAGCTGGCGCGCTCTGAGCTCTCGCCGCGTGAGTGAGAGCCGGAGCGTTTGAACATGCCCGATAGCCGACCACGCAAATCCTTCTTGCTAGACCTCATATCACTAGCAACACTGATGTCAGAGTCAGATCCTTGAATCTATGGGGTGGTGATGTATATTTAATTTTTAATGTTGTAGGTAAGTATATTTCCTGTAACTTACCGAAATTTCACTCTCGGAATTGCGTGAACTTTTAGTCAGGCTGCGTAGCTTGCCCATAATACCCTTCTTCTTCTTACGTGGACCGCGTGGTATGTCACTTTGTGTAGAGCCACCAGATAGGCGCGAATCAAGACGTGAATCTAGACTCGAATCTCGCACCAGACCACCCAGCTCTGAGTCAATTGATTGCATAGAGGATACGCTGCCATCGTCCTGGCGCCATATGTTCTGCAATTTTAAAAAAAAAAACAGTTTGAAAAAAGAAAATTCTTAATGGATGTTTCAAAAGTTCTTGTTTCACGGATTTAATTTAATAAACATTCCTTAAAACTATTTACGAATATTTAATACTTTCAGCATAAAAATATATCGGAACATATACGAACTCTTCAATTTTGAATAAATATAAAATTTGTTTCCTTTATAAGAAAGACTTACTTGTTCGCGTTGTATGGAGTGATCCAGCGATAGACTCTTGCGAATCAGACTGCCATTATTGGAGGAGTTCCTAGATAGTCGCCCGCCATTGCGCTGCGACCCGGCGGCACTGGCCACTGAGCTGGTGCTGCCATGCGGATCAGTTTCTTGTGAGGCGGCGCGACGTAAATTGCTTCGCCTAATGCGACTCCGCTCCTGTTCGTCCTCATTTAGGCGCTGAAATTTGCGCAACTCTTCCGAGGCCTCAGCCAAACGGGCTAGCACGCTGCTGATCTGAGTGCTGGTCAGGGTGGGTGAAGGACTGCGACTTCGGCGCACATTTGTTTGCTCCGGACGAAGTGTGTTTTCGCTGTAGCCCGCGGATCGTGGCGAGCCACCACCGGCCCCACTGCTTACCATCTTTAATTCCGGTGCTATCTTGACCAATTCATCTACGGTCTGCAGTAGGGCGCCCACCTTGCGCTCCCCACCGTCCTGCTCCATGCGTCGCTTGATCAGCTCCTTTTCGTAACGTTCACGTTCACGTCTCAACTTTTCATTGGAGGTACGCAGCTTGGCGTGGACATCGCGCAGCTCCAGCAGATCGCACTGCAGCTCCGCAATCTTTTTGCGACCCTCTTCCATTTCCTCTTCCGTTGCGCGCTTCGTCTGATCTAACTTCCGCTTGGACTCTAGACGTTCCTTATCACGCTCGCGTTCGACTTCAAATAGGGTCTGACGCAGGTCACGTGCTAGTGTCGAGGTTTCTTGCAGCAGCCGCTGCTGGTCCTCACGCTCCTTTTGCCAGGACAGCTCAAGTTTAGTTTTCATGCCCGGCAATTTTGTACTTCCCGAACCAATTACGCGTTCTTCCTCAAACTCGTTCAATTTGGACTGCATTTCGGATATTTTGATCTCGTTGGCGCTGCGCTCAGATACAAGCTCTGTTTTGACTTTGCTGGACTCCAAGCGGGCCTCCACAAGCTGATCCTCGAGATGACCAATCTATTCATTAAAAAACGTCAGTTAAAAAATACTGACATATAATTATAGTTGTTATAATCTCACCTGTTGCTCCAAATAGGCAATTTTACTTTTATCATCATCGTCACTACTGTGCATAGACCCACGGCTCTGGCGACCGGTATTATTCGCCTTGAGATCGCCTATTTTCTTCTGTGCCACCTCGAGCATTTGCTTAAAGGCATCTCTGTCCTTCTTGAAGCGTTCACATTGACGCTGCAAATGCGGGAATTAATGAAATTTTTGAAAGATGCTAGCCGGTTTCAGGAGACTTACCTGCATGGATGTCAACTCGGCACTGAGATTTTTCACCTGCTGCTCGTAACGAAGGCGCGTCGAGGCCACCTCCGATTTCAGCTGCAGTTCGGCGCTTTGTAATCTGAAAAAACAATATTCATAGTCATTACGAAATCAAAAACGGATTTCGAAAAATCAAATTAGTATCTCTCCAAAAGGGGCTTCTTTCAAATGATCTCCACTTAATCTCTTCTCAATTATTGATAAAATTAGCATAATTTGGTTACTCACTGTGTTTTAAGCTCCTTTATCTCCGCCTCTCTTCTCGCACCGTGTCCATTGAGTGAGGTCTGGGCCTGCTCTATGCGCTCGTAGTCTGTAAGCTTGCTATTTAAATCGTCGTTGTCCTTGCGTAGTTGAAACACCAGATCGATGTTCATATCATTCTCTCGTCGGAGACGTTCATACTCATGCTCCTTTTCCGCCAGCTTGTTCTTCAGCACGGTTCGCTCATATTCGGAGCTATTGCCACCCTTCAGTGTCTTTGCCTCCAGATCCGATATCTTTTTCTGGGCTTCGCTCAGTTTACGCGCCATATCGGTGCGCTCTATGCGTATGGTATCCATTTCGCTGAGTTTCTGTTTTTGGGCATTGAGTTCTGCCTGCAGATTTTGCTTCTCTGTCGTCAACTGAGCCCGCATCAATATTGTCTCTTCTGACAGCTTCTCCCAGTGTGTGTTGAGATCCTCATAGCGCTTTTGTTCGTCTGTGAGGCTTGTCTGAAGGTCTTCCATTTGTTTCTTTAGCTCCTGCACCTGCTTGCTATCGGATTTGCTTGATTTTGTTTTAAGCTCCTTTATCTCCTTTTCCAGTGTTGCTTTTGTCTTATCCGCCGACTTTTTCGCACTCGATAGTTCACTGTCTAGCTGTGTAATTTTGGACTCCAGTTTCTCTCGTTCCTTACGTTCCTTTTCCAAGTCCTTTTCCAGCCCTGAGTATTTTTCTTTATCGCGTTTGCCTTGAGTCTCCAACGCTGATTTGGTCGTTTCGCTTTGCTTAAGCTGTTGGTCTTGCTTCTTGATTTTGTCCTCCATATCCTTGATCTTGGAGCCAAGTTTCTTTGCCTCTTCCTCGCTCTTTTTCAGCTTTTGTTCGAGATCGGAAACTTTGCTGCCAGTGCCATTTAATTGCTTCAGGCGCTGCACATCTCCCTCAGCCAGTGACAGTTTCTGCTTGAACCGTTGGAGTTCCACTTCTAAGGCTCCTTTAGCCGTTTGCAAAGCCTTCAGCTCATCGGCTCCACTACTGCTCAGCATTACGCGTAGCTCATTGATCTCATCCTCCTGCTCTTCTATCCATTTCTTGAGATGATTCTTTGGCGTCAAATCACTGACGCGCTTTGGCGTGCGAGCTGGCAACTTGCTCTCGGCCTCCACCGTCATGCGTTTTAGTCTAGCGGTTAGCTCATCCCGTTCCTTTTGGGCCTGTGTCAGCGTCTCCTTAACCTTGACGAGCTCTCCTTCACCAGTCTTTCGCAACGTTTGCAACTGCAGCCGTTTGTTCTCTTTCGTCAGCTTCTCATTCTCGCTCTCCAATGTCGACAATTTGCTGTTCAACTCTGATTTGCCAGAGGATTGTTTTAGCTCCGCCTGCAAGCGATCTATCGCTTGCTCCTTTTCCTGCAGGGATTTGCGCAGCTGCGTCAGCTCATCGTTCAACGCTTTTAGTTTCTTATCTGAAGCATTCGAGGAGCCGAAACTTAGCAGCGAGGACTTGCTGCCACTGCTATCCTGTCGCAGCTTAGCTTGCAGCTCACGCACATATTTCTTGGACTCGGCATTCTCCTTCTCCAGATCCTCCACCTTTAGTCGCAATATGGCGGCTTCCTGCTCATTTAACTCCAGCAGAATGCGCAGCTCGGCAGGATCATCCTCGTCCGATATGCCCTCATCCCGATCGGCATGCACTTCGGGCGCCAATCGGTGTGGCGTTGGACTCAACTTGCGAGCTGGATAAAGAATAGACTGCGTTATATTCTTCTTTAAATTTTGAATCTTAATTATTATTATCATTATGAACGACATGCGAGAGCGTAATATGGTTTAGTTAGTTACTATGTTAGTTAAAAACGGCATTTAGTTACATTTCATGAGCAGCTGCAAAAAATGGCAATTGATTTATATTTCCTTCTGTATTCTTTTCATTAATAAGCGCATGATATAGAATTTAGAAACGTTAGTTAAATAAGTTCAGGTATATTTTTAGAAGAGATTTTTAAATCGCATATTTTGATTATTTTAGGCCCATTTAATTGATCAAGAATTGATTGAAATGAACAATTCTATTCAAAATTTAAAAGAAGTTTTACAGCAACTATCAAAATAAAATAATAATTTAAATATATATGTATTCTTGTTCTACTAATGAAGAATGAATATTTCTATTTTCATTTTGTATGTTTAGATTTAAAAAAATTGCCTAGCTCAATCAATTCTTGTTAGCTTTATGTTAAAATTGTAATTAAATTATTAACTCTAAAATGCAATTTTCAATGGTTGTTTCCGTAAATGAATGCATTGGTTAAGAATTTAGTAAATGCGTTAAGGTTTATGTAATTTTTTTATTTTTTAATTTTAAATAGAATTTAAAAATTTTGATCGTACTTCGTGAGCGCGTTGCCATTTTTTTTAACTGCATCATCAAGGACTCATTTTCATCCTCGAAACGAGTCACTTTTTTCCTCAAATGTTCAGCCTGAAATGTAAAACAGACATTTGATTTGATTTTTATTTTATAAGAAAATAATAAAAATCAGTTTTAAGCCCAGTTTTGAATATGTATTTATCATTGGCTTTCAGTTCGAGGATAAAAACTGTGCTTTGCATTGGTTTTTGCACGCAAAAATGTAATATTTTTATACAAAAATTCAAGCCACTGATGTAACAAATTAGTATTCAATGAAACACATTTTACAATATTGCAACCGCAATTTAAAAAACAATTTAGAGAACAAATAAATTTCTACAACTACTATAAATGAAAGTGATGGCCGGAGCCTAACATCGAGTTATGTTTCCTTTTCATAAAAATTGCATTAAAATTTAAACATCTACATTTTTTAGATGATTTTTTAAGATGCTCGGTACGTTCCAATATAGGCACTATTTTATTTAGTTATGGTGTCGCCATCTGCAGGTGCGTTGAAAAATGATTACCCCAGACCAGTGTATACATAAATGGGGAGGAATTAAATGATCCTTTAACACGTTAATGTTAGTTAACAGAAAGACGCCTCATCATCGCTGATTCCACAAGAACTGTGCGTGAACTTATTAAAAAGTTTGGAATTAAAATTGAATATATCCAACGCCAAAATGTATAGTTTTTGAATTTATCATCTACAAAGAACCATTTGAAGCAGTACTCTTTAATACTTATATCAAAATGCAGAGAACTATCATTGTACTCGGCGCTATTGACTTGGGAACATACCGCATTAATGGACCTAGAAAGGGAATCTCTGAAACTATTATGGATGATTGAAAATCGGTCTCACTTCTTCGATGTTTATTCTCGGCCATCACTGTCATACACTATGTTTTAGTTAACGGAGTTGTAGTACCTGTACCGGCACCAGACAAAAGCACGTGCGATATAGCACTTGGAAAAAGTAATGTATTGGGCTTAACCCTAGCCGATGTTGAGGGCGCAAAGAGTCCCACAAATGGCGAAGTTTCGCGCTCTGTAGAAGGCTTTCTGGTACTGATCTCGGGGTCAGTTTGTGTGGCAGTATTGGTCACCTCCAGGTTTGTTTGCACAGCTATACTCGTACTTTCTAGTAATATACTCTGCGTGTTGGTAGCGGCATCACTCAAAGGCACACCCGTAGTCTGGGTACTTCGCGGAAAAGCTATTTTCTCCGTATTGTTATCTAATGTTTGGGTGCCACGATTATACTGCACTTGCTTTCTCGGCCATTTGGCCTTTAACTGGCGAAGCTTTGCAAATATTAAGGATTCGTAATTTCATTACAAAATCGATTTCCGAGCATTGAAAAAGGAGTGTAACTTACATTTTCTTCATTTTAAAATCAAATTTCTGATAACTCAAAAAGTTTATAGAGCTTGTTTTTTTTTTAATGTGAGTCGCACTAATCGGAAACCCTTTACAAATATATTTCTAATGCTTACCTCTTCTTCTGCGAATTTCAATTGATCTTTCAGATCAGTTTCTCGCTCGATCGAGTCCTGTAGCTCGCGTTGCAAATGCTGAGGATCCTCCTGAGAACCGCCACGGGTTAAAGATTCGCGGGTAAATTTGGCATCGGCTGAAGTCGACTTTCCTAGCACACCCAACATAGGCGTCTTTTTTTTGCCCGGATTACGAAGCTCTTCGGCCTCGGCCTACAAAAAGAGTGATATTGATAAAGAAGCTCTACTTCGATTCCCAACGCTTATATATTACCTGTAATTTACGCGTCAACTCGCTGGAGAACCGCAACTCTTCTTCCAACTTCTTAACCTTGGCAGATAGCTCGGCATTAAATGAGCTTTGCCTTTCCTGCTCCAGGGTTTCAATCTTGCGTTCGCTTTTTTTAAGCTTAAAACTCAATATGCGACAATTTTTGGTTGCCTTTTCGAGATCTTTTTGCAAATTGGTCTTGGCCTTCACCTCATCGTCGCGGAACGTATCCTGTACCTCATCCATCTCGGCCTGCAAATTAATGATTTCTTTTTTGGCCGCCTGATTCTCCTCCATCAGTTCCTCGCAAATTTGTTCAGCTGCCTGCAATTTGCGTCTCAGCTCCGACTCGCTGCCCTTGTTCTCTAGCTCCTTCATACGCAAGTTAAGACGGCGCTTGTCCTCGCTCACCCGATCCAATTGCTCCTTCATCTCGTTGAGCTTCTGTTGTAGGTTCAGCGCTTCCGAGGCAGCTGTGCGATTCGAGGCGGTGTCCATTGAGGCCAGACGTCTCAGAAGAATGTCGCTCTTGTCACGCTCCGCTCGCTCTGCTCTCATTTTCATGGCCTCCAGCTCAGCACGCAATGCTGTAATTTGCTCCTTAAGAGCACTGGCGCCCTCTGTTGGGCTCTCCGCTGCACTTTGTCTTTTGATTTTAAACGTTTCGCCCTCCTTTCGCTTTGTGGAGCTTGTTGTTTTCGTCTCGGATGAAGACGTTGTTCGCGGTTCGCTGGAATTGACTTTCAAAGTGGCCGACGTGGTGGTGCTGTTACTTGTCGCGGATGACGACGCTGCGGTGGTTGTAGCCGTCGATGTCAGCTTCTTGGGTGGTAACGAAGCTCGCTTCAGCTCTGTCGATTGATTGAGAGATGTGCCGGACTTGCTGCGTTCCGGTCGGTCTGGCGGTGTTGCTTCATTCTCACTGCAAAGTATAAGGGAAATTAATGATTTCTATAATGATCCTCACTTGCTAACTATTGTGTGTTGGGTCAACAATTGTCTAGATACTAATATATGGAGCGTCGACTTCCTGCTATGAATAGATATTTAATTATCCAATTCAATTATACATATACCACCATTTGTCCTGTCACCCAACTTCCTTCTTCTTCCCTTCTTATAGCTTAAAAGGTGTAATTGATTTTAATTTTCAAACATTTTATGTGAAAGCTTTGGGTCCTTAACCCGTATTGTAAAATTTGTCGTCTATTAAGTCTTTTACATGTATAAGTAGGCCGAGTAATAACTTGGTTCTAGAATCAAAGAATTTTCAGCAAGGAATCCAAGTTGTTCTAATTTCAAACCATTTCTATATTCAATAAATACAATCCATACTAGTTATTTAGGAAATGCCTTTTTATAGGCCGAACGACCTTATTGAATCGAACTGTAAAAGTCCAAAATAGCGTTAAATCAAAAAACGATCCAAATATTGTAATATTTTAATATAAAAAACATATTATGACTTATTGATCGAACTCAATGATGAATTGCTTTTCATGTATAGGTCCTAAATAGCATTAAATCAAAAAACTGGTCCATAAATTTTAAAATTGTACTATAATATTAATTAAAGAGTCTTACACTTTCAAAACATGATATTTAAACACTTACTCTTCCTTGCGAGGCATAGAGCTTTCCCGGCTAGATTCTCTTGAGCTCATCCGCTGCTTCTTTATGAGATTCATTTTGCGCACACGCTCGGCAAGACTGTCTGTCGATAGGATGACTAGTTCATCTGGAATACTTGAAGTTTTACTTGGGGAGGAAGTGACGCGATTTTGTGGGAGAGTTTGTTCCACCTGTCAATTACAAAAACCACATGTAATACTTTTCCAGGCTCATACATACATACATCTTGCTACTTGGTACTCACTTCTTTGATGTCCAGGGCGGTGGTGTGTCGTCGTGGTGGAACCGGCAGCTTGACAGTGACAGCCACATTGTGGTCTTCAGCTGTACGCGAGCTCGACGCCCGTTTGGCCCCATCGTCCTCATCAATGTCCGGCGTGGAGGCCCATGATTGTGGACGCTTCTTCAGCTCTACATTGAAGTGTACAACTGAGTTGAGTCAAGAGCACAAAGAGAACAGCAAGAGAACAGCAAGAGAGGGCATGCAAAGAGCGATTAGCCAACAACATTGAGTTGTTTGATGTCGTTAAAAATTTATATTAGACGTTCTCGATGGCGTTGTGGTTGTTGTTGTTGTAGTTGTTGTGAGCGGTTTTTGTGTCCACAAGACCGTGTGCACATGAACGTTATTACCGTTATTGCAATTGTAAATTGTTTTGTTTGAAGAGTGCGATAATGTTTGCGTGAGGCCAAGACCGTCAAAGAGAGCGAGCATCAGCGTTGTGTAGTACAGAACTCGAACACATTATGCAGATTAGTGTTGATAGTACGAGAAGTAAGTGGTACGAGCACGATTGGTGCACATTTGTGATAACGATGCAAAAAATAATAAGTAGACAACACATTTGATTTAGTTAAACAGCAACTGAATCAACTGAGTTTTCGGCAAGCCGAAAACCTTATCATCCATATCATAATTCAGTATAATATCGATTTAAATTGAAAGTTAAGCTTAAACAAATAGCAGGCATTACATGTATTAAGAGACAATATAGACTGTCATTAAATATAAGTTTAATAATGAACATTTCTTTGTTGCACCAAATTGCACAAATCAAAACCATAACTAGTATTTTAGCGATGTGACAAGAATTTGGTTAGTTTGTAAGCAGACATTATTCCAATAAGACAGTAGTATACTCTATGAATGATAATTATTTAGGCCTGAAAAAATAACAATCATACCGATATCATTACTATTCGGTGTGTTTACTGTGGAAAGGTTCTGTGTAGATGTCCAGGTGCGTGAAGAGGGCCTGAGAAAACATAAATTTCGTTGGGCATGAACTTGTAATCGAAATCTTCTTTCAGTCTTACCTAGCACCTTGCGCATCCGATAGATTTGGCGACGACGCCGCCACATCGTCCACACCACGTCGAGCCCCATGCTCCTTATAGTCCCGAAAACAACGCTTACATCTTGTAGGATAGCGTGTCTGAGGATGGAAGCCAAGGGGGCAAAGCTGATCGCCTTTCAGCGATGGGTACAGATGATGCATCTGTTTTTATACAAATTATCAGCTTTTCTTTTTCTGTAAAAGATAGAACCTGGAATTCAGTACAGGCAGATAAACCAGAAAACGCTGTTCATTAATAAGTATCTCTAACATATACGCATACACCCTGTACGTGCATCTAAAATATATCGCGTCCACAAGTTGTTATAGACCTGTTAATATGCGGGGCACCTACTAAATTGAAAACTTTTAATTAAGAAAACCACGCACATGCTCAAAAAGAAATCGAAAAAAATACAGCAAGATGGAATTTTGGCTAAGTTCCAAGTATATAAACAGAAGAATGTTATGCGTAGAAGAAAGTAGCACGTTGGATGCCAAAGGAAACAAAAAAAAATATTTAAAAAATTGTTCGTCCACTTAGGTCTAGTTAAACACGAATTAACAAGTAATTTTGTAGTAAAAGATGTTCAGGAAGCTATATTTAGCTTGCCACAAATCAATCGGCCTTCATTTGATAACAACTTGTGCTATTTTGTATACACTTGTTACGAATATTTCTTAATTATTTCTACTTTTACGATATTTAAGATTGAAAGGATTTGCTCAAACAAGATGCGCCATTAGAGTAGAAATGTGTTTAAGAATATTTTTATTATTTTATTTAATATTGAATGTTTTGGATTGGAACTTATTCCTTGACATGCCGATGTCAGTTCATGGAACGAACGAAGCTTAAATTTGGAAATCTGGTAGCTAGAGTTGTCCTCTTTATTTACTTAATTGTTAGAGAATATATTTCAAGATAGCTCCATTCCCTTACTCCCAGCTTTTAAAATTTAACGTATGATACGTATCTCATCTAAAGAGTATTTTAATTTAAACGAAGGCCTATATAGGCGAGGCAGATTCTCCAAACATTAAACATTGTAATCTGAATATTCGGACTTGTTCATTAATACGTCGGTATGACTGCAAGGATTTCAGAAAGTATTATTATTTACAGACCCATGAAAGGACAAGTTCGTGTTTTTTTTTAATGTTGTGCGCGACTCTAGCATTTCATTTTTCTTATTTCTTAGGTATGATCATCTTAGTAGCACCGATAAGTTTAAAAAAAAAAACAACTAAAAAGCGTATTGTTTATACTCCCGTGGGTATTTATAGTAAGCTAAAATTTGGAAATACACATACTTATATGACTTGCTAGCAAAAGTTTTAAAATTTAGGAGCAGTTCTTAACAAAGAATAACAGCAAAATGCTAACAAATGTAATTATAAACAAAAGCAAATGTTCTTGTGTTTTTATGAGAGTATAACGGGAACATCAATAAGTGAGAGCTGCGCATACAAAAACAAACCGACTGCGCATGTTTTCCGGCAATAAAAACAGCAAAAAAAAAATAAAACATAAACATAAACATTTTCCACGAGTTGCCTGCAAAATTGAGAAATTCATAAGAGAGTAGCTAAAGAGCAATAAAGAGCGGGGCATCGATCATATCCCAGAGAAGCCAGAGATCCAGAGAGTGTGCGCCCTGATTCGAATCGAATCGAACGGAACGACTGGCGACAACGACAACATTGCAAATCCCTAGCGCGTTAAAAATAATTATCACCGTTTTAACCCATTTTCTGCAGCCACTGGGTACGTCGTTGTCGTGTCAATTTGGACGATTTGCCCGCATCAGGCAGCGGCAATATTACAACATTCTATTACACTTGCACTTACACAAAAAGTTTCCGCATTTAGATGAATTTGAGGCTGAGTGATTGGAAATGGGGCCAGGCCGCAGCTGCCGCCACAATCGTTGTTCCTCCTTCTCCTCCCCCCGACTTTTGTGACACCCACAAATTGATCAGAATATTTCATTTACTTTGCCAAATGATTAAGTTGCGTAACAATAAGACTTTCGCGAATTGCAGCTTCAACTATCGTACTTAGCATTGCCCCCACTCGATAAGTTCTTTTTTCATTTATTGTTTTTCAACTTTAAAAAATACTTAACGGCATCTAAATTTGAAACTTTTGCAATTGATTTGCATTCGACGCGTTTTATTTTGTTTAATTTTGGAATAATCACTTCAGGAAAAATTTACGACTGAAAAATTAGCTGTGTTTTAAAAATAGAACACATTTTGCGTAAATGGCAGCGCACTTTCAGTAAATCTTTTAGTTTCGATTAAAATGCAATATTTTTGTAATTATCTTGCCACAATTTACAATAAATTTGTGTGTTTACTTTTATTCTACAAAACGGGAAAATATTAGGAAATTTAAAAAGTGGCGCAGCGAGCCACTTTTCCAAATTGAATTTTTCACTTGGATCCCGTGTACATATACATATGTGATATCTATATATATATATGTAGGCATGTATATGTATGGCATTGCTTTAATATAACATCAATCGCCCGAGCACATGCTACATCTCTTTCACACCAATTGCACAAATAAAAAGATTGGCAAGCGGACACGATTGCTTCAAATCTGTTCGATGCGAACGTTTTGAAAATCGACGAGAAACTAAATTTAAATATATTTCAAAAGTCTAAAGCAGCCGGGGAGCATACGTTTGTGTCCGTGGAGCCCGGCAATCTCTCCCATTGTTGTTTCGAATGAGGCAGAAGAGCGGCAGGTGCGTCTGAATAAAATGATTCTGCAATCTGAGGATGCTCAAATAATTACTTTTCCATTTGCTTCTGCTTTAAATATCTTGTTTAGAGAGCCCTCTAGCAGCAGGTTTCCAATATTTACACAATTATTATATCAAAAACAGTCATCAAACTTAATATGCACATGTATGTTTTGTAAAAACAAAATTTTAATAGAAGAAGGGGCTTCCTTCCGCCATTATCTAGCTTACAAGCGCCTTTTTATGAGAGTTGTACTTAATTTTTAACTGAAAATAGTGAATCCTTTTTTGAATAAAGTTAAAATAAAATCTTCTATATATTCCTTTTTATCTTGAGAACATTTTACTGTTTTTATATTCGAATCAACCAGTGCCCAAGTACATTTATATAGAAGTTTTTTTTTAAGCTTTCCTAAATTATATAAGACTTTGGTAAATTGTAATATTATGAAATTTATTCAAAAATCATAAAATCGACAGAGTATATTATTTAGAAAGTTTGTGTGAATGTGTTCATGTTATATTGTCTTCAGCTGCAGCTTTGACAGTGAATTTTTATTTATAAAGATTAGTTGCATATGTATAAATTACTTAGAGATTTGTAGTCGCTATGTACTAATGCAGAGTATATTCATGTTTGAATGTATGGTTTGATGTATATATGTATATGTGTGTATGTTTAATGTGTTACACAGAAAAAAAATAGGCATTTTGTTTAATGACAGACATATGCAGATGAAATAACAATAATATGATCATGATGATGAGGGAAACGTTAGACACCAGCCCTATCATGTTGCAGTAGCACCAACAATTGCAGCACCAGTCAGCGATGGGGGTTCAACATCCTTGACAGAATTCTGTCCCACAGGTTCCGTAGATGTGATTAGCTTGTTGCCACTGTCGGGCGAGCTTTGTGCTGCAGGTTCATTATTATTTACATTTAAATTACTTTGCTCCACATCAGCAGAGGCAACAAAATCAACAGCAATTGGAGCAGTTTCTGGGGCAGTGATTGTGAAATTGTTGCTGCTCCTATTCAATTCCGTGCCGCTAAATACCTGTATGACTGAATTATTGTTCATATTCTCAACGGATGCGCCCGATATAGACAAATCATCGGCCGAATCATCTGTCGTACTGTCTGTTTGTACGGCCTTCTCTTCAAGAACATGATCAGTCTCCCGTATGGGGCGGTAGGCGGAGCCATACTGCTTGGATATTTGCAGTAGCTCGCGCAAAGCTTCGTTTTCCATGCGCAACTGGGATATGGTTTTAAGCTCTCGCTGTACCAAGTCGTCGTCTGCATTGGCAGCGCGCTGCATTACAGCGGCCATTTCGTTAATTTTTTCGCGCTGTTCGCATATCACGCGCCATAGGCGTTCGTTGTACAGCTCTTTGAAGTTGATTTTGCTATCCAGCACCTTGGTTACTGTATGTTCGCGGTACTTTTGCATCATCAGCTCCATCGCACGCTCATAGTCCTCAATACAAATCTTGAGCTCTCGGTTCTCTTTCAGAATTTCGGAGCTGTTTACATTTTGCTGCTGTATGCGATTTACCATATCCGCATTGGTCTTGTTGTTTGAAATACGATTAAGGGATTCAATATCGTCCTGATACTGACGCAGACTTTCTACCAATCGATTGTTGGTTTCCGCCTCCTCCAGCAGCGCAGTGCCCAATGCATCCAAGTCTTTTACTCGGCTGGCCATGCGCTGCGCATCCATTATTATCTGGGACACGGATAGATTGGACATACTAATGCAGTTTTTAGCGCCGTAGTGTGCCTTTGCTTAGTCTTCCTTTGTGTTTCAACCTTTCAGATCTGAAATAAAAATAGCAAGAACAAGGAATAAGCTGCTGTTCATTGCAAATTTAGGCTACTCACACCGTAAGCTAATTAATGTGTTTTGTTGAGGAGCTTTAAAAGCGTCCAGTTCACTTCATTTATTTATTATTGTGTTCTTTTTAATTTCGTTTTACATTTACTGCAAATAGCACTATTAGAAATTTTGACGACCCCGTCCTAATTTAGTTGGTGGCTTGACAGCTGACAAGGTTGCCATTACTTTTCAACCTGTGTGCGAAATAGAACCAGTTCATATGTACTACGAAACTCAAACGGAAGCACGTAAATGGACCCGTTTTCTTCACAGTTGATAATCATATCATATATTACTACGTTTTCACGAATTTCAAATTACAGAAATCCAATAATTTTCATTCAATTTAAAAAGATGTGTATGATTGCGATATTGAAAAGAACGTTGTAGAAATCAGAACAGGGTGCTATAGTTTATTCAAGAAAATAGGGCTCTCAAATAAATTCGAAAAATAAACAGATTTTATTATGAGTATTTCGCTTTTAACAGAATTAGGAAACTATCAGTACAGATTTAAAACTTAATATAAAATGGAAGAACTTTGTTTAAAGGCTTAAAAGCTTAGCTTACTTTAAATGTATTTATTGTGTATATTTAAACTAAACTAATTAAGTACCTAAAAATCATTTGCTTAAGTACAAACTCTAATCGTATTGAGATGTCATTTAAGGGAAAAGTTTAGAGAAAGAGGTAGAAAAGTAGCATACGCATAATCACGCAGTCAAACAGTCATAGCTTATATGCACATATAAGTTATTTTAAATGAACTGATCAATGATTGATTTCTTTAAATTCAAAATAAATTAATTTTGAGTTTTTGTTAATGCAAATTAATATCTTACGAGTACAATGACGACATTACACACCAACGCTGTTCAGACTCCCGGAAGAGAGATTCTCAGAGCGACTTGGCAGGCGCGCGCGTTTTATCATAACACGCGCAGATTTATTGGGCGTCTGCAAGCGCGTTGTATCCGAAGACACCAGACTGCTGTCCACGGCTTGATTTAGATTGTTGTTGTTGCTTCCAGCTCCAACGCCACTTCCACCTGCTCCGGCACGCTCTAATGTTCGCTGCGAGCGTCGCAACGATGATGATGACGTCAGGCGTGCATGGCCATTGAAGCCATGGGGTTCCGAATCATAGACGGGCTGTCGCTGAAAGAATCCCAGCTCATTGTCCTGAGTAGTGGGGGAACTCTTATCCTCGTGCTGTGCCAGCGGATTTAACGTGATGTGTATGTGCCGAGGGCGGGCTTTGTTTGGCGCACAAGTCCCTAACGCCACAAAATCTTCTCTTAGCTCTCCAATTCGCGCTTTGTTTAACTCATTGCTACGCCTGCGACGGTATAGGCACAGGCATATGGCTAGCAATAATAACAGTAAGATGGCTCCTCCCCCAACACTACCAAGGAACAAAGGATCAATGCTGAATGCCTCAAATTGACTGGGCGTTGTGGTGTCTACGGGATAATCGTTTGGCTGCTCCGTTGTAGTAGTCTTGGGCCTTTGCGTTCGTCCTTGCTTCAAAGCGCTAAATTCCGATGCAGACATGGCACTAAATGATTGCAGCTTGAACTCGTAGATGGAGCCCGGCTCCAGTGTGTTTATTTGAAAGCTGCGCGATTGTGCGCCCTCAATTGTGGCTTTATAGTATTCACCAGCCGATGAGCTGGGCCTATAGTAGGCATAATAGCCCGATATGAGCTGTTCATCCGCATCGCTCGCGAGACGCCAGTGTAGCACTACTGCTGTTTGAGAATGCTCCTCAATTTGTACCAGCTCGGGCACAGGCAGCGGCTTCAAAGCGGCTCCACGTTGCAGGAAAAATTTCGACGATTTCATGCTCTCCTTATTGTCATTGTTTGAATAGACAGCCATGATACGAAACCGATAGAAGTGCTGAGGCTTTAGATTAGGTACTGATGCTGTAAAGCTCTTGCCTTGTTCATTATTCCATTTGGGTTTACCATAGGCTATATCGTCATTCATAGTCTCCCAATTACGCTTCCCTGAATCCTTCAGCATGCGATACTGCACCTTAAAGAACTGTATTGGCAAGCCATCATTGCGGCGGACATGCCAGCGCAGCATTACGCACTCATCCGAGAGTCGTGTCACATTTGGCGCAGATGGTGGTACCATTATCATTTGCTTACGATGGAGCCGCTCCTGCGTTCGCTGATGTCCCCCTCCATGATTGTGTCTCGTCGGCTCACTCTGAATCTGCTTGGGATTAACCTGCAACAAGGTGCCGGCACTATGCTCTCCCAGTTCATTGCGAGCAAAGCACTGAATGTAGCCAGCGTGGCGTTTCTGAACGCTGTTCAAGATTAACTTGCCATTTGACTGGACACGTGCCTCGCTGTCAAGAGCGATGTTTTCGCCATTAAGCAGCCAATAGATTTGCGGCTCTGGGTCGCCTGTTGCTCGACATTCAAGGTGCAGTTGCTCACCCTCATTGGTCAAGTTTGCACTAGGGGCGCGGACAATACGCGGCAGCTGCTGCACAGTCAATTCTATAAAAAATTCCAAAGTTGGCCTTACCCCATTATCGATATAGCATATATAAATGCCAGCATCCTGTGCCTCCACATTAAAGATCTGCAGACCATAGGGCAACACACGGGTGCGATTTGTGTGCAGAGCACTTCCAGCATTGGGACTGCTCCATACGGACGTAGGTTTGGGCATGCCAACGCTGGGACAGAGCAACAGGACCTCAGGGTCGCCCTCGTGCGCAGTTACTGCCTTGTGCATCAAATGATGGGACAAAAAATGAGGCGCTATTTGTGAAGCACCACCCGCGGAAACAATCTCCAGTTTTATGCGTTGCGGCAATGCAAGCTTTAATCCTAAAACTGTATTAGTAGCTGCACAAGAATACAGTCCGCTATCTGTTTCTGAGGCTGGCGATAGCACTAGCGTGTCATTGTTTGCAGTAGTAGGGGCTTTCACTTCCACACCATTGCGATAGAAACTCCAAGCCGGTGCCGGCTTCGAATTGATCTTACCACATGGCAGCAGCAATGTATTTCCAGATGTTGCTCGCCAATAAATTGGCTCTGTCGAAGTATCTGGCTCATTTAGCTCAATGGTTGCCAGATCCAAACGCGCCGTTGTAGATGTTACCGCCACAGGACCGAACCAGGCCACACATCGATATTCGCCTTGGGTATCATGTCGCACAAAGACACTCAACTTCGATACGGCATTCGCATTGGTAATGTTGTGCAGCTTTCCACCAACGACTTTTGAATACCTCATTCTGAAAGCAAGAGAACGGCTGCTTGAATTTTGATGGCGTCGATATCTCCACTCAAAAAGATCCGGTGCCAAACTGGTCTCGCATTCGAAAACGATTTCATCACCATTTGGCGCTACCCTGGACTCAGGAGCGCGCAATATTTTTACACCAGGCGATGAGGAGGCCAAAACCGGAATTACTGAGAGCAGCGACGTCAGCAGCAGCAGAGGCAGCGACAGCGAAGGGTGTGAGTGTGATGGCGACATTTGGGACTGAAAAATCCAATGAACAAAAAATGTTAAGAATCCAGCCTCTTTAATGCAATAAATATTTCATTTATATTACATTTACCTGTTTGTTGTCGTCTGTCTGTTGATTTTCCTACCAACAAGGGTTGCGTTTGCGCAGAGCTATTAACAACACAAATATGCTCTGCAAACCGAGTGCATTATCGTTTTTAATACTAAGAAGAGTATGCCATTAATATTTTTCGTTGTATAATTATGAGTGGCATTTAAATAATTGCACCAAGAAACAATAACATTTTATTATTTTCCATTTGGATGCTGCGACAGCAACGCTGGTTCAAGATGCACTGATTCGTAAACTCGCTACTGGTTCAATGGTTCCTGAGCGATCTACAACAATGCAAACGTGACTACGAAGAAGTGATCTACAAGCGAACCAAAAACTGCTGCATGTCCACTAAGAAGGAAGGGGTACGCCAAAGATTTAAAATTGAGTACAATTAATATTTCTGAATTAGTTTATTACCAAATGATTTGAATGCAATGATATTCATTTCGTTCTTAATTTCTAGGACGACAATCAACATCAATTGTACATATTTACATATGTTGAATAGTTTGATTTCGCGGAAATAAAACAGCCAGACAGAAAAAATTATCGGTATGTATATATGTAGTATTCTTTGTTGTTATATCCTATAGCGGAGGCATTTACATTACTTCTTACATTTAAGTGTGCGTTTGGGCCGATGATTTAGGCAGTGCCTGCAAGCGCTGGCGTCGCTTCGTCTCAAATTCTGTAGCCAATTGCCAAGTTTCCTTGTCCAGATCAGCTTTGCCGCGCGCGATACCTAGTAGGCGAGAGAGCACCAATAACCCATGCAAGTCATCGGCATTGCTCTTCGCATTCGACTTCCGCATCTCGACGAAATCTTCCTGTATCATGGTGGTATGGTCATCACTGACATTAAATTGACTGATTCGCGCCTGGGTCAGATAGTTTCGAAATTGCAGCAAACGATCAGGGTTTAAATAGTGTAAGGCAGCTTTGAAAGATTCCTCAAACATCTCCACAGATTTGGCATCGGCATTAACCGGCAAGCAAAAATCACACTATAAGTATAAAAAGGGGTCAAATTAATCAGTTTTTTAAACGCTAATGCTAAGTTGTTCGAGACTTATTCGATTTGGATTGCGTATATATGTACTTACAGGCAGCATGCTGCGGCCCTCACTTAGAATCATTACGGGTATATCGACATTGTAGTCTAGGTGGAAAAACTTAAAGTCACACTTCAACTGCTGATTTTTGATTAAATGTGACAGATGCTGCATGCCCAGCACTCCACTGCTCTCTAATTTTCCCGGTTGCATGCGTGTCTCGTCAAGGACAAGGTGTGTATGGGGTGCCAATTGCAGCATTCCAGATACCAGCTTATTTGTGTCATAGTCCTTTCTGTTAAAGAAATATTACAGTATGAATAATGTATTTTATTAACCAAGCCTATTCACTTACATTGGCGCAAATGCAGATGTGTTCATAGTGTCCAGCGTCATAGGTATGTAATGGCTAGCTGGTAGCAGTAGCTCCATTATCTTGTATAGTTTTATTGTGTATTCCTGCAAGCCCTCCGTGGGTAAATTGCATATGTTAAGAGAAAATTTACCTATGCTTTGCATTTGAGCGCGGCTGTAAACTGTCGAAATAAGATGCGAGATTAAATACTCGGCGGCTAGGTCATCATCGAACAAACAAAGTTTAAATAAAATGCGCATCTCCTTGTGCACTGTTTCTTGTGATTTTGGCGGGATGTTTAAGTGAATGTCTGTAGGCTGCAGTAGACTTAGATCCAACAGAGGATTGGCATGCGACAAAAGACGCAATCCAAAAGCATGCAAGCGAGGTATTATAGATGGCGGCGGGTTAAGTGCTTGAAGTTCCTGCATATTTTCAATATCGTTATTGACATCCAGTGTCGTTGCATCTAATGCGGGATTCACTGACAAAAAACCAACAAAATCCACTATTGTATTGAGTGGGATTGCATCAAAATCCTCGTAAATCTTCACCATACAAGCCATGCTTGGACGACTTGGTAACGGCGAATTCAGAAAATATTCCGTACTCAACACTGGGGCTGTCTGCTCCCCAGATGAGCTCACATCCTTCAGCTGTGTAGTGCATTGCCTTTTGCAAGCCTCACTGGGTATATCCACATCCATTTCGATATTGTCTCCCTCATCGGCGGCTCGCTTTCGGGCAACACCTGATGTCAACGATGAATCCATATGAGGCTCTACATTACACTGCTTTTCGTGCTCTTTGACCCATTCATTGAGGCCCGGAATTGAAACAACAAATAGTGTGCGCCGCGTACTATGTACATTTGACTCGGCACTGTAGTCTACAGTCTCGCCATGGTGCAACCGCAGACAATCACGATATTTTCCCTGCTGCATCCGCGTGCTGCCGTTCGCTGCCTTAACCTCATAACTCTCAAGGTACATTTCTGGATCAATCATGTCCTGCACCATGCCACGAAATCGCACCAAAGTTTCATCTTTCAGCTTGTGCATTGGCGTGTAGTTCAAAAGCGGTATGTTTTTATATTTTTCCTGGTCCCGCAGCAGCTCTTTCCATCCAGTGGACGTAGACTCCCGTTCCATCAGCTCATCAGGCGTACTGGGTAGTTCCATACTAGAGGGCATTCTTTGTTTTAAATATAAAAACCACTTAAATTATTTAGTAAACACACCAACAGTTATCAATCGCGTTTTGCCCGCCAAAATCGTTGGTGGATTAACATTCGATAACCAAATAAAATGAACTCTCACAGGAACGCTTTTCTAAGGTTGTTTCAACAACAGATGTATAGGGCTGGAAAGTCCGCTAATTTAAAAGCAGTTGTCGATATTTGTAATCGATAATATTAATCGAAAATTCCTAAAAATTTGATAGGGTGGGGGTGTTGTGCTCCATACATAATTCAAATATGCATATTTTGCACAAAACTAAATATTTGTATCAGATAATCCATCTACTACACCCGTATTTATGATTATCAATTTCAAACAAACATTACACCTCCACTACACTTGCATTTATGAACGCTGTCGATAACTAGTTATATAGGATTTAAATTGCTAAATTAATTTTTTATTAAAAAGTTAAAATTTGAGAGTGATTGTCTTAAATTAAACTTTTACAAACTACAAAAACTTTACTTTAATCTTAGAAATGTTTAACTTAAAATCATCTTATCACCGGACATAGAATAACTGGGCTTGCACAAGCATATATCCAATTCTTAGCCTCGATAATCCGGATCATTGTGTTCCTCTTCATCCTCCTCCTCTTCTTCTTCATCATCTGTAAATGTTGAAAAGTTTTAAATATAAAAATTCAAATATTAAATTAAATTAATTATTCGTTGTCTCACCGTGTTCTCTGCGTTTGCGGGTATATGCACGACGTGTAGCCACCGGGGCCTGGTCAGTTTCGCCATGAAGCAATGAATTCCGATACAGCACTAGCGGTTGCCACTCCTCGGCACGACTAGATGGCATTCCAGGTGGTATTACCTTATCCAGAAAGCCCATAATTACCTTCTTATCTTGTTTGAGTAATTTGTAATTGAACTCGTTCAGAACTTCGAGAAATAGCAGTCGTGTCGGTGCACGCACTGGATCATCCGGTTGTTTGTTGGCCGCAAAATAGATCCCACCACGATGAATAGCTGCAACTGACTCGCGATTTTTTATCGCATCAAAACCAAATGTCAACGCAAAGCGTTTGGCCAACTCTTTAAGATCGGTAAATTCCTGAGAATTTTTGGCTACCATGCCATCTTCAGATTGATCCTGCAAGCTTTTGAAGACCGTTATCAGGCTCAGTAGTAACGTCATAGCGAAGTTGACTTTGTTGATCTCGCGTGCCTTGCCCAGTGTGGCTTTGATAATATCGCCATATTCCATGTAGCACTGCAAGTGGAATGCATTTTATTAAATTATAAAGCTGTATTTAAATGAAAAATAAACAGGCGGCCATACCTTCACATAGTATTTGAAAATTGTCGCTGCTCTCATTGTGGGTATAATGTTGTAGACAATGAGTTTGCAATAACAAGCCAAAAAATTGCGTTTCTTGTGCAGTTCTTCAATACGAGTCTCATCCTGCGCAACAACTTGTTTCAACGAAAAGACATAGTGTTGTACAAAATTGTCCAGGATTAAATGCTCATCCATACGAGACTTATACTCCAAGCTTCGAATCTGTTCAATCTCACTGCGCCCCAGTTGGTCGGAAAATATAATAAGTAGGTCGCAAACAGATTGATAGGCCTGTGTGTGAAGTAACAATATACATATATATAATGTGTGTATCGGGTAGAAGATTTATACTTACCGCCTCTTGTATTTGCACCGTCGGACCATCACGCGTCAACTCAAAACAGGCTGACATGAATGTGTCCAAATTGCTGCGCAATTCCGCCACAGCATCAGAAATATGCATAGTTTCACACTCGTTCTCCACATAATAAAGTCCCCAACTAATTGAAAAATAACAGGCCTCAATACAATAGGCCAAGGCCTCGTTAGGAAGACAACGTTCTCCATTCTCTTTGGATTGTGCCTCCTCAACGTCTTGGAATAGCGATTTGAATAGTTCCCACGGGTTAAGATTGTGCGATGAATACAAAATAGATAAAACCTTAAGAGTTATGGTTATGTTATAGATGTCGTCTTCATTAGGTGTTTCTTCGCCTGCGAAAAATTTATAAATATTAGACAATATTTAAAAGGTATGGCAACAAACTCTTATACTTACCCTGTATTAAATTTCGCCATTCATCAATGGCGTCTTTGTATTTGTTGACAGCACTTTCAATAATATTGGAGCGAGCTATGTTGCAGCGTGTGTAGGTAGCACTGCCTTCGGCGCAAAGGCACTCCAAAGTCTTGGCACAGGTCTCAAGAACATCGCGTCCAGTATGCTTGCACATTACCTGACTAATTTTGTCGAGCAGCGCCTGTAAGTTTCCCTCTTGTCTGTTGGTTGTATATAGATTTAAATCAAAGTATTGCGGCACTGCCAGCAAATTGGCCAACTTCTCGCTATCGGCCTGATACTTCTCGAGCAGTGCTGGCAGTGTTACGATAAAATGTTCTGTTAGTTTTGCCTTTTCATCCTGAATGGCTTTCACCTCTTTGACGCTGAGTGTGAATTTACGATTGCTAGCGCGTCCTACAGGCACTTCACCCGTTGCCGATTGCTTGACACTGCTGACCATGATCTCTATGAGCGTGGATTCTTGCTTATTATCCAGCACCTCTTCATTTGGTCCAGGCTCTTCCAGCAGTAAATCCGTCATGCATTCCCAATCGCGCATCATGACATTGCTATCAATAAACGAGTCAACCAGGTAGGCGCCGTGTTCATGAAGCTCAGATTCAATGAAGAATTGTACCAGATCACGTATAAGCGGCGTATTGGGCAAACGCACCTTGCCTCGCTTGGTCTTTGTTTCTTCCATGTCAGCGGTCAGATGGAAGAGCCGCACGTTGAGGAATTCTGCGGCAGCTTGAGCGACACCACGATGAGAGGAGTAAACCAACTCATAGACAATTTCACAATCCTTATCAGCCAAAATCTCAGGATGGATTCTGTGGTAGACAAGAAATATAATTTATAAACTGCATCTCACAGTCTATATAATATACATACTTTAATATACTAATAACCAGCTTGACTGCATGGACGGATACTTCAAATTCCTTATCCAGTGTCATGGCCACAATTCTATCTTTAAACTTCGACGTGAAAAGTTCAAGTTTTCCCTTTAGCTCGTCTTGATCATAGAGAGGCAAAAGCGATTGCAAACAACGCAAGCGCACCTCTCCAACCTTGTCATGAAGTGTCCAGCCAATGTATTTTAGATAGGAGTCATCAAGAAAATTCTGCGGATAATTCTCCATCCATATGCCTATCTCTGCCATACAAATGGCACGAATATCTGGCAATGCATCGCGATATCGATGTACAAATACCGACTTAAACATGTACGTTAACATGCTCTTTATCTCATCCATGTTCTCCTCAAGCTCGGAACGTTTGGTATTCAGAGAATCTAGACGATCAGAAGCGCGACGGTCGCGAGACTGCAAAAGAAGATTTAAATCTAAAAATTCGAAACAGTTATTGTTAAGATCTTACCTTTACACACTCCGCTTCAAACTGTTTTGCTGCATTATCAAAATTGTTTGAAACGAGCAAAGCCACATCTACCAAGGCTGTCATCAATTTCATGGCTGCCAGAGTTGCAGTGTGGCGGAAAGCACGGACTTGGGAATCGGACAAGCCTGTCAGCAGTGATATAACATTGTCCATCAGAAACTGATCATAGATAATGGAATACTGGCATTGTTTAACAAGCGTTTGCACAAAATCACAGAAGTTATTTTTGAATTTCTTCCACTGTGTGCCAGTCATAATCAATGGATACTCGCCGCTTTCCTGAAATTTGAAACAAATAATGAAACACCTCATAATTCCTTATATAATATAATGTACCTCATCAAACTCTTCCGTCATTCTTCTTATAATGGCTGTATGATCAACTGGATATTGTATATCCTTTGATATTTTACCCTTGCAACCGCTGGCATTTATAAAAAACTGCATCAAAGTAACAAGTGCCGTCTCCCGGTTTGTTTTATACTCTTCAATCCACTGGTCTACAATGTTCTGTAAAAAAAAACAGCTTTATTTAGTAAATGTGAGTTTGCTGGACCAATACTCGCTTACTGCAATAGGATTTTTGGAATGGCGCACTATGTAGTACAAGCTGTTTTCATCAGTGGTTATTTCACGCTCATTGTCAATGCGCTCTTGATGGTGCGACTTTTCGACGGGTTCTTTACGCGGTCGTTCCACGCGCTCCTTACGCTCAGCTGGCTGCTTGCGTGTTTGTGGAGTCTTTCGTTTGCGTGCAACTGGCGCAAAAAAGTCGTCCTCATCATCATCTATAATGGGCGGTTTGTCGCGCACACCTCCACGGGCACGCAATCTGGTCATACGCTTGGTTGGACTGTCTCCGTCCGAAGTGCTCTCATTCAGTACATCACTTCAATAAGAGTTTCATTATAGAAAGCTATATTTTCAGACCGCCAGAAACACCCATAAATACCTGTGAATGCCTTCCTCATAGGGAGGTGGATCGTCCATGCGAATCCGCTTACCGCCACGTCGGGCTAACATTTTGCAAGCTTTAAAGTCCAGATAGGACAATAATTCTCCCCACAACTGAAACTGCAAAACAAATATGTAACTTTTCTCCCGATCGAGCGACGCTGTACATGTACATCGAAGCTGTAAAAACACAAGGTTGCGATTCGATACTGTCCACCATGTGTTTCGATAACATTGCAGTAGTTGCATCAACTATACCATCTCTAATAGGCTATAGTGGCTCTGGCAAATATTTACGCGTTGCCCATTCACATTTCCTTTTTGTTCGATTAGTACATATATTTATATAAAAAGCCTTCGCATCAAATGACAGATTTCGGTTCCGAATCCGGTGGTCGTCTTAAAGGCGTCACTATTGTAAAGCCAATAGTGTACGGCAACATTGCGCGGTCATTTGGCAAGAAGCGGGAAGAGGATGGTCACACACATCAATGGAAGGTCTATTTAAAGCCCTATTACAACGAGGACATGTCGATTTATGTCAAGAAGGTACATTTTAAGCTGCACGAGAGCTATGCAAATCCTAACCGCATTGTGGTCAAGCCGCCATATGAGATAACAGAGACCGGCTGGGGCGAATTCGAGGTGGTCATAAAAATCTACTTCAACGACCAGTCCGAGCGGCCGGTGACATGCTACCACATTCTGAAGCTGTTCCAGTCGCCTGTAGTTGACGGGGAGCTTACGTCTTCTACTACCATGGATACAAAAAAGGGATTGGTGTCGGAATCGTACGAAGAAATAGTTTTCCAAGAACCCACCCAAATCATGCAGCATTATTTGCTTCTGTCGGATCAGAGTTCCATCGGTTTGCTCAACCACGACACAGATTGTAAGCCAATTAATTGACATCCCTATTTCTTTAAAACACCATTTCTTTTTTTAGTTGAGGAAAAAAAGAGAAAAACTTTGGACAACATTGTGAATGTAAAACAAAAAGTAAAAGGAGAGATTGTTACTTTAAAGGATAGGCTTAAACTGGCTCGAGAGACGATCGTTAAGTTCAAGGCAGAGCTAGCCAAAGTTCAAAAAGCATCCACTTAAAATAATTCGAAGTCTGCAATTCTGGTTACTTAAGTTATTATCAAATACATTTTTAAAATAATTAGTTCGTATGCAAAAATCGTATTTTTCTTTAACTCGTGCCCAATTGTTCAGGAATTGGAAATACTATTATTGGATAATCGAAAGGTTTAATGTAGTGAGTTCATATCCTTCTTAAGTATTATATGGACATACGGACCGGCAATACAGCGGAAATTTAAAAGGAAGTATTATTCATGGCAAGAAAACCGAACAGATAGGTAAACGGATGGTTTTCAATTGTTTCGCAATTACATTTTGTTATTTTTATAAATTATGGTATTTATAAAGTGTCATTATATGTATACGAAGACTAAAATTAATGCAAGCCTTAAAATTACATATTATTCAAATATTAAAATATTCAGAAAGTATTAAAATGGGAAAAGAATATTAGGCTAACTTAAAGTGTACATCCGAAAAAGCGCAATTTATTAAAAAAAAAAAAAGAAAACAAATAACCAGCATACTTATGTTGCCCTATTCGCTTTTGTTTAGAAAATCATCGCAAAAGGAACATCAATAAAAACAAAGGCAACGAGAAATTGTCCAGCACTGTTTTCCCAAATAGCGATGAGCTGTAGTATAAAAATCGTATCGTGACAATTATGACTTGCATTTAGATACGAAGGATTGAGAGCGAATAATTATCTATTAACAGTATCAGCTTAAAAGGGACCACTATAGTTGTAAGTGTTCCATTTTATTAGTTAGATTATTAATTACTTAGATGACTTATGTACGTGTGTTTTTCTAAAAAGTCGGTAGTCAATTATAATGGTGTTAAATATCTTTTCGATTTATGTAAATAGTGCCCATCTCTACTGTTTATTTACGTATTAGTGAGCTTTTTTTGCAGTCATTAAAGAGAGCTGTGAGCGCTCAGTTGCGGGTATTTCTACATATTTTATCGTTGAATTATTTATACATACGAGTATATAGTATGTACGTATGTCTATAGTATGCAAAACAACATTAAGAGTGAGAGCCAGACAACATTTCAGTTTGATTTAAAGTGACTATTCCCCGTAAGTGTAAAAATATTTTCATTTTATGTAATAAAGAATACGCAAGGGAGCGAGAACAAGGAAAAGCGTTTGTATGCGCCCCCAGAATGCGCACAAGCTGTGCGAAATCAATTGGGCAAAGGCAGCAGTAGAAATAACAACAACAACAGCGGGAAAATCGATTTCGGGCGCAGACAGCTGCAACGACGACTGTGACACTGTGGCAGTGAAAAAAATAAATTTGCTACGCAAAATGACTGACAAGAAAAATGCACATTTGCATGGCAGTAGAAGCAGGTGCTCCGTTTTGAGGACCCGGCCACAGGAGCGCTGGAAAAACACACTATCCATATGTTTTGTTATACTATGCGTGCTAAACGTTTATGTCGAGGCGACAGACACAGACATTGCGTTGGATGCCAAGGCGACGCTAAACCACAGAATCGACAGCCTTAATCTGCTGGTTTACACCTTTCTGCTGACACTGACCGTGCTTACAATATGGCTGTTCAAACATCATCGCGTCTCGTGGCTGCACGAGACCGGCTTGGCTGTGATTTATGGTAAGTCAAATTTCTTAATTAACAGCTCTCTGTATGTAAATTTGTGGATGATTCTGTCATTGCCAACAATATTGAAGTTTGAACAAATCCATGACATTGTCACCATTGTTCGTACGTTGCACGCAATGGCACCATTTCACCAGATGTGCTATTGATTATCTGTCACTCACCTTCCACCAGTATGTCTAGCTCTGACTCTGGCTGATTGTTCCCCATAATGCCCCCTGTTTCCCGTTGCCATTTGCAACGACGACGACATTCCATTTGTTCAGGTGATGATGACGCTTTTATTGTCACTTCTCTCTCTTCTTCGCTTCCAGCTTTGTCTATAATTATTCAAACCCTACGCATGCCCCTAACAATTCTACTTAATTTATTTTAACGAGCCATTCCTATGTACAGTTGGCTAACATTTAGACGGGTAAACCAGCCTTATAGCCTTAAAACATTTGTCCAATAAGCATTTTCACAATTCGTTAATTTGCGTGCATGCTTGTGTACATTTCTATTTACTACATGTTCACGTTACCGAGTGCATATATCATGTACATAATGTACATCTATATACATATGTACACGTTTCTAATTACTCCCCTATCACATTTGAATTCAACCCGTGGGGCTTTTATTGCAGGTTTTTGCTTACGTTAACGTAATAACGTTAATCGTAAAAACCCATGAACATGGCACAAAACCTGTATTTTAATCCATTAGCATCACAAGCTAATATCATGAAAGTGTTTTAATAACTTTATCATTGTAAGAACTGTTCATTTGACTATTTTCTGCTAGGAATAGCAACAATTTGTGCAATGAGTGTACAAAAATATGATTACTGCACCCCCTTATCAGTAAAGTCTTAAATATTAAACGCTGCTTGAATGAGTTGAATGAGTCAACATGATTTCTAAGGCCTAATTGAGTCTAATGAAACAATTCAATAAACAGCATAAGGCGTGACAAACGCGTAGACACATAATGAATAATTAAATTGTGTTTGTTTGCAGAAATAATCAGTTAACAGCTTTATATGTGTATGCCCTACAAGTTGGCATATCTATCTTCTATATTCTTTTAAAATGAAAATATAACTACTTTTATGTGTTTATAAAAGTATAGGAAAAATACTTTTAAAAGATTCCGATAAGCACTGCTGGCTGAGTCAGAGTAATTGCTAGAATATATATGTGCACAAATGGCTATACTTGTATACTATGTGATAGATGGGGCAGCATTAACGATTTTTAATTTGCTTTTTTCTTCAAGGACTAATTGTTGGTGCTATCATAAGATATGCGGGGGCATCCACCACACTCGTTCACATGCAAGTGGAACCCCAAGGCACGCCCACATACCATGAAAAGCTGCCGCCTGATACGCTCTGGTTTAAGGTATACGATTGTACTAATTTGATTCTGCTTAAAGAACTCGAATAACTTTGTTTTGATTTCTGAATTAAGTATCCTGTTAATCAGACCAACAGCACAAGGCTGCCTGAGGGCATAAAGACATATGCCTATGTTTTTCGTGGACAAGTGTACGATGTGGACGAAAATGAAATAGATCTTAAGGCCACATTCGATCCTGAGGTGTTTTTCAATATTATATTGCCGCCAATTATATTTCATGCTGGCTACAGCTTAAAAAAGGTAAGCTTTTCGCTTAGTTTGCATTTGTTCAATAGGAATTAATGTCCCATATATTAATGCTACTCCGCAGAAATACTTCTTTCGTAATCTGGGCGCCATCTTAATGTTTGCGATTGTGGGCACGACTCTATCAGCGTTCCTAATCGGTGGTTTTATGTACGGCTGTGTGAAACTGATGCCAAAATATTTGAGCAGCAGTTTTACATTCCTGGACACGCTTTATTTTGGAGCGTTGATATCGCCAACAGATCCACTTACCATATTAGCCATATTTCATGACTTGCACGTCGATGTCAACTTATATGCGCTGGTATTGGGTGAATCTGTGCTCAACGATGCCGTTGCCATAGTGCTAAGCGGGTAAGTAATTGATGTATGATTTAATCAGTTTCCTTTAATAATATATATTTCCTTTATATTATCATTCCTAGTGCCATACAAAACTATGGAGAGCATTATTCAAATACAGGCGAATTCGAGACGACAGCCTTTTTGCGTTCGATGAGTGACTTCTTCTCCATATTTATTCTATCACTGCTGATTGGCGCGATCATGGGTTGCTTTACAGCATTGATATCCTTTTCAAATCATTTATTAATTGAATACTCTGTACCTCAGAGAATGGTTATAGCTAAGACTGTCAGAGTCCTTTACTTAAACACTTTAGTTTAAGCATGATTTAGTTCCCTGAAGTGGATTGTTTTATCTTCTGACTACATAATTTAAATTTCTATTGGGTACAGGGTAATTCCTAATCGAATGCCTTTCCTTTTAGTCTAAGTTTGATTGTATTCCTTAACTCTTGCCACACTTGACCAAATTTACGCGCGTTCGAGACTTTCCGCTGCTGGAATCAGCCTTATTTGTGCTTATGTCCTACAGCACTTTCCTGTTAGCCGAAGCTACGGAATTGACAGGCGTTGTGGCCGTATTATTTTGCGGTATTTGCCAAGCACACTACACGTACAATAATCTATCGGAGAGCTCTCGGCAACGGACCAAGCAAATTTTTGATTTGTTGAACTTTTTGGCCGAGAACTTCATATTTTCGTACATCGGTGTATCGATGTTTACGTTTCCGAAGCATCATTTTGATGCAGGCTTCATCGTGACAGCATTCGTAAGTGAATTGAAATATACTTAAGTATATGGGATTATTTTAAACTCTTGCTGCTTTGATTCCAGATTTGTGCTGCCATTGGACGTGCTGTTAATGTATATCCATTGTCCTGGCTATTAAATATTAAACGTAAACCCAAAATTTCATCGAACTTCCAGCATATGCTCTTCTTTGCTGGTATGCTAATGAAAAAGTGTACGTGTCTGACATCATAATAAATCCAATTATTTTTCTACGCGTAGGTTTGCGTGGCGCTATGTCCTTTGCCCTGGCTATACGTAACACCGTCTCTGACGCACGCCAAACCATGTTGACAGCCACATCCTTGATTGTTATTTTCACAGTCATTATTCAAGGAGGTGCTGCAAACTTTTTGCTGAATTGGTTAAAAATACCGTAAGTTCAATGCTGGGTTATTGGATCTGAGGTCCTGTGTATAATATATAAACTTTTAACATTGCAGTGTTGGAGTCGATGATGAGACTGAACAATTAAACAATTATCAAGTTCACAGTGTGAGTATTAAAATGTATCCACTATTTAATTTAGACAGTTTATTTCATAACCGAGTTCGATTGTAGGGCTGAGTTGAAAACCGTTTATGCTTTTTAAAGTATAAAAGCTCTAGATTATGGGAAATGTCTTTCAAACCATAACTTCTAAAGAAAAACTTTTAATTGCTCGATTATCAAACTTAACCAAAGTTGAATAGTGTTTTTTTAAAGGTTTAAAGTAATGCATGGAGACGACGTGACAGAAGATTTAAGATGTTTGGGATGGGATGGGAAACTTTTTTATCGAACTTTATTCAACAAAAATGTTGCAATCTTTTTTAAATCGGTTAATGCTTACGTATATTAAACTCATTAAATACATAATTTTTGTATGCGATTTCCTTTATTTGTTTACGCAATTCACAACATCTCGCATTTCTACCAAACTAAAGGTTTACAATTCTATGGATAATTCACATCCACCGCCGGTACGTTAACAGTTCATACAATAAGTGTGCTTATTTGTTGTGGCATTTCATGAAACATGTTGCTTGAGTTTTGTACTTTATTTTTATATTTAAGTAAATCCTTTAAAATCATAATTTCAATGTTGTATTATTAGTTGCTTTGCTTGCCAATGTAGTGCTAATACAGGTTTGTTTGAATTTGCTTAGTCTGATGGCTATTTGCAGGATGCGGAGGCTGGCGGTGGGCGTGGCAAAACACGTCTATCTAGTGGCGCCGATTCGAATCTGGACACGCCCATTGATGGCAGCGTGCCCGGTGTGGGGGCGCGGCGGCGCAACAGCCACGAGAAGGCTATACTTGCGCGTATTTGGGGCAACTTTGATACCAAGTGAGTATATTATTGACTATAAACTAAGTAGGGAGGGGGAACTACAGAGAATTCTGAACAAATAAGTTGTTAAAATTAAAATAAACTTAATTTTTTATTATCACTTCTGGAATTTGTAATCGCAACAAAATCACATGATTTCATTATTTTTGAAAGAATTTAAATTTTGCAAAACTAACTGGAGCCCATTATAATTTATGTATTTCTTCGCAGATATATGAAACCATTGCTGACCCACTCGCGTCCCACACTACTGGAGACTTTGCCAGTATGTTGTAATCCCATCGCGCGTTTGCTAACCACCACACAACAGCTAACGCAGGTAAGTGCGATGCTAAAGCAGTCGATCAATAATTGAGCAGGTGAATTAAATAATTAATTATTTTGTGTAGGATGGCAGCGAATTTCGACGCGTTGATTCCGATTCGGACATTTGCATCGATAATGATACAGTCACAGGCAATGGCCTGAACAGTGATGGTCTGGGCGGTGCCCGACGCAACTCAATAAATCGCGTAAGTATACGTTATACAGGCGATACTCACAATCTACTTGCTAGCTACAGAAATCTTGAATGAACCACCAAAGACTAATACCATGTAAAAAATGATCAACTAACAATGCAACCAAAAACAAAAAACAAAAATTAATCCAAAAATAAAACCACCAAATAGATGCCTCGGCAATGTAGTTACATCGAAGTAATCAAAATTAATTTTAAAAAACCACTACTTATATTTGTGATGTTTGCTTAAGTCCTATTTAGTTTGTTAAACTAATAATTTTGTGCAACAAATCTGATATAAAACAGAATCTTTCATTTTGTATATTAATGAATCAAAATTTTATGTTATTTTGTTATAAATTTGTATGCCAAATAACTTTCTGGTCTTAAATATATTTATTGTTATGTTTTTTTAAATAATGAGTACTTTGCATGCCAATCAAATTTAATTGGTACATTATACACATACTAAGTATTAAAATGTAATTAAAGGAAACCAAAAATATTTAACTTTCTAAACGAAAGAAAAAACGTTAATTCTTTTTTTCTGCGTCATCTTTCTTTCTTTCCTCAAACATCTAACAACCTCATGCGGATTTCAAATTATCAATTTGACTTGGGTTACACATTATATAATACCACACATGCATATACAATCCATACATATATACATACACATGCGTGCATACAATATATAACGCATTCATTGACTTGGCCAAGTCAAATGTTTTGAATGAAACAAATCACATTGCAAACGAGCTCAGCTTGGTTACTAATAATTTCATGTGAAAATTTTAAAACGAAACAATTTCTTGATATTAAACGAATTTATTAACACAACAAGCTTGATGGTTTAAGAATATTTGTTTGAGTTAAACGTAATTTGCACAGTTCCGTTCTATTTTATATTAGAGCATTTCGATTAATTTGGTTAGGCGCCGACAAATCCTTGAATAATTCACCCGCAAACAAGTGTAATCCTCTCGATTCCATTCTGAGTACGTCTATTAGCATCTACCATTTCTTTATTATGGTAAAAGAAAATAAACTTCACATTCAAATATCAACATTTTCCAAGCCATTCTGGCGTTGGTTTTTTTAGAAATTGTTCTATTGAGTTTCGTTTGAAGAGTAACATACGAGTAGGATAATTCGGGATTATCATCGGGAAGAACTTTTAACATATCGCTAGTGTAATAAATAAATTCTATTATAAAAATAGATTCAGCTATGTGATTTACCCTGTCTGTCCTTGGAATTTTGAAGACACTTCTTAAAGCACAATTTTGGTTTTAAAAAAATATATACTCCTACATATATGAAAAATATAACATTTTTAGTTTTGTAGTATTTCGTTGAACCTAACATGTAAGTACTTATGATTTATTTTATTTATTAATTTATTTTGTTCATCTAATACTGTCTATGCAATGCTCACATTAATTTGCGCACTAATCATAAATCCATGAAATAAGTTGGTAGAAGATAATATTTAATTTCTAATAAAATGGAACAATGATTTTATTGTTGTTACAATTTATTTTGATTAATTTGTTTGAATCGTATTTATTTTTCAGGTAACAAGCGAGCAAAATGTTTATATTTAAGTTTAATGATTTAATTTTTATCATTGTTATCAAATTTATTAAGTATCATTATAAATGAAATCACGTACAAATTATACATTTTTATTTACGCAGCATTGTGATTTGAATCTAGTTAAATATCTTATTTCATGAATGTGTTGTTAGTTTTTTTTATAAGATGAAGAAGTTTATATGTTTTAAGAGCAAGTGTAAAATATACCAAGAAGTGGTGAAGAATTAAAAATCATAGTCTCATGTTCATACAGGATATAGGCAGCAAGCTGATTCCAGTTTAAGCATCAAATACAGTCAAAATTGTAATTACTTTTAATTCTATGCTACGAATATTACTGTATTATAATATGATTTGAATTACAGATGGTTTGGTTTGTCAACGTTATTCAAATGTTATTCAATCAAATTAAAAGTTGATTTTTGTTTATTTATTTATTTATTTTTTTGTTTCTTTATTTATTTTTACTCGTGTACCGTTCTGTGTAATTGAACGGCTTAGTATTGAACCAGCTTAGTTTTCTATTGCAATCGTTTATTATTGAAATTTTATGAAAGCTAACATTTACGCTTTAGGTAACAAACCCATATTACTCTTATTCATAGCAATATTCCTTCTCTTTTTTATTTTTATCGCCGCAACATTTTATAACCGAATGTAAAAAATATAAACTCCTGGTCATATATAAATCACATTCTTCAAAACCAAATTATTAACTTAGATGGAAATTCTGGAACACGTTCAAAGTCCGGTGTCTACGAGAATAAGGCTATTAGGATTTTACGGAAAGAAGTTATAGAAACGATAAAATTACATTTTTACAAAAATTAGATATTTCTATAAAGATATGCTAATGAGGCTTTTTAAATCGATGAACAATAAATAATGTACATATATATTTTTTTAAATCAATTGCAGTTTGTTGAAAATTGTTTCGTTTTAAAATTTTTGTTGTCTCATATGCAATACCATATATCTGTGTATTTAAATCGAAACTTGTGTAATTTTAATATTGTGTAAATGCTTCAAAAAATTTTTTAACCTGCCACAGCCAACATGATTTAATAGCTTTTGGAGAAAAACTGAGACCCTGAGCTGAAACTCAACGTACTATTATTGGATACTAAAACTTACGTCGTATTGAAAACAAAATGTTCATCCCGGCCATTGTTCTGTCTATATATTTACTAATCAAATATAAATTCTTAAACATAAAATCTATATGTAAATGGCTACAAAACACATTTACTGCAAATATTAATTGTTGTGCTATTAACTTTAACCTTTAAGTTTTACTCAATTACAAATTGAAGACCATAGACGTGTGTTCTAAATAAAACAGAAACGAAAAATGCTATTAGTCTTTTTAAACTTTTATCAAGAGCAATATTTTAGTGTGGCGGCCATTTTATATGTTTTGAACGAAATGAGCTAACGGAGTAATCGAGCACACTATCGATAATAATCGTTTCGTTGGAACTTCCATCCCTAGGCGGGACACATCAAAAATTAATTTTACGTATCTATTTGGTTGATTTTTATACTGCTTTAAACCTAAAAGCAATTTGATCTATTTTGTGCCATGGATAAAGTAAGGCGCGCTTTTCTTCGCGCTTGCATTAATCACAGTTGCCTTACTTATGACCTAATTGACGAAATATTAACACCACTTTGCGAAATGCACAAAGTGACAAAGCCTAATGGAACCGAGGAGATAAAATCATTTGTGGCAGAAATAGAACAAACTATAAAGGAATTCCACCAGGCGCTGACTTTCATAAAACATCCGGTGTCGGGTCAGGATTATTTGGTTTATTATTTGACAGATCCTACTCCAGATATTCATCTGCATCCCAATCTAACAGCCGAAGAGTGCCAATATTTTTCAATATTGCTGGACAAAGTTGCAAACAACGAGGAGTGCAAATGTCTCTGGAATATGGCATATTCAGGAATAGATTTCAAGAATAGCGCCAAGCCTCCAAAGAAGATGCGAATGCAGGAATTGTTAAACGAGTGGATTGACAGTGGCTACTTTTTGGAGGATGGCGACTACATTTACTTGGGGCCACGTAGTATTTTAGAGCTGGAGTTCTATTTACGCACCAACTACTCGGAGACGATAAAGGAGTGCATGTTGTGCAGGCACCTCGTCCTCTGGGACATCAAGTGCTCGGAGTGCGACATAAAACTACATCGCAACTGTATTCGAAAATACTTGCGTACACGTTCCAATTGTCCGTCTTGCAACAAGCAATGGAATACTCGTCTCAGTGTGTAAAGATAAATTTAATAATGCCAGAAGTATTTTTGCAAATGAAACTATTGTGATACAGATTTTCTTTGTTAAATACTTTTATCGTAGGAGTAGGAAAAGCTACCAAACACAAATATATGGAAGCATACGACAAAAACGAACTGCGAGTACAAATAAATCTACATAAACACATTCATGTGCATCTTAAATATACATACACATAGTATTCTTTATTCAAAAGCTTGATTTATAGCCCTAGGTCCAGAAATAAAAGTTGCCTAGAAATGCATTTTTATCATTTTACGAATTACGCTTCAATATGCGGGCATGATAAGAGATCAGCTGATCGCGCTTGTAAGAAGAAGTACAATACGTAACAGATTCTGTTTGCATTTCAAAGAAAAACATTTACTAGGATGCATGCAGCTCGCTACGTGGCAGGACGATGCCTGAATTTAACATCAATTGTTCCGAGGGTACGCATAATATATATACAATAGTATAAATAATTGTTTAAACATAGTTCGGATAATCAGCGCACAGCCAGTAGCCTCAACGACAATTATTCTGTGCGCATTGTGGAAGTAGGACCGCGCGATGGCTTGCAGAATGAACAAAAACTACTGCCTGCGGAGGTGAAAATCGAACTGATCGATCGTCTCTCAGAGACTGGACTACGTAGCATTGAAGCCACCAGTTTTGTGAGCGCCAAGTGGGTGCCACAAATGGGCGACAATGCGGCTGTGCTGCGCGGTATACGTAAAGTTCCTGGCATTAGTTACCCGGTACTCACGCCCAATCTGAAAGGATTCGAGAGTGCACTGGCGGCAGGAGCAGAAGAGGTTGGAAACTGTGTTCTTTAATTAAATCGTCGCACCTTGAGCTATTGAATTTGTTGGAAACAGGTGGCTGTGTTTGGTGCTGCCTCTGATGCATTTTCGCTGAAGAACGTGAATTGTACCGCCTCCGAAGCGATTGATAGATTTGGACCAGTATTGGCAGCTGCCAAGCAGCACGGAGTACGTGTGCGTGGCTATGTTTCCACAATTGTGGGCTGCCCCTACCAAGGTGCAATTGCACCAAGCGCTGTCGTAAAGGTGGTAGAGGCGCTGCACGATATGGGTTGCTATGAAATATCACTGGGCGACACTATTGGGGTCGGCACACCGGGCACCATGCGCAAAATGTTGGATGAAGTGACGCGTGCGGTGCCGGCACAACAGCTGGCCGTGCATTGCCACGACACCTATGGACAGGCGTTGCCAAATATACTAACCTCCCTGGAATATGGTAAGTTCAGAATTGTTTTACGGTCAAATTGAAAAATCATTTCAACAATAAGTTTTATAGTAGTAGAACACTATATTTCTGTTTAGAAAAGTTGTTGTTCTTTGACTTAACATTAGCTATATACTACATTTGATAACCGCATGCTCAAGAAAACGCGAATTCTAGCATAAAACTCCGTTTTTGCAGGCATACGCGTGGTGGATGCCTCCGTTTCCGGATTGGGTGGATGCCCCTATGCCCGCGGTGCGTCTGGTAATGCAGCCACCGAAGATGTGATTTATATGTTACATGGCATGGGCATGAGCACGGGCGTCGACTTGGAGAAACTGATTGGAGTGGGTCGTTACATTTGCGAGGAACTAGGCAAGCCGTCAGAGTCCAAAGTGAATCGTGCCTGGAAGGGCGCAAGCGCAAAGAAGTCGTAGAACAAATTGTGCCCAATTAACATGTGGAAAATCTGGTAATGATACGCTTAAGATGAAACGTTGGCATTTACTAAATATTAAGTGTTTGTACATATTACATTTGCAATTAATATGTTTCGAATTCAATATGCACACAAAATTAGCTTTAAAATACGCGAGTATAAAGCTAAAACTTTTGAGCATCCTTTATTGTATACATGGATATATCGCCGGAGGCCAAAGAAAGATCGGCCAGACTTAGGTTTTGACGACGCGGAATGTGTGAGGCTGCTCCAGAAGTAGGCATTTTGGCCTTGCCATCGTGACGTAGCACTGAGGGTTCCACGGCTGCGTCAAGAAACTTTTGTATCTTTGGCACGCTGGGCATCGGCATGGGCGTGCGCTTATCAACAATCTATAAAAGGCCAATTCAATTTAAGAACAGATTACAGATGTAAAGAATTACATTACATACATGTTTAATTTCCGAGGATATATAAGCCTTTTTGGGCAGTAGATTCGTATTCATGTGATTGAGTGACGCAAAATTAAGTTCATTTATTGGGGCGGCACCCGAACTGCACAGACGCGACTCGTGCTCGAGCTCAGTGAACGCCATAGAGCGGTAGGCATCAATGGTAGGCTTGAACATGGTCATAAGTGGCGCCTTACCCGACTTATCCATATAGGCGCGTATCGGACTGACAATGTGTGTGAAGGGCTGCTTCAGTTCTAAATGGCGGCGTGTCGGTATGCTGGATGTTGGCGTTTCGAAAAATTTGCCCTTGGGCTTCGAAAAGTGCAGGATCTCGTTGGATTGCTTTTTGATTGCACCAGCCTGGAGTGGAGTTTTATTCTTGCTGCTCAATGGTGTTGATGGCTTTGCAAAAACTGGCGATTCTGCTTGTGTTTGCATCATAGGCTTAGGTGACTTGGTAAACGTGTTTTGCTTTTGAAGCATTGGCGGTTCCAATTTTGAAGCAGATGTCACCACCTGTGTTTGTGCCTGGGCGGCAATGTATTCCATGCCTTTTTGCATAAAGTATTCCATTTCCTCCATGGTATCATTAAAATGCACTGACTTTTCGCTCTCCCCCTCATTCTCCTTGTTATCATTGAAATCGCATTGCGAAAGTGACGATTCTGGCTCCCCTTTTTCCGGTTTCTTCTCATCTTCTTCGTCGGAGGAAAGCTCTATGATAGTCTCTTCCTTGACATCAGCATTATCGCACAACGTTTCATTGGTGTCACCATCACGGTCAAGCAGGCTGGCATGCAGCTCCACCTTGACATCAACTTTATCGCATAACGTTTCATTGGTGGCACCAGCACAGTCAAGCAGGCTGATATGCAAATCATGAAGCAACTCCACCTCCTCACCCATTGACATGCCAGGAGGCTTGGCCTTGGCAATAGCTGCATAGAATAAGTCATCGACATTCAGCAAGTTGGAACTAGCATTTGATCCACTTCCTGCTGAATTGTCAGCTGCCGTTTCATAGCAGCTCGAGGCAATTGTGTCAGTGCTGGGCGCAGGTTTAAGTGCGGTATGAAAGCTAGAGGAAGAGGATGTCTCCGACAAGGCTGCCGTTAGGTCGGCTTCGTTGGCCTCCAGAATGGTGGAGGGACGCATCAGGCCGACCATTTTCACTGGCGACGTTTCGGTTGAAGGCTGAAAAACTGATTCGTTGCCCACCACAGTGTTGTCCCAGAACCGCGAGGGCGCCTCGACATCCTCCAATTGGGAGCATTCCACACCTTTAAGTGGGCTTTCATTATCCAACAGCTCATGTGCATTGACCTGATCGAGCATCCGTCGCAGCGCCTCGACTTCCATTTCGTGAGCTGCAACATAGTTAAATAATATTTATAGATGTATTTAGTCGCGAAAGAAGCTGCCAACATTAGAAAAGTATTTAATGGTATCTTTTGCAATACCACACTTTGTACTTTTTTTAAATAAAAAAAAGAAAATAAGAAATATATTTCCACTGATGGATAATACTTGCGAAGCAAAATATTGAACACAACAAATAAAAAGTAGATCATTTTATCATACTTTTTATATTTTTTAAGGGTTTTTAAGTGCTTTCTTTTACTCACTTTTAGCTGAACTAAAATCCATCATGCCGCTACGCTCCTTGACCTTGGCCAGCACCTTCTCCTTATCTTCGCTGTGCAAGTACTGGAAGAGCGTGCTGTCCGGATCTGAGCCGGTTTTGTCACACATGCGCTCATAAGCAGCGAAACTTTCATCCGCTCCGTCAAATTCGTTCGAAATGTCATCTGACATGGGAAACATTGTGTCGTCGCAAATGCTCATTTTGGGCTTCTCTTGCTCGCACATCTCCTGCTCGCGCTTCTGCTGATCTTGCTTCTCGCGTTCTGCTTTTCTGGCCGCAGCAATGGCCTTAAAGTCCTCAACAACTTGCAGGCTGTAACGTCGTTCGTCGGAATTCATATTAATGACAGTCTCGGAAGGTGGTTTACTGGGAGGAGGGCTAAAAAATAACTTTCCAATGTTATTATGTATTATGTATATCAATTTCTCATGCAACGCATGCAACTCAAGTTCATATACTGCGGGAATTACTATTTAATCAATTGGTAATTATGTATGTACATCCTACACTACGGCCTTATTACGTGTGTGTGTGTTGTGTGTGTGTATGTCCTCAATAAACATATTTACCGTAGAAGACGCTCGCGCATTTTCTGGCGCCACTCTTCTGTATTTTGAAATTTTCCGCGCTTAGACATTTTTTTCCGTGTACCTCTAATTTCTCTCTTTCAGGACCGTCACCTTTAATGAAAGTGTTTGTTCCCAGTTACTCACTTTGAATTTTAAAACACCAAACGCTGCCAGTCTCAGCCGGTTTATTCAAAATGAACACTGTGACGACGCGGTGATCGCGCTTAAATACGTTTCCACTACTTTGCAGCAATCGCCCTTTAAAACAGAGTTTATGATTTTAATGTTTCACAAATCAAAAGTAGTTGTGAGTTGCTACTATGATTAAAAATGGTCGCAACAATTTTTTACACCCAGCACTTTTAATGTTGCAACTATTTATATTTATGAAACCATGCATACATATAACAAATGACAATTGCCCGATCTTGCATCTAACGCAGTTCTATCGATTTTGTTGTTAATGCAAAAGATATAGGTGAGGTGCTGATGCTGCCACACTGTTTTGCTGCTATCGTTATCGTTCTTTAAATGCCGGTGCAAAAAGATAACAAAAGAAAATGTTGTTGTAGTTGTGGTTTGTTGTTGTAATGCGTTAACAACTTCGGGAAGCACTCTTCGAAAAAAGTAATAATTTTGAAGTTTAAATTAAAAGTAGGCTGTTAAGCGTTATGAACAAATTGCGACATGCGATTTCTCTGCTGTCGCTGGGCACCTTTCAGCTTGGCCGACGCACAAGAAGGCAACATCTACATGGCTTTCTCCTTGGCACTGGACTGACTACATTTGCCTCGGTCACGTACGCACAGGCCGCAGAAGCGGCAAAGGTCAACCGAAAGTTGAACGTTTCAAACTTTATGGCGGAGCCTATAACGGATGCCGCCGTACTGCTCGAGGACAAGGACAACATGCGGCATCGTATGGAACTGCTGATAATGGAGATTCAGGCGGAGTTTTGTCGTGCTTTGGAGTCGGAGGAATTTAGCGGTCAGAAGTTCTTGGTTGACCGGTGGCAACGCAAGGAAGGCGGTGGCGGCATTACCTGCGTGCTACAAGATGGCGATGTGTTCGAAAAGGCCGGCGTCAACATATCTGTGGTGACGGGCTGGCTGCCGCCCGATGCAGTGCAACAGATGCGTGCGCGCGGAAAAAAACTGACCGAGGGAGCTAAACTGCCGTTCTTTGCCTCCGGGGTCAGTGCAGTGATACACCCACGAAATCCCTACGTGCCTACCATACACTTTAACTACCGCTACTTCGAGGTGGAAACGCCCGATGGCCAAAAACAATGGTGGTTCGGTGGAGGCACTGATCTTACGCCATATTATCTGGATGAGAAGGATGCGCGGCATTTCCACAAAACGCTGAAGAGCGCCTGTGATGAACATGACACTAGTTATTATCCCAAATTTAAGAAATGGTGTGACGATTATTTCCGCATTAAGCACAGACACGAGTGTCGTGGCATAGGTGGTATATTTTTTGATGACATAGATGCACCCAATCCAGATGCTGTTTTTAACTTTGTTGCCAGCTGTGCCCGCGCCGTAATTCCTTCCTACCTGCCGCTCGTGCAACGCCACAAGAATCGTGACTATGGCAACAATGAGAGACAGTGGCAACTGCTCCGACGCGGCCGCTACGTTGAGTTTAATCTTATTTACGATCGTGGCACAAAGTTTGGACTATATACACCTGGTGCTCGATACGAGAGCATTTTGATGTCACTGCCCCTTCATGCGCGTTGGGAATATATGCACGAGCCCAAACCCAATACCAGGGAGAGTGTATTGCAGAAGGTGCTACAAAATCCCAAGGATTGGGTCTAAAATGCACAAATGACCTTGAAAATAGGTATGCCTTTTATTTAACGTGGTTGGGTACTACTTTAAGTTATTTACATGTATAAATATACATACATACATAGACACATATTTACATATTTGTTTGTTTGTTACAAATAAAGAGCAATTTCATGATAGAATGCGATAAAAAGGATATATTCATTCAGATATTGCTTGTTCGGACGAGAAAAAACGTGTTCGAATATAAATTCATACATACATTCATACATTTGTGTATGTGTATGAAAAAGCACGCTATATGTGTACATACATATGTATATTATATATGAATAATAATATATGTATGTACATATATGTATGTATACGTTAAAATGCACTTCATATGATCTTTTACTTTTTATTTGTGTGTATCTGTGTACATACATATGAATGTATGCATATATTTATGATTGTAATGAGTGTTTAGGGTTAGAGTCGAATTTAAAAAAATTCAATTGAGGTTATGATAAGCTATGCATGCAAAATGCATACATACATACATGAGGAGAGAAGTGCTTAGAAAGATTCACATCCATTTGACACATGTACAAAGTATGTACATACATACATATGTATACATATGTATGTACATTAATGTACAATACATACCGATTTTGACTTTAAGGTTAGGGAGAATATTTTTCAGACTTCAAAAACTTCCTCAAATAAATAAGTTAGATTAAGTCAATTCTTCGAAAGTAAATAAGAAGTGTTTCTTTCTGTATGCATTAGTTACAATCCAGGTAAAATACTGTTTTTTATATTTATTTTAGGTTAGGTCGAATGCTTTTGGGTTTTAAGATGGCCTGAGTGCGGCGCACATCAATTAGACGTTGTAACCCTAAATAATGCGCATATATAAATATGTAAATAGGGTTTATACAATGCACTAAAAATTCACATCCATACATACATATGTATGTACATACATACATATGTATGTACATACATACATAAAATAAAAAGGTACCCATGTGTGCAAGTAATGCCTAGGCGCGAAATGCAGCCTCGCATAAAGCGGGAAATTCACTCCACCGGCAATTTTCCTTGTAATGCAAAGACTTTTGTATATTGATGTCTTAAATCATAGAATATAGAATGTTTTATTTTTCGGGTATGCTGTTGGTTCTCTTCTATTGTTATTGGCGTTTTGTATGTGCTGATAAGCCGATTACTAATTGTATTTATTTTTTGTTTGTTTCGTACAATATGTTTATGCTCTTATTTGCATTAGTCGTAAAAATGAAGAGTAACTAGCTTAACTATATTTAATAAGCGTTGCCGCCAGTTTGCTGTTGGTACACCTCGATGGTATCGCCCTCCTCCATCTCCAGCGAGGTAGGAGTGTCGTTCTCGTTTATTGGCTGACCGTCAAAGCGGAACCGTACCACCTGCATGGACAGTCCGGCGCGGTCGCAATAGGCGTTCATCAGTTTGCGCAAAGGTGTGTGTTTCTTGATCTTGAATTGGACGACAGCATTATCCTGACCAAGCACCTTCAGATTGATGTGCTCGGTTTCGCCTCCTTTCTTTTCGTCAGACATGTTTTTTTCGTTGAGTGTTGCACTCGCTTGCCGATTTTAGTAAGAAAAAAAGCGAGACGCCGGGGCTGCTGTACAAGATAAAAATATGAAGAAACACGTTGAAATTAATAACAAAACAGTCGAAACTTCATTTAATAACTTTTTGGTAAGTAAATGCGCTCGCGTATATAAATTTACCTGTTTTAAAGAAAATATGCCTCGCTTCACTACGCCAAGCGGCTACACACACGCCAAAAAATGGTTGTTTTCAGCGTTGCTACGAATGCCGAAAATGTGCGAAAATAAAGCACTAAAAGTGCCTGCGACGCTTAGCCAGGGATGGGCAGTTGTTCTATATTTGCTTTTTCCTTGTTATCGATAAGTACTCGCGTTAACTATCGGCAGGTATTTTTTTTGAATTTACAATTGCGGTTTTTACCTATAGTGGAAAAAATTGAATACAGAATCCATTAAATTTCCATAGTTTTCCTTTTGTTTTTCCAATCGGTACATCTTATTGCATATGAATAAATAACATATTTCCCCAAATTTGTTAGAAAAAAAACATGCTATGCCTTTTAATATTTGTGCTTTATTACTTTACGTACTTACGCTAAGACTTAATTTTTTAATTTAATATTGCCCAGTTTCAATTCAAAACAAGTGCGTTTAGTGAAGATAAAGTGTATTCATTGTCTAATCAGTTTCAGAAAAGTCCCTGAGGCTTCGGCAAGTTGATTGCAATAGTAAACTCGACTTAGGAATAGACGGACCACATTATCAACACTGGTCCATTTATCATGGTTTCTACAACCTACTTTTATTGATCTAATACATCAATAGAATTACTCACCCCAAATCGTTTATGATGTTTTTCTCTTTTAAATAAAAACTTTTTCTTAACTTAAAACCAACCCGGTTGTTTAAGTGAATACATCGCATTTGACTTTAATTTTGAAATATAATATATTTGAAATAATATATTTTAAATGAATCCAATTTGACAAATTTTGCAATGACGAAATATTGCTGTGATCTTTGAAACCCTTCAGTGGCAGTGGTGTCAGTGCACAAAAACAATATAGTTTTTCTAAATACTTCTGTAATTTAATGAAAGAATATTCTAAGAATATCCGGACCCGTAATTACCAGTTACCATCCGCCAAGAACAAACCTTTCTATGGTCAAATCCACAATTTGGTCCATTTGTACGGGTGCCACATACAATCACCAAACGTACATGAAAAGATCAAAATCAAAAAATTGATTACATACAATATCAGGTTGATATGAAGCAAGAGTTCTAGAGTTGAACCTGCTGTATTTTGGGTTTATTATCCCTGAAACCTTTCTCTTACACCTGTGGAGCTCCTCGCTTAATCAGTATCCGATTCACGTTTACCAAATCTTACCATTAAACCGACCAAATGAAACTTACAATGTCAGTTTAAGACTCAACAATTACCCGATTGATAAACTTACACACCACATACATTTACAGACAGAGTTACGACAGAGCTACGTATGTGAACCAGGAGAGCCATCACTGGCCTAGAATGGTAAACGCAACACAGAGATTAATGAAAATTGTGAAGGAAGGAATTTACCTGATTGAAGCTTCTATGAATATAATTGGTTTTGGAACTATTTTCCATATAAATATTAAATACTTATGCTCTGTTATTTGTTTGTTTTCACACTCGAGAATTCGGGGGGCGTATGACATTATGTATGTTTATATACATATTAGTGGTATTTTCAGATTTTCATTATTGAAAACTGCAAAAAGATAAAGAAAACAAAAAGGCACGAGTTAGTGCAAATTGGTAAATGGTTAGCTATTATTGTAAATAACTTAAGCAAATCCCACGAACCACCATGGGATCATACCCGAAAAAGTAACCGGCAGTTTCTCGCATTCCTTCCTTCTTCCTCTGTTTGCCGAAACACCAAAAAGCATTCCCGTATACCCCCTTACCAAAGGTGGGGAAACAACAAACACATGAAGACTGCTTTATTTTTACTTACTTTTCATTTTTCTTTTAGTTAAGTTACTTATATATTTAAACGTATTTAAGCTATGCACTTTAGTTGAATTTCGATTTGTGGCTGTTTTCTCTACTTGGGGTTTCTTTTTGTCTCTTCTTTTAGTGAATATTAAAACGTTTGTAGTAAGCTAAAACGCTTCCGTTTTGAGATTATTTTGAAATGCGACCAGGACTTACGGCATCATTTAATAAATAATATCCAAGCCATTTGATTTCTGGTTTTATGTTCGCCGACTCGTCGCTGGCTTTTTGCTATGGAATTCAATTGAGCGTGAAGGGAGGGAGGAGGGGGAATAATTTAAATTCAATAAAGAGTTACAATTATTTTGCACATATTACCAGAGCAGCAGCAGCTCCACATCAGAAATTTAACCCATGGAGCGCAAGACATTAAAATTGTTAAATCAGTGCATACTTTAAGACTTATTAATACCAAAGGATAGATATTCCACAAATTAACGCCACCAAGACTGCTCGCCGGAATTTTGGCCGTTGTCGTTGTTGCTGCTGCTATTGTTGTTATTTCGCCCTATGATCGGGGGTGGTGGCACACTAAACATATTAAGAGGTGGAGGCGGTCGGTATTTCTCCTCGTGCTCGTCATCGACCTCACGTTTAATGGCCGTGTTCTGATAGTCGTTCATTGAATACGTAGGATAGCCATCGTCAATAGGCTCCTCTTTGATTTTAACCATGTCCATATCGCGGAAATCTGGTTTGCGTTCCTTGACATCACGATCGCCAGCTCCGCGATCCCGACGCTCACGCTTCCGCTCACGGCGTTCCCGTGAAGATTCACGATCGCGAGATTTGGAACGCTTCTTTTTCTTGTCACGTTCTCTATCACGATCTCTTCGGTCATAGTCACGTTCCCTGCTGCCGGCGCGTCGTTTCCTACGCTCTCTTGAGCGGCTGCGGGAGCGCCGACCGCGTTCCCTGCTACCGGCGCGTCGTTCTCTTTCCCTGCGATCACGAGACCTTGAGCGACGTCTATCAGCAGGAGCCCCAGGTATTGCTGACCCATAGCGTCCTCCTCGGGCATCTACACCATTGTTGACTCCACGCGCAACCTCTCGATCCTCGCGCTCGCGTTCTAGGCGATACCGCTCCCTTTCTCGCTCGTTGTCCTCGCGACCTGAATGCTTGATGTTTACATCGTTGCCGCCCCGTCTTGTGCCACCGAGACCACCGCCCAGACGTCGCGGCAGCCAGCCCTTGACCGTACGGGCACGCTCCACATCAACCAGTACACGCTTGCTATCAATCTTCTTACCATCGGCGTGCTTGTAAGCCGCATGCATGTCACGTTCGTGTTCATACTCAATAAAGGCGTAGCCCTTGGGTTTACCTGAGTCCTGGTCATGAATGAGCACAATCTTCTTAATGGGACCGTAGAACTCAAACTCGCGGCGCAGTTTCGACTCTGACGTGTCGTAGTTGATGCGTGCTACGAAAAGAGTTCGAAATGGATCCTCTGTGGCATTTTTGATTTCAGTTGGATCCCAAAGCGCTATTTCACGTTCTAGTTTGTAGGCTACCTGCTCTGCTTTTTCACGTCGTCTTCGCTCCAAACGTTCCTGCCGTGTCTCAACTGTTTTCGGAAGTGGCGTATCTTTTGGATCTTCAAAGTCGGTCATGAAATTGGCTACGCCCAGATAGCCGCGTGATTTCTTTTCGTGTGGCAGCTTATCCACCGGCGGCATAAATGGTATTGGATCCCTTGCGGCGAATAACGCCAAGAGATTCGGCGGTAGATATTGTGTCATATTGCAATATATTTATTACCTTTAAAAGCGTTCCGTCAGATACAGTTCTAGACACATAAAAGAGAGGTTATGTTCAGCTTTGTTTATGAGACTAACAATGATTTGTCTTAATACGTACTCTTGCATCCATTCGTTATGGTATTGTTAATCTTGTACTTTTATGAAGTACAGTACGTTAATACCTAGATCGGCACTGAAAAACTGTAAATCTCTACTACAAACCAATGCGATGAAAAAGATGTAACTTTTTTCTTAGCACAAAATGGTTGTGTAGGGTTGCATATAGCGGTTGCCGATTACCTATCGATTAATGACGAGGGCGGCATAGTTTAGATTGCGCTGGACGCAACTGTTATGATTTGATATTGTTGTAGTAGCTGCAATAACACAGTCAACGAATTTGTATTAGTCTTAATTTCGAATGTTTTACAGATTAATTGTTATTTTGATAAAATGTAACTCAAATATCTATCGGAACTAGTCCATCCAATTAGTGGTAGGGTAATGGCAACACTATTTTGTTCACCGCCGACACACACATTCATAGATTGCAAGAGCTAAATAACGGCATTTTTGATCTCGTCACAAACGTGGATTTCATTTTGCAATTTTGAGTGTTTTATTTGTGAAAAATACAAAGTGTTTTCGTAATAATTAATATTTTAAAGTAAATAACAAGTAAGTGCATTAAGAGAAAAGTTCTTCAGCTACTATTAAGCAGTATATTAAACAGGCAATGTCGGAAAGTTCAATGCAAATGGCTGAAATTCAGACTGAGGGAGTAAGCGGTAATAAGACCATAAAGCCCGAAGAAAATGGCGCTGGCGCCGTAGAAACTAAACTTATGCGCCCTATGAGCGAAAGAAGCGAATGTTTGAGTCAAGAGCCGAAGGAGCAGCGCAAAGTAATACGCAAATTAATTAATCCTGTTGTAGTCAACAACACCGATGTAGCTACCGAGACAGAGAAATTGTTGACCCCTGTTGATACAAGCAAATCTGTGCACCTGCCGCCGCCCCCGCCACCTCCGACGCCTGTGCAAGCTCCTTTGCCAACAACTCAGCCCATTTTATTACAAGCAACAATGGCTTTGCAAGCCGAAGAAGATGAAAGTTTTACTGAAAAGTGGGAAGATCCATGTGCGCCACCACCACCGCCGCCAATGCCGTCAAATACGTTTTTATCAGCCGGCTTTGGTTTTTTGAAATTAGGCGCCACAAAACTGAAGGACGCTTTGGAGGAAGCCATAGCGAAAATGGAGATTGCCAAACGGCAGGACCAGGATACAGTAAGTTTACTTGTGTATAGTAACATATTTCTTGATTTTTGGCAATGACATACAATTTGTGTATTAAATTTCTGTATTTCTTTTATTCATATTTTTCGGTTATATATATTTGTTCAAAATTAATAGCAATTAATTGCGCAGTCTGTGCATTATATAATACCCAATTTGTACACCCCATTCATGCATTCTTTCTATCTTTAATTGTCCTTTGCGTCTTAGTCGTGTCTGATGTTGGATGAAATAAAAGTCGATGCTATGGAAATGTCACCCAGAAGTTCGAATGATGTGTCTGTTGTGTCCGCGTCCAAATTCTCCAATGCTCTTATTGTTCACCCCAAATGGAACAAGTCAGCTGCCATACTTCAAATCGAGCGCACTATTAAAGTTGGCCATTTATTGGCAAAACAAAATAAGGTTCAAGCCACCATTTCTAGCGAGGCCATACCCCTGCATCCAGTTGGGGTTGCTTCAGTCGCCACAGTTGCTCCAGTTCCCAAAACTAGAGTCAGCAAAACGCCCAAGGCTGGAAGCACGGAGGCTCCCCCGGAGTCAGATGAAGGTCTATCGTTACAGGTGCTATCGGCACGTGCCTCTACACCATACACTCAGCCAACAACCATGCTATCCTGCACGGCTGTGAGCTGCGATTTGGAGCATGAGTCACAGCACATGAGTCCAACAAAGGTAGAGCAAATAAAAAAGCTACCAACAGCATTGGAGTCTACATCGCAACAGCCCATGAAACGCCTTTCATCTGTGGCTACGGCCAAGCCTGGCAATTTGCGCCAACCCAAGAGTCGGCTACTTTCTACCTCGCAATCTGGAAACACTTATATCTTCCAGTACACCCGCGTTCATCTGCTTGAAATACGCAATGAAATGATTAGTGCGCTTGTGCATTGCGCCAAAGAAAGCATGTCCTTTATGCCACGCATCGCTACGTGTGATGATATTGAGCTGGAAGCGCGACTGCGACGCATGAATCTCTGGCGCACTGTCGGGGACCATGGACATGCCGTTCGAGGCAGCAGCGGCTTCCGTTCGAGCAGTAATTTTAAGCCCCCGCGGTATATTAACAATGTTGCCATCGCTGAGTGCATGCCAGCTTTCTATAAGAACAAAACAAAACAGCAAATCGTTAACGACGAGTCCATTATACAGAGTCAGCCACCCCAAGCGGAATTCCAGGTAAGCCGAGAAATATTTCTTTAGCTTGTATCAAACCATTGTTAAAACGGTGTTTAAAACATACCTAAAAAGTTATCTTCTGCTGCACCGAGTGAGGACAGACCTAGGATAGCTATAAAGTGGGATTTTTATGCTCTTCACCAATGTTTGTGTCTCTTTTTCTATGATTATCGAGCACGTAGATATGTATTATGGCGTGAAAATAGACCCAGTCTATTCTTGTTGCATTGATACATTTAAAAAAGACAACATTTTTATTGATTTTATTTAGTGTAGAGTCACAATTTATACATAAGTGCCATTTGGAATCAAGAAATTCGGAATTATATCACTTGGTAAGATAGTGTCTATCACCATCTACTTCTCGCAATCTTTGAGCGGCCTGCTCAGCTGTTAAGTCTCGCTGTGCCATAGCCAACAGCTCAAATCCCACCATGAACTTTCGAATTGTTGCCGAACGTAATAACGGTGGATAATAGATTCCATGCAGAGTCCAATGGGCAGTGGATGAATTTGCGTTTTCAGCGCCTGTGGGAGCACCATGCCAGCCCATAGAATAGGGAAAGGAGCATTGAAACAAATTGTCGTACTTGGTAGTTAACTGCTTAATTGTCCAGGCCAGACTTTCACGCTGTTCCTTAGTCAGGTCATTGATGCGCTTGTTATTGTTCCGCGATATGATCATGGTTTCAAATGGCCAGGCTGCCCAATAGGGCACTACCACCAACCAATCCTTATGCTCGATGACAATACGCTCACGTCGTTCCACCTCACGCTCCACATAATCGCTGAGCAATGGGCGTTCATTAGTAATGTAGTAGGATCGTAGGCGTTCGTGCTTAACTTGTGGTTCTGTCGGCAAAAACGAGCATGCCCAGATTTGACAGTGTGGATGCGGATTTGAGCAGCCCATGGCGGCGCCTTTGTTCTCAAAGATTTGCACCCACACATATTTGGTACTCAGCTCGTTGAATTGATTGATCCATCTACAAAAGAGGGTAGAAAATTGTAATAGAAATTTCTTTCCAAATGACTAACTAAACTTACTCATTGATAACAACTCCTATTTCCGTGAGGCTCATGGTGGGCAGGGTTAGATTTGACTTCGGATGAAAGCACATCACACGGCAAGTTCCGCGGGCAGGTGCTGTTTGGAAAAGTGGATCATCGCCAGTTGGCGGCGAGGGCACTTCTTCAAGCAGTGCCGGAAAGTCATTGTCAAATACATAGGTGCTGGTGTAGGCGGGTGTTTGCTGTAGGAAAACCAGAAATATTTTAAGCATTGGACGTATAATTGTGCTCAACATTCATGCTGTTACATACAATGCCATTGGGACGTTTTACTCCTGGACAAAGGGGATTGTTGGGATCGAATTCGGGCAGCTCGTTCTTTTGTGCCGCCTCCTCTTGACCCGACCAAGGTCGCAGCATGCGATGCGGACACACCAGCACCCATTGACCAGTCAATGGATTAAGGCGTCTATGTTGATGCTCTATTAATTGAAATGCCTTAGCAAACCAACTTCATAGTTACACAAGAGAGCGGACTTACCCGTTGCCACAAACTGCATGGTGTTAATAAATATAAAACGCAATCAGTGCATGCAATATATAGGTTAACTATAGGTATGATTACAGTTGTTCGAGAGCCCACGATGTCAGCACAATGTCAACTAACATTAAAACGTTTTGTACATGCTTCGTTCGTCGCGGATCACTCCCCACTTGTTTACTTGATACTAGTCGAAGTGTAGTTGATAGTGTTTCTGACTTTCTCATTTTTTTAGTACTCTCCCTCTCTCTTTGTTTGGTTGTTTACTTGGTTTATCAGCTGCTTTGCCTTACCAGCTGGCCCCTCGTAAATAACCATCACCGGCAAATGAAGCTAGTGATGGGCTTTTGTGCGGCTAATCGCGGCAATTACTTTTCGAATTAAAAGAGCCAAAAATTCATTGAGTAGTCATAATTAAGATAATCCGAATTATAAGGCATTCAATATATTTTTAAATTCTGTATCCGATACGTAAAAGTTGGAAAGTATGTAAACGATAGAAAGAGGAATGAACCATTTCAGATACTTAGTTTTAGAAACATACATACATATGTATGTATGTATGTCGATCGATGTAGACATGATTATAGTCTTTTGTTTAAAAGCAAGTGACACACCATTCCAGGCTTACCTACCACAAACCATATTAGATGATTTATTTATTTATTTTATTCATTTGTTGCTTGCTTGAAATATCATAATAATTTAGTGTTTTCGTGATTCACATGTATGCTCTCTCTGAGATGAAAATTAATCACGACGAGAGAGCACCTCTCTGAAATGAAAATTAATCACTACAGAAGAACCGTTATATTTTGTTTCTATTTTGCTTTATATTCTTATTTGCGTCATCAGATTAGCGCCACTTAACGAAATTTTAGTTATCTCGTTTAGTTTAAGTCGACGTTCAGTTTAGGGAGGGAAACAGTCTTATCTTTGGAGGAAAAAAACAAAGATTAAAGCTTACAAATGGCAGAAAAAAGGGTAGATATAGAAAAACGACTGTCTGTTTTGCTCGAAATAAGGAAGAGAATAAAAAAAGGGCGGCAACAATCAAGTAGTGTTCCAAGGCAATAGAAGAGTCATTAAGAGAAGCTTCAAATTCTTACGACTCGTCCGCTCAAATTAGATAAAATCTGGTGTTAAGTCGAACTTATCATCGGTATAAAGAGTTATTAGGGGAGTAAAAAAAACCGCACAGTTAGATAATATAGAACATTAACTGAGAATCTAATGGGGGACGCTAATCTGACGACGCGCAAGTACATATCTGTATGTAGGCTTCATATGCAAAACTAATAACGAAATGTTATTGAACCAAACCTGTCTTGTATTCTTAACTTTTAAAGGATCCCGCTATTGTCAATCAACGGCGCATCGGAAGTGGACGTTTACCGTACTCTAAAATGTCCTTTAACCATATTGACTACAATCAGTCATACAATTCCAAACCTTTTATGGACGATACTGACACAAAGCATAACAAAGGAAATATGAGTGGGCTGCAATTTTTTGATAATGGAAATATGAACACCACCAACACCAAGAATGCATCATCAATGGGTGGCAATCAGGCTATAACACATACAAAGGCTCGCAATGAGAACGAGATAATGGGAACAAATGATTCAGTTGAAGACCTACATCAAGCCAATGAGAATTATGTGAAGCGTGTCATGTCTGGATTCCTTGTGGTTTCCAAGCCGAAATCGCGTGAAACGGATGACAGACATCATCGTCGCTACAGAAATCAGAACGAGGAACCAGAGTGGTTTAGTTGTGGTCCAACATCAAGACTTGATACCATCGAGTTGTGCGGTTTTGATGAAGATGAAGAGAAAATGTTAAAAGAGGGAAAAGCGGATATGAATGGGCACATGTTAAGCGATGAGGATAAGGAGCATTCAATGCATAAAACTCATAAGGTAAGCAGCAGGATTTTAAATAATGTGTCTGTGCATTAAGATTATTTGCTTTAAAATAATTTAATGTCCAATCTGTAATTTTCAATGTTGATTTTACGTTTTGTTAGATGGATCACAGTAAATACAAATGGCAACCAACATCCGATTCGAATGGCATAACACGAAACAAATTCATGGCCAAGAATGATACCAACAATAATAGCAATACGGAAAATTTGAACAAAATGCACCTGGATGTGGAAATGCAAATGAAGGATGATAAGCAGAACGTTCGTCAGTTTCAATATGATAAGTTCAATCCGAATAAACAGAGCTTCGAGGGTAACAACTATAGGCGTGTAGTTGGTGGTGACGATGGCCACAATATACCCCGTCCTCTACAGAACAAACAACAAGGCCACTTCAATAATAACTCGAAATTCATGTCATTTTTTGGCAAAAAGAACGCCCAACAGGCACATGAACGATTCGAGAAGAACAGCTCATCGTCCTCGCTTAATGAGTTCTTTAAGCAAACAATCGTTCATAATCAGAACCAAAACCACAACAATGGCACCAATGTAAGCAACAAAGCGCATGTTGAGCATAAGAGCCAACAAATGCAATCTGTTGACCAATTGGAGGCTAAATGGCGTCGAAATTCGTTGACAGCAGTCGGCGATTTAACAACTAATACTCTCAGTAACGGCAATAATAATAATAATGCGGACAGTTTTCAGAAACTGATTGGCGCCTTGAGCATGAATAAGCCCCAATCGTTGCAAACTATGCCGCCACCGCTGACCAATGATGCTATTTCCAGCTTCATATTGCAACAGCAACAATATCAGCAGCAACAGCAAAAACAGCAAGTGCTCATTCAGCAGCAGCAGCAACAAACCGCCTATTTGGCCAGCTTGCAGTTAAAAGCCATACTCGGACGTGCCGACACCCAATTGCTGCTACTGCGCTTGACAAAAGGTATACACTCATATAATGCTCCCTTTTTGGGTCTCAATACTAGCTTCTTTAATATATTCTTATTCAATTGTTAGGTTTTCGCGCTAAAGTTTTGCTTAGATTATTGGTGGAAAAGATATGAATAGCTTAGACTTGTAATAACTTCTTAGCGTCCACAATTTTTCCATTTCCTCCAAATAAATCTATAGGGAAGACTATAAGCAGTTTTAATAAAAAGACAGTTTGATGCGTATCTTTATGAAGCCACATAAACTGGCCAAAGAACGAACAAACTATAAATTTCTTGCATAAAAGCTTAGTGTTTAGATATTAACATGAACTGATCTGTCGCCTAACTAATAGGGGCTAGCTTGTAGTTCTTTAAAGATGGTAGGGAGTCACAATAAACGACTTTTACGAACACTGAGGGCCGTACTCGCTTTTAATCTACCCCAGTACATTTTTCGAAGAGATGCTATTGATCGTTCTTACATCTTACAGGCGAAATCTCTAAGCATGGTCTTTTAGTGCAGTTGGCCAACCCACGCCTTTCTCACACAGATCGTGAGGCCATTACTGCCGTACTGCAGTTCACGAACACTCAGCAACAGCAGCAACAACATCAGCAGCAGCTAGAGATGCTCTCCAGCACTGTAATTGCCAATCAGCTACAGAATCTTCACAACTTGGCCGTTGTACAGCAGACAATAGCGGCTCGTATGCAGCAACAACAGCAGCTGCCAATGCAACAGCAACAGCAGCAGACACAGCCACAACAGGTTTCTCATGAGGATTTGCAGACCCATGCTAACATAATAATGCGCAATGCGCTCTTGAAACGCAAAATGGAGGAGCAATCATCCAAGCTGCTCAATTTTCAAATGGCACCCAACAAGCAACAGCAACCGCAGCAGCAGCAGCATCAACAACATCAACGGGTTGCACGTTCTATGCCCACTCATGACTCAAATACATTGCTAAATGCTCTGTTGTCTGGGGGCAATCATCATCAGAGCACTGCTAGCATGATGCAATCGCATCAGCAACTGCAACAGCAACGTCGTACCAATAAAAGCACGCATGGTGACTCCAATGTGCGATTCGTCGAAAATGCAAATTTCCAAACTGGCGAAACGGCCCAAACCCATTTTCCACTGACTAATAACAACAGCAACGGTATGCACGGCCTTCAGATTTCGGCGCAGCATCAGCATCAGCAGCAACCCAAGATCAAGAACAATAACAATGTTATCAGTTTTAATAAATCGCACATTCCATCCGCCCAGCCAGTGCCGATGATGTCCAATGGTGGAGGTAAGTCTTCAAAGCTATTATTTACCCATGCTTCAAGTATTCTTTAGCTGTCTACATTAAATAACCTAGAGGAAATTGTGGATATCATTTCTATCTATTTTCTAATGAATTTGATTGATTGTTTGATTCGTTATTCCTCCCATTCCCCAAAAAGTGTGGTTTCAAAGGGTATTTAAAGTTCAATATGACAAATATTTGTTGCTCATCTCGTGTTTGAATTATCATTATGTTAAATCGCAGATAAGATCGGTTGAAGCCTGTTTGTTACCTTTGGATTAGTCTGCGGTTGGAATTTCCAATTCTGGTTAACCACACATTAAGAATATACGATGTTCGTTTGGTTTATAAACAAATGGGGTATTTTGTATTGTAATCTTTCAAGAGTATAATTATATGTATATTACACCGGAGACAAAGCTATAGGCGACTTATGCTTTTCTATGGTAGGAATAGCCCAATTAATAAATCTTTTTATAAAGAAACAATAAGGTAATGAAGTAAGAAACCAAATTATTGTATTTCTTGCTGTAACTTTGTTATTTCAATACACATTGAGGGTCCGATAGTTTTTCTAGTAAAAGAAGCTTTCCGAACGCCTCTTTGGATATAATATAAGGTAAAGACTCATTGCTCTTAACGTTTCTAGATGGCAGTAGCTGGTTTATTTCAAGTAACAGTCATATTTAATACAGCTAATTTTTAGCCTGTGTTGGCCACATCGATCAAGATGTTTGTTGATATGTCAATTGAAACGTATTGTATTTGTATTCAGATAAATAAGTTCCTCATGACGGAAGTGACTTGAATTACTTTTTTGAAAATTGTGGAATTTTTCTGTTTATTTTACGAGCATGATTTCGAGATTGGTTACATATATACTCGCATATATTATTAATCGAATTTTATGTAAGAGTTCCATACAACTACTACCTTGTGTAAATACTGCAGGCGCGGCTACACAGCAACTTCTAAAGGCAACGCCAAAAAACCCTAAACGACCCCTTATATAAATCCATACTTAAATATATAAATATTTAATGAACGGCAGTGAACTTGAGCGCTGCGTCAAATATGTCTGCAGTTGTTTTAAGATACTTTCCAAGCTTTTTCGGGATATATATTTGTGTGCATCTTACCAGAAGGGTACACTAAGAAGTCGAATTTTTTTAGGAATTATGTTGTAGGTACAATTGAGTCGACCTTTCCGACCTTTTATCGCCATTATTTAATCATACTTATAACCATCGACCACTTTATATCCATATTTATTTTGTATTAGTAATTAATTCATGAAGGAATTCCTTAAGTACATCCAGTCAGGTTCTTTCTAACCTAGCAATGGTTGATTCATAAAAGTTAATTGCACTATCTGTTAAAAGACCATTGAATTGAACGAATATACTCGTACATACTGTGCATACGTCAATAAGCAATGACTGCCCTATTCTCAGCTGTGGAGTTGTTTGCTTACTTTTGCCCGACTCCGAGCCCAAGCCTGTGAATCATGTGCAAAATAAGTGGTTTTCCATGTACCCCAAATGCATATACATAGAGCGTTTGAGTTCCCAATTAACAATGGGGGTGCTCTATCTCAGTTCAAGTGTGTATTTTTACGTCTCTATATGGCTGTGGAATTCCCGAGCTTAAAATATTTGCGTCTCCGCTTGTAGAGTGTTCAATGAAAACCGAGGTTAGGCATAGCGTAGTCTGTCGAGTGGACACATAGCCCGACGGGCACGTAAGGGGGCCGTGCGCTTTATCAGTTGAGTGCTCACAAAAAATATACAATTGCTGGTGCCGCCGGTGATTAAAAATCATGTCAAGAGCATCTCTTGCGGCATACTTCACAAGAAATTTGTAAAACCTACATAATATTTGGACACCTGGAATACATATATCAAGCTAGTAGATCCAACAAGATTGTTTTCGCTGTATGGCCCCAGTTTCTCGCTATAAGTGTTTACCAATAGATTAAGCTGTTATGGAATTCTTTATTATTGTTACAATTAATTATTACATTGAGCGCAGCTAATGAATTGCTCTTGTCAATCGTTATTAATACTAATAAAAATCGCGGCTTAATGCACATATGGATCGTGAACTTTGCCGGCAAATAATATGTTGCCAGTAGATTCCTCCTCGATGAAGAACACAAATGGTCGATTCACATTGAACTCTTGAATGACGGTGCTGCCACCGAATTTGTTCTCAATTTCTACCACTGTGGCTGCATAGGCTTCTGTGCCCTTCTCATTGACATCTATGCCTGCTTTTTGTACAATTTCGGAGACCTTAACCTTGCCAGCAACATCGGAGCCACGCGACAGTCCCGGTAACGAAGCGCTGTCTGTGAATATCTCCTGTATGCCCAACGTTTTCAGAGTGTCCCTCAAGTTACGCTTGTAGTCGAAGCGGAATTTAGGTAGCGTGACTTTAACCTTAACCTCCTCCATTGCCCACTGGGAACTCTTCAGCTCATCATTCTCCAGGGCTTGCAGCATTGCGCCAATGCCATCAACTGCATCCGGCAGTAGAACAAACATTGAATTTTTCCCCTTGTATGGCAGACGCAAAATCTTGGCCTTCAGCTTCTCAGACTTGTAGTAATAAAAGTATTCCGTCTGCTCCATAACCTCCACACGCTGCTGGTCGTCCAGAGTGCGATGGAATATGCTCTGATAGCTGCTGGGGAATTGACGGAGCCACACGCCATTGAAGTAGATTAAATTGGTGAGCAGCATGACACTGTCTTTGATATTGGTCTCCGTGACCAAATTTTGCAGGCGTCCATTGGTCGCGTTGCTGGCCCAGTCGTTAATGGAGGCCAACGCTGCATTCACATCGCTAAAGTCGAGAGCCTCCAGCTCTGTGTCATAGAAGACCTTAAGAGTAGCCGCGAATTTCTGCTGCGTCTCAATGAAGCTGTCGGTGAAGAGTTTGGTGCGCACATTCAGCATGTTGTGCAGTTGATTCTCTTTCTTGAAAGAGTTGAGCGTCTTGCGATAGAATTCTCGCAAATTATTCTGCGACTTGATGTCCGTCTGTGTGCCGATCAGTTCCTGTTGCGTGCGTGTGCCCTGGCCGGCTGCCTCTGAGAGCAGGGCAAGCACCAATTTCACGGAGAAGGGCGAAATGATCACATTGTTGGGCCCCGCCTCGTCTTGCAGCACAGTCTTTAGCAATTGCCAGGAGAACTGATCATGCGAATCGCTTCGAAATGGCACATAGGTGTCGATGTCATCGTATGAGGTCGAGGGCACGGCGGTAGGCAATGGAACAGACGACACATTTGTGTCAAACAGGCCTGAGGGTGTTGTTGCTCCTGTTTCTTTCTGTGTGGGTATGGAGTTACCAATTGCGGATTTAAATTGGAACAGCAGCAGGAGCAGCAAGATGAGTGGGAGCGGCATTCCTCCTTTTAATAAATGTGCCTGCGCTTTGCTTAACATTTTGTTTGTATTGATTTCAATATTGACGCACTTTTGGGTTTTATTATTTTTTATGTCACGTTTCTTTTTTCATTTGTGTCCGTTGTCTCTGCCAAATGACAAAAACAAAAAACAACTGTTAAAGTTGCTGCGCTGAGCGTGCGAGGAGAACCGTTTTGTGCACTGTTCCAACTGAGAATGACTCAAATGTTTTTGTAGCCAGCGCTTTTTAAAAACCAGCTTTCGCTCTGACGTTGTATTTGTATGGGAGTCCCGCTAAGCTGCGCGTCACAGCATCACGCTCACAGACAGCTTACACACTCAAGCACAGCTTACACACTCAAACACACTGAAGAAGCAGCAAAAAACAGACTCTGTGTTGTGTCTGCCCTGCGGCGGAACTGATTAAATAATTTATTATGCTCGTAATCGGCAAGCCGAGCTCTAATTCTATGCTCTCTCTCTCTCTCTCTCTTCGAATCTTGTTGTGCTCAAAATGTCTTGCTATTGAATACTGATAATGATAATATGTTAATGGGTTCATGAGTTTGATTGCTGAATTCTTGCATAACAGTTTTACCCTACCTGTGGTCAAGGAACTTGTTTTACGTAGAATAAAAATAGCTTATAAGTTTAAAGTCCGGTTAACGAGTCTCCGAAGCCAGTTAGAACACAATTTTTTAACTTTCGTAGGTAAAAATAACCAAGAAATGTAGAGAAAACTTAAACATAAATATGTTTCTCAATCATTTGCTAAATCTTTTTTTGTATAAAAAACCAAATCAAGCTTATTAATTGAGTTGAATTCTTGGGGTTTTCCGCCACCCAAGAACTAAAAACTATGACAACACTGTGCCTGAATTCAGTGTTGCCCAATACTGAAAAATATCAGCTGTCGAAATTTTATGCGTTGATGTAACATTGCCGGGCGAGGAGTATTATTTGCGGATTGTTTTCAATTTAACTTTTGGTTCAATAACGTGCAATGCAAATACGTCGACCACGTGGAGTAACAATACCTCAGTTAATGGTTGTAACCGCAATTGGTTTTCTGGGCGGCGTTTACATTTGGAAGCCTCTTATTCTGAAATTTAAAAACGAAAACGAGCAAAACAAGACACCAGAAGCAACCTCTACAGCTGCGGCAAATCCAACAAAGTGCGGAAATAATATACCATATATCTCACATCCGTACAATAAATTCTTCTAATAAAAATAATCAATCTTTTTGTACATTTTTCAGATGAGCTTCATTAATGGTTTTAAGAAGTTTAGTGGCACGACTGTCGGTTTGATGGCCATCGGCGTCGGTTCTACTTTCATATTAGTTATTGGCCATCGCTTTATAGTTAGGCCTCTGATGAATAAAAAGCGTCGCCTGGACGCAGAAGCCTATGCCGACTACATATTTCAACAGGAATCCGAGAGGAGACAACGTACAACATAACAGAAGGAACTGAAAATGAAGATCGCACCCTGTAACGACTGGGCTGCCGTTTTTTACAACATGATCATCAAAAACCGATTCATTTTATAAATAAAAACAAATATAAATTTCAATGAAATACAATTGCAATCATTGAAGCAAGGTGCACCTATTATGTTTTAGAAGGGACAATTATTTTAATAGTATGGTTTGTGAATTCCCAATTTTGGTACTTGGAGAAAAAAGTTATAAACTATTTATGTTATATGATTTAAAAAGTAGTCCTTTTCAGTAAACTTAGAATGAAATTTTTTATTTAAGAATTTAAGAAAAAATTGAAGTGCTTAACTGTTGTGAAATTTGAAGATAATAAAAATAAAATGTTTAAGCTTTGAAATATCAGAGTATTATGTATGAAATTTGCAATAAATATTATTGTAACTTATAAAAATCAAATCTACACAAAACACCTTTATACAATTTATTGATCACATACTTATTTATAAAAAAAACATTGAGCTTGTTGAAAATCAAACAGCAGAAGAATGTAAATCCAATAACGGCTTCGTTGTGAAAAAGGCGCCTCTCACTAGAAAAGCTTTGACGCTTTTACAGTTAGACCACACAAACTCAAATTTGAGCTGCTAACGGCACAATTGCAGCAGATGAAAACGCAACAGAGGTAAAATATTACACTCAGTTTTGTCTTGACTTTCGTGATGAGTGTTTGTGATAGTCCCACCATGAAACTAAACATGGATCGAAAATTCAGAGATCCCTTTATAAAGGAGAGACGCAAAGATTGGCTGCAGGAGGTATATATGGTAAATGTTTTCGTTACTTACAAGTTCTATTCAATATTTTCAGTTGCCTATTTCATTATTAGACAGAAGGCAGAGAAAATGATCCCCGGCGCACATTGAATTTTGTTGGTGATCGATTCATACCGAAACGTTTCAGGCGTGAAAATATTGAGTACAATTTAAAGTATGTTGGTAAAACAGAAGAAAAGGATATTTTAAAAACGGTACGCTTACTTATGTTATTAATTTGTTATATTTTACTGACGCAAACCCATCATGCTTATTATTTATAGAGTCTGCCATCGATTTGCACTTATTGGCGACAGAATAGCTTTGTTTCCGCCATTAATCAAACATTCAATATCAGAGAACATCGTTTGTTGGACTTTGGTTTCACCGGCAATGAGAGATCAGGCCACCGCCTTAGCGGAGACTGGCCGTGTAGGCCACGTTTGAAACCCTGCGCTTTTCAAGATGCAACACACGATATGCCTGATTTTAATTCTGGATTCGGTTAGTATGGCTTATAAATAAAACAATAACTGGGCAATAATTCGAATTTTATTTCAATAAATGTTTTTGCTTGTCTTAGATTACAATCTTATGGACTGGTCTACCAGCGATCAAATTGCCGTATCATTTGGAATGAATGTTGTTATCTGGCGTAACAAAGACGACTCTACCATGATATTTGGGGTTAAGCGTCCAAAGTCGCTGAAATATTCGCCAAATGGCAAATATTTAGCCATTGGCTGCATGGAATGTGATTATCCAAGTATGTAAGCCAAGCTAATCAGATATATGTATGTCATATTGCTTCCACGACGTCTGTAGTTGTAGAGCTCTGGGAACTACAGCCGAGTAAAGAGTTTTTTGTAGCCGAAGGCAAATATTTTCATAAGTACGTCAAGGCTGTCTGTTGCATTGAGTGGACCCGAGATAGCACGGAAATTCTATGCGGCACTAGCAATGGTGACATCTACGTGCTGCCAGTTCCTGCTATGCGAACCCGCCTATTGATTCAAAAACACAAACATCCGATACGTATTATGCGCTTCTCACCAAGTATGCGGTATCTGGCAACGGGCGATAGCATCGGAAATATTTATGTTTTTGATGGCAGAACATATCAGGTGATAATGCACATGGGATCAAGGCATCGGCATGGTGTTGTCTTCGACTGGCACCCATGGACTGGGGTCGATCTGGCGATATGTAAGTATCATAAGCAGATAATTTAGCGCCTTTCGTGATCAATCAATCCTTTCTCTCTGTATTTTTAGCGGAAAAAGTACCCGCTTCCATTATCATCTTGAATATGCCAAGAGCTGAGATAGTCGCTTCTTATCAACGCAGGGATAAAAAGATCATGATTAGCTCGGTCAACTTCAGCAATGTTACTGGAGAGCTGCTGGTCAGCATATCGCGACGAGGTATACTATTATCAATTTTAATATTACATAATATAGTATATGTGTAGGTTTTTATGATCACATAAGATGACGATGGATGTCCATACTGTGAAATAATTGTGCTTTCTTCGTTGAATCATGTGGTGGATATAATTGAAAATAAAGATAGGGGCGCAATCTTTATGATGTGGAGTCCAGATGGCAAACGTCTCGCCACTGCTGCTCTTGATGAATCATTTTCCATTTGGAACTTTTATCCCCAATACGAGTACAATGGTCATGAAAAAAATGAACGGCACTCTTCAGCAGATGAAGATGCTCGTGATCCGCTGGCACTGTTCGGATTTATCAAATAATTTAATGTATAAATGTGTTTTAATCCTGGAACCTATTCCTGTTTACAAGAATATTTGTTTAGTTTGTCTTCTTCAAAAGAACTGTTTTTACATACGCAACCTTGTTTGAAGCTAACTTATGTATTGATTGATCAATCATTTCTCCGAAATTAAGGAGCTTTAGGTTGCACAGAAATTATTGGTCAATTGGCATATCGTTCCTAAAGCAGCTACATAGAATTATAGCATTATATGGTAGTCTGATTTGGGTTTGAATACTTGCGCTCCCGATCAAATAAAAACTATGTATGTAAATTGCTTTAAATTTTAATTCGATGAAGAAAGTTTTATTTATACAAAGAGCCTCCATAAATATGTATTGGGTGTACATATTTAATCTTATGGGCTTGACTTATACGCTTAAAACGTTTGCAAATTATAGAAACCCAAACCGATATTTAAAGTCTTTTACATAAAAATGTGAGTGTCGAGAGGAAAAAATTGCATGGTCCGTTTGTACATATTTTCTACACCTTATACATACATCCATAAATTAATACAACAGCAGTTCTCACAACAAACATTAATTTAAGCTACACAAACTCTTTGGTAGTTCCCCTTGCCAGGGCTGCCAAATTTAATAGTTAGTTGTTCAACTCTTTGAGCGTGCGGCGGCACGTTTTCCCTCGATCCATTGTTCTATTTCCACCTTGAGGGCTTCATTCGACTTCACTTTATCCATGGTCAAAGGTTCACGATTGAAGGGATCTGTTTGATCGCTCAGCAGATGACGGGCAATAGTCGAACGATCCACAGTCACTTTGGAACTGGGCAGGACAACCGGATCGGTCATTAAGGTTGATATTATGGGATCTAGATACTCCTCGGGCGCATCGGCTAATAGCTCCTGCTCCTCCTTATATTGTGCGCTCATCTTCTGAACTTTGATGGCAAACTCGGACATATCGCCAATTAGCTGACCTCCACTAATGCGAATCAGTATATTTTCGGCATAGCTGAATAACTGATCACTGTAGGATCGGCCATCTTGCGACACAGCCAGACAAAAGCTTTCGCTACTGCTTAGGTTTATGTAAATGTGACAAATTTCTATTACGGTTTGGGCCGGATCGAAGTCGAACTCCTTCTTGTCCTTCACCTTGAAGCGTTCCTTTTTTGGGCCTACCAAATGCAGGAGAAAATAGTTCAGCATGGAAGCAATCCGATCCACCATACTGTTGTGGCAAAAAGTGCTCTTGATCTCAGTGGTAAGAAGCTTTAGAATGTTGATGGTATCGCGACCCAGAATGTTGTCGAAGCGCGCCAGCATACCCAAGTGATGCAAATTGGTCGTTTGCTGCTGGCGCTCATTGTGCGATAAGTTGTTCCATTCGCCGGCGGCCTGCGCGCGTTGCAATTGCTTGATTTGCTCCAGATTTGACAGAGATTCATCTGTAAATTATCGAATTGGTTTAATATGCAATAACTACGAGCTTACGAACGTACCTAGCAGAAAAATGGCATCGTTGATGAGCAAATTAATGAAGCGCAGAAAGAGCGGAGGCTCAATAGCTTCCATATTGGCCTCCGCTTCTTGCGCCAACTGTCTGAAACACTCAACATGCTCCTCTTTCGTCCATAGAAACTCCATTATAGCATACATGGGACGACGATAGTTGAACTTCTGTTCAAACTGCACCGACTGTCCGGTCATTTCAATGCTCACAAATACGTTCAACAAGCTGCGGACGACCTTTAGCCGATCCGGATGACTGTCAAACACGTGCGTAAGGAATGATTTGCGATTGCTGCCTGATATTTCGGTGGGCAGTAGAAATTCCAATGCATCAGCCAGTTTGGCACGCAAATGTGGATTCTTTACTAGGCCCGAGCTACCCATAAACAGTAGTATCATCTTGAAGAAAGCATCATGTGATGAGAAATACATTTGAATATACTGATCGCCTGAAAAATTGCGGCAGAAGTTCAAATAGCCCACAATATTATCAATAATGCTCTCGGGCACAGATTTCATATAGGGCGCCACAAAAGCGGGAGTATCCGAAAGCAACTCCATGTTACGCAGTGTATGCGGTGCAAAATCTTTTTTGTCCAAAGCCATTTCGTAGTTTTCGCGGGGCAACTGAGCAATTTCCGTCAACCAAATAGCAGAGGCTTCGAACACTTTTAATATTGCCGTATCAGTATCGGGCTCTGCCAGTGCGTTGCGTATGCATAGCACCTGCTGCATTTGATCTGTCAGCATGCGAAATAGGTTCTTGGCCAAGTCGTTGTTCGGATCACTGTTGGCTACATCCTGATAGGCGGTCTGTGTATTCTGCAGTTCGCGCATCATACGCGTCAAGCGCTCAATGCAGGCTCTGTTGCCCAATTCGAAAGCCTTGTGAGTCATGTAGAAGATTTCGGTGATAAAATTGTATTTTTCGGCAGTAAGACGTTGTTCACCCTCTTCAGTGGGCAGCAGGCAGGTTTCCTCGCTGGCCTTCACCAGGTGAATTTGCTTCTCTTGGCGCTCGTTTTCTGGAACGGCGCAATAAGTGGGATCGACCATAAGCACCTAAAACAAACAGATATGTCAAGGAAATTAAGATTGACCGGATTAAAATCGAAATAAATAAATCAAAAACCAGTTCTCACCTTCAACGCTGGCGCACAGAGCGGCGAGCAGAGACGCACCAAAACTGCAGTTAAGCCGGTCATGAATGCATCGCTGGCCGTGCTGTGCACAGTCTGCTCAAAGCTTATATTGATAGTGCTCCACAAATGTCCACGAGTTTTATTCGCATCCAAGCAATTTGCAATCCATTGCAGGGTCTTCTGTTTGGTGTCCGCTGATAACACAAGCAGCTGCTTTATTAATAGAAATATTGACTGCTGATGATGTGAGAGTAGTTGCCACAGCGATGGATCAGTTTGTTGTGTGGCTATCGAAACATCGCGAAAGTATTCGTAGGGACTATTTTGCGTCTTTGGTATAATGGAGATACAAAGCAGCTGTCCCAAGAGAGTATCCATATAATCGCCACCTATGAAATATTCATGCATTATTGTGGTGGTACTCTGTTGGCAATACAATTTGTATTTTGGTACTCACCTTTGGCCTTAGGATTCGGGGTCATGTAGTCAATCAGTACTTCGCCGAGAACAGCGGCGCGCTTGTCACGCACAAAATAGCCCAAAATCCAGAATATATTCTTCTTAATGCTTATTAAATTATCCTTGGCAATGGTCTTTTGCAAGTCATTTAGCATCGGATAGAAAACAGCTTTGAGAGCGCCCAGCGCCTCTAGCGGTTCATCCTCTTCTACCACCTTGGTGGCCACGCGTACCAGAAACTCCTGTGTATGTGTATCGTGCTCATTGGCCTGCTCAAACAGCTCCAGCCATTGAGTGGCAAAAGATTGCGACGCAAAGAGATCAGGCTGGCGCATGCATGTGCTGGCATTGTTCAATATTAATTCCATAATTTTTGCGCAGTACGGGCGCTCTTCGGGCTTGCATTGCATCTGCACCTGCTCGCAGCGTGCAAACGCATTGTGCAGGTAGTGCACGGCCCGTGTCTCCAAAGTATCCGCAATCGCCGCACTGCTATTTTCACCTCTGGTCAGCAGATATTTGTCTGTGTCCTGCAGCAAAAGCCGTTCGAACAAGGCGTGCGCCAGCAAGTCCTCGCCCAGCGTGTCATCATCGGTGTTGTCTGCGACTACCACATCAGCCAGGCACAACAAGCACCGTTTAGTATCAGCTGCGCTGCAATCATTGCTCAGGGTAAAGAGCAAAATCTGCTCAATGAATTTTTTGGACACGCCATTGGTCTTTGATTGGCTATCCTGCAGCAGCGCTGCAAACGGGTTTTCGTCAGTGCTGGTCATCGTTTTAAGTTACTATCATATGCCTATGCAGCAATATTATATATTTTGCACTGCTATTCGGTCAAATATATTCTATGTACGACATGAAAAAAACGACAGAACTTTAAGTCGCTGTCACCGTCACACAAATTCACAGTAGCTGCTCGGTTGCTTCGTATTTTAAAACTAGTGTGTATACACTGATATCAGAAAAATCAATAGCTATGTACACACTTGTATTAAAGCTGTTACACAGCAAATTAAAATACTTTGGGGTTTTGTGAAATAAACGTTCATATAGAATAGTTAATGATACTAATTATATTCCTTTTATTTTCTTTAATTACACTTTATTATTGTTTCTAAACTTCTTTTGAACAAAATTCGATACTTATTCAATGAACCATAGATTTAATTTGTATTGATTTAAAAATGTTTGAATAGCCGGCAAAAATTCCCCTACAATTATATACCTTTTATTTTATTTCATCACACTTTATTATTGCTTATAAACTTCTTTTGAACAAAATCCGTTACTTATTCAATGAACCATAGATTTAATTGGAATTGATTTAAAAATGTTTGATTAGCCGGCAAAAATTGCCATACATTTAAAAACATGTGTGCATCTTCAGCAATTAAGCAAAACGCATTATCAATTTGTTTAATTAATTGCGACAATCGGAAAACAATTAAAACAGGAGTGTACGTGAATAACCTCGTACTATCAGTCGGAACGCAAATCTTCGGTATAGGGTGTACAATAGGAGCCAATAACATATACATACATATGTGTGTGTTTGTACATATTATGTAGGTCATAGGTTGGCAATTAATTTTTGGCTAATTAGAATTATTTTGAATCGACAATTTGATTGATACTAAAAGCCTTTTTAAAGGTTGCAATTTATAAGGTTAACTCGACACCCTATTTGGATTGTACAAAACTAAAGCAGAGCATAGTGAGGGGCAGTCTTTTGCACGCAAGCGATTGCGGCTATACACATAAATCCAAAGCCAATTAAGACAATCAATCACAAAAAAAAACCACTAACAATACATATGTATTAAGAGCCGCAAAGACGGTTAGCCCCAGCCCCTCAGTAGTCCCCGGATACCAAGCGCGCAACCCAACAGTGGCGCTTGCTGATAAAATACTTCGTGCGTGGGTAATCGGCTTATGATCAACAAACACGATGCACAATATATATATATGTATGTATGGCGAAAATGAAATGAAGTTCGTTGATTTTACATGTTATATCAGTCCGTGTGGGATTTTCAAACAGTAAACATATGCACGCAATTGCAAAGTGCACCTGAGTCGCCGCCGCAATAAATATACATAATTGAAAAAAAAAAACATATTATTGGATTAGCGGCGTGGCGAGACGAGCGACGTGACGACAGAAACAAAAACGGTAGAAAGGTAATTGAACTATTTTTAAAAGCCCACCGTGTTAATCCCATTCCAACCATATCTGGAACCTATCGCATAGACTTGAATTCCATTTCAACCATATCTGGAACCTATCGCGTAGACTTAACATAATTGAGTAGTTGTTCATGTTTATTAAAGATATATATATATAGTATTTATCTTTTATTAGTTTGTGATGGAATTAGTTAACCGAGAATATTCAAAATTGTAAATCAATTAGGGTGCACCAATACGATATTTGATATTTTTTGTAGCCTCTGTAGTTTAGTCGTAGAACTTTTTACATATATTTATTAGTTATGAGATTAAGTTCAGTTGGATTCTATAGATAAAGTAGCCTCAAAGACAAGATAGCACATTTTTTAAACGACCAGTTGTTTGTATAAAGAAACATGTGTTCTTCATTTAATTGGTTTACGGATGTTTAGCTTTTTTATACGTTATCGCACAAGCTCGCAATGAGTTTCGAGTTGCGTTCCCTGAAACCTGCTTTACAACTAATTGCCGTTGAGGAGCTCAATGAGGTGCCTGAACGAGTGGCAGATGATATCCGAGCTTTACGAGCCTGGGCTCTTAAGCAGCCCCACCTGCGCGCCTGTATCGATGAACAATTTTTATTGGCATTTCTACGAGGGACGAAATTTAGCTTAGAACGGGCCAAGTCGAAGTTCGATCGATTTTACACTCTACAGGCGGTCATACCGGAGGTGTTCAACGAACGCCGTTTAGCGGACGATGCTTTGGTGTTGGACATAATACGAATGGGGTATGTAGAAGCGATTGTAGAAAGTCCATTTCGAGATGTGGTACATATGCAGTGACCATTTGATAGCATCATCTTGCGCGTTCCGCTGGCAGCTAACGATACTGGTCCGGCAGTTACTATCATACGGGCCGGATCTTATAATACGAGCAAGTATAAGTTTCAGGACATTATACGCGTAGGCTCCATGTTTGGCGAAATCATGATGTTCGAGGATGATAATGCAACTGTTAGCGGGTATGTGGAGATCATGGACATGGCGGGTGTGACGGGCACTCATCTGTTTGCCCTGCAACCGGAGCTTTTACGGAAGTTCTCCGTTTATGCCGACGAAGCTATGCCCACACGTCAGAAGGGCATACATTTTATTAATGTTCCAACAGCCTTTGAAACGGGTTTTAATACGCTGCGCGCCTTCTTCCCCGAAAAGATCAAGAACCGCGTGAGTACAAGTTAATGAATTCCCATTTTCATTTTGTAACGTTATCCCCGAAGATATCGGTTAGCTCCGATCCGGATGCCGTATTTCAAATTGTGAATCGTGATTATCTGCCCCTGGAATATGGCGGAACAAGTGGTGCGACAATACAGGACATCAGTTCGAAAATGGAGGCACAGCTATCGAGATATGGAAAGTATTTCTTAGCGGCACGCGACTTTGGAGTTAATGAGAAGCTCAGGGAATATGGTAACGGTGTCCAGGATAATGGCGCCTTTGGTGCTGCTGGCTCGTTTAGGAAATTGACGATCGATTGACCTTGACCTAACCTACATATACATATGCTTTTCCAATGCGATACCATTTCAATCTACAATTATGGCTAGCTTTAACACAATTTTTAAAGCACTCAATCATGCGTTGTTAATCTAATCGTCTAGGCTACTAATATAGTCCATTAGGAAAAGTCTGTTAAGTCATTAGATTAACCCATATAGCTTTAAAAATATCAAAGTGCTTTTCAAGCGATACCGTTTGGTTGAAAGCAGGGGATTATTTCAGTTTATAGTTTAGACTTTAATGGTTGAAATATAGAAGTAATGTTAATTCCTTAAAATATATATTTTTGATTAAAAAACTGATTGTTGTTTTATTTAGTTTTGCTCTTTTGTTATTAAAATACGGATGTGGAACTACCACTACGTTTATGCCGTAGTACTCATGATTTGTATTTATTAATTCAGGCTTCATAATAGTAATATAACCCCATTATTTATGGCGTCGACAGATAACAGTATCATGATTCCACTCACTTCCTCGCTTTTCCTATTAGTTTACCGTTAAGCTCGTCATAACTTCCTGCAAGTACTTTGAACTTGCAATGCAACAGCTGTTCTCAAATTTGACAGTGTGACCACAGCCTTCGAAAAATACGTTCACAAAATTTGGAAGAACGAAATGAACTCCAGAGCTTTTTAAAATATTGGCGGTGGCTGCTTTCTTTGCAGAATATACTTTGGCTATCTCTTGAGCTCGATTACACATTGAAAATAAATTATTCTGAAATGTGTTTAACAAAACACTTCCTGCTTTCCTTTCTTTAGGAATTCTATTTTATTTGTCTAGTTATTAAAAGCTTATTTTTAATATTTTTATAAAACTATTTCACTTTCAGAAAACTTTATTATACGTTAAAAATTAAAAAAAAATTTCCTGACCACTCAAACACTTTAAAAAAATTTGGTTTTGTTTTTTTTATTGCATTATTTTTTTCAATTTGATGTCATTCCCCGTTGAGCCAAAATTTGTCTCGGATGAAATTCGTGTGTGGTTTTCATTCGCTCTTGTTTTCCCGATATAATTAATAAATATATTTGAACTAGTTTTGAGTTGTGATTGTTATTATCAACTACACATGATGTTGCAGGATCTGAATAACCCTGCAGGCTGAAAAGTACACTAGACCGCTTTCATACTTCGCTCATGGGACGGGAGCCGCCGTTCCGTGGCGGTGGAGGCGGACTTGGAGGTGGACTGAAGTCCGTCTCCGTGTCGTTGTAATTGTAACGACTGTCCGAGGGTGATAACGAACGATATGTACGTGGGGGCGAGTGGCGATAGGAATCGCGGCGTCCCCAGCTGCCGCTGTGCCGTCTATCACGTCCCATGTCGCGATCATGCCTATATACATGATCATCATCGTCGTCATCATAGTCATCGTAGTCACTGTAATCACCAGGATGTGGTGAATACCGCGAGTCGTCGCGCGATGTAGGCGGCGGCGAACGCATACGACCCAACGGCGGGGGCCGTGCACCACCAGCGGTCGGTGGCAGGAAGGGGGGCGGCAGACCCATGAAGGGTGGGAATGGCCCCGCTAGGAATGGCAGTGGATTTGGCATGTTTAACAACGGAGAACTTGGTAAACCAGGCAATGGCGAAGGCGCATTCTTCATATCAACGCCCAGTGGTGCATCCGCTGGCCCCACGACTCCATTACACATTGGATCTAACCCAACGCTGCTGCCGCTGGCCATGGCAGTGAGCTTGCGTCGAAGACCCGCCGCCTCAGCCAAAGCCTCCTCGCAACGTCGCTCAGACTGGCGTGCTGCCAGCCAGGACTCGTGCGCACGGTTCTCTAACGTGCCCATCTGTGCCTTGTGCGAGGCAATCTGTGCCTCGATCTCCGCGCGCAGCTCATCGTTTTGAGATCTAGTCGAAATAGAAAGTATTTAGCCGACGAATAGAACGATTATCCAAATATAATTGCCATTGGAAATGATACTCACTTGAGGGTTTGTATTTCCGTTTTCATTAAAGTTTGCGACTCTACAGTGCTGGCATTCTCTCCTTGATGCTGCAGCCATTTCGCTTCCTGCAGACTTAATTCTCTGCAAAACAAAATAAAATAGTTATTTGTCACTTTTTGCAGGTCGTATTCTGTTTACTTTTGAAGTTGTGTTTCTTTTTCACGGAAATAGCCCGAGAGCACTTCAAGGCGTGTTTGGGCTTCCAGCTTCTCACTCTCAGACTGATTGTAATCCTGCTTTAGCTTCTCCACATCTGCACTAGCCTGCTTTAATTGACTTTCCAAGCGGGCTTTGGCTGCCACCTCCTGTTCCAGCTGTGATTGCAAGCTGGCAAACTTTTTCTGTGCGGCATTTAGTTCTCCACGGGTCTTGGCCGACGTTATTAGCTCCTGCACATTCAGCTTAGAGTCCTTCTTCACCGTTTTTAGACAGTCCTCCAGTGCCTAGAAATGCAATTAAATCAAGATTCGGCTCTCGACCATGAATACGAAATTTTGTAATCCACTTACCTCAATTTTAGCCAGGCTTGTCTGTAGCTCACTGTGCTCCTTCTCCCACTTCGAATTAAGTTCCAGAATTTGATTTTGAAGACGTTGCATTTCATAGTTGCGGGCCTCTAGTACCTTGGCCAGTTCCTTTTCGGTCGACGATTCAATTTCCTCAATGCGTGTCAGCAGTTTAGCCTTTTCTAGTTCCAATTCATAGTTGTCTTGCTGCAGTTGCTTCATTTCACTGCTCAGCCGTGCTGATGACTCGGTAAATGAGTATTGCAATTCGCTGTTTTCGCGACTCTTCTCCGCCAGACTCGAATTTATGTCAATTATAATTTCTGATTAAGAAAAAGATTACAATTGCTGCAGTTATTGAAGGATCTATTCAAACTTACTCTCTTGATCGTTAAGCTGGCGTTGCAGCTCATCTACAGTGCTCATGAACGCCTCATCACCATTCTGGCTATTCAGAACTTCAGACAGCATTTTATTGAGCTCCAAGCCTGCCTCGGCGGCATTATCCAAGTCCTACATGAATAAATCAGAGTTTAATAAAAACAGAAGTCGAAGAAGTTCAATTTTGCATTTCATACCTTTTCCAATGAGTTCACTTGCTCCTGCAACTTGGACTTTTCATATATCTCGGTTTCCAGCTGCTTCTTTAACGCCATTACCATATCATTCGATCCAAAAGAGTTATCCTCAATGCTCGACAATTTCGTGCGTGTTGCCATTATATCGTGTTTGAGTATTTGATTCTCTTTATGGGCCGCAAGCAAACTGCGCTCCAGCATATTCAGTTTCGAGAGCAACGATCCTTCTTGACTGCTATTGCAGAAGCAATAATAGGCGAAAATAAAAAAGAGGGAGGAGGCAGCGGCAATCACCACGCACAGCAACAACTGGCTATGATCTAAAACTTTGGCAGCCAGCACCTCCGGGAAATTGTCTAATGATATGCTGGCATGACAACCACGACCTCCCAAAGCCCCGGGACGCATACAATGACCCTCCGCAGCAGCTGCAAAGAAAAATGTGAATAAATATGTGTTGTCTTAATACCTCCCTTACTAAAAGTTTAGGGAAACACTTCCATAATTATTTTGTCACTAAAACTTATAAGAAACACTTCCCAAATTATTCTTTCTGACTAACTTTTATGCAAACTTCTTGGTTCAAATGGGATGCTGGAGTCACCAAGCCTATGGTCGACATAATTTATTAGAAAAGCGCGGAGTGACCCTTTTCATTTCAGTTTCACAAATTTACGTTTATTTTTTAATATTTTTATCAGCTGTTTATGCTAAAGTGGCTTTGCTTAGGTGCGTCGTATGAGAAGCGCATGGGAGGGCAGTATTTTCAATTTAATTTAAAATAATTATTATTTATTTATTTATTTGATTTTCTGGACATTCTGGGCATGCTGAGGTGGCCTTGCTTAGGTGTTTCGTTTGAGAAGCGCAGAGGGCTGCCTTTTGAATTTAATTTAAAAAAATTATAATTTATTTATTTATTTGATTTTCTTGGCTTTTGGTGTTGAAGTGGCTTTACTTAGGTACCTCGTATGAGAAGCGCAGAGGAGGGCAGCCTTTTCAATTTAATTTATAATAATTTATTTATTTGATTTTCTTGGCTTTTGGTGCTGACGTGGCCTTGCTTAGGTACCTAGTATGAGAAGCGCAGAGGAGGGCAGTCGTTTGAATTTAATTTAAAATAATTATTATTTATTTATTTATTTGATTTTCTTGTCTTTTGGTGTTGAAGCGGCTTTACTTAGGTACCTCGTGTGAGAAGCGCAGAGGAGGGCAGTCTTTTCAATTTAATTTAAAATAATTGTTATTTATTTGATTTTCTTGGCTTTTGGTGTTGAAGTGACTTTACTTAGGTACCTCGTATGAGAAGCGCAGAGGAGGGCAGTCGTTTGAATTTAATTTAAAATAATTATTATTTATTTAATTTACTGGGCTGTTGATGCTGACGTGGCTTTGCTTAGGTGCCTCGTATGAGAAGCGTAGAGGAGGGCAGTCGTTTGAATTTAATTTAAAATAATTATTATTTATTTATTTGATTTTCTTGGCTTTTGGTGCTGACGTGGCCTTGCTTAGGTACCTAGTATGAGAAGCGCAGAGGAGGGCAGTCGTTTGAATTTAATTTAAAATAATTATTATTATTTATTTATTTGATTTTCTTGGCTTTTGGTGCTGAGGTGGCTTTGCTTAGGTGCCTCGTATGAGAAGCGCAGAGGAGGGCAGTCTTTTCAATTTAATTTAAAATAATTATTATTATTTATTTATTTGATTTTCTTGGCTTTTGGTGCTGAAATGGCCTTGCTTAGGTACCTAGTATGAGAAGCGCAGAGGAGGGCAGTCGTTTGAATTTAATTTAAAATAATTATTATTATTTATTTATTTGATTTTCTTGGCTTTTGATGCTGAAATGGCCTTGCTTAGGTGCCTCGTATGAGAAGCGCAGAGGAGGGCAGTCTTTTCAATTTAATTTAAAATAATAATAATTATTATTTATTTATTTGATTTTCTTGGCTTTTGATACTGAAATGGCTTTGCTTAGGTGCCTCGTATGAGAAGCGCAGAGGAGGGCAGTCTTTTCAATTTAATTTAAAATAATTATTATTTATTTATTTAATTGATTTTCTTGGCTTTTGATGCTGAAATGGCCTTGCTTAGGTGCCTCGTATGAGAAGCGCAGAGGAGGGCAGTCGTTTGAATTTCATTTAAAATAATTAGTATTTATTTATTAATTTGATTTTCTTGGCTTTTGGTGTTGAAGCGGCTTTACTTAGGTACCTCGTATGAGAAGCGCAGAGGAGGGCAGTCGTTTGAATTTAATTTAAAATAATTATTATTTATTTGATTTTCTTGGCTTTTGATGCTGAAATGGCTTTGCTTAGGTGCCTCGTATGAGAAGCGCAGAGGAGGGCAGTCTTTTCAATTTAATTTAAAATAATTATTATTTATTTATTTAATTGATTTTCTTGGCTTTTGATGCTGAAATGGCCTTGCTTAGGTGCCTCGTATGAGAAGCGCAGAGGAGGGCAGTCGTTTGAATTTCATTTAAAATAATTAGTATTTATTTATTAATTTGATTTTCTTGGCTTTTGGTGTTGAAGCGGCTTTACTTAGGTACCTCGTATGAGAAGCGCAGAGGAGGGCAGTCGTTTGAATTTAATTTAAAATAATTATTATTTATTTGATTTTCTTGGCTTTTGATGCTGAAATGGCTTTGCTTAGGTGCCTCGTATGAGAAGCGCAGAGGAGGGCAGTCTTTTCAATTTAATTTAAAATAATTATTATTTATTTATTTAATTGATTTTCTTGGCTTTTGATGCTGAAATGGCCTTGCTTAGGTGCCTCGTATGAGAAGCGCAGAGGAGGGCAGTCTTTTCAATTTAATTTAAAATAATAATAATTATTATTTATTTATTTGATTTTCTTGGCTTTTGATACTGAAATGGCTTTGCTTAGGTGCCTCGTATGAGAAGCGCAGAGGAGGGCAGTCTTTTCAATTTAATTTAAAATAATTATTATTTATTTATTTAATTGATTTTCTTGGCTTTTGATGCTGAAATGGCTTTGCTTAGGAGCCTCGTATGAGAAGCGTAGAGGAGGGCAGTCGTTTGAATTTAATTTAAAATAATTATTATTATTTATTTATTTGATTTTCTTGGCTTTTGGTGCTGAGGTGGCTTTGCTTAGGTACCTCGTATGAGAAGCGCAGAGGAGGGCAGTCTTTTCAATTTAATTTAAAATAATTATTATTTATTTATTTATTTGATTTTCTTGGCTTTTGGTGTTAAAGTGGCTTTACTTAGCTACCTCGTATGAGAAGCGCAGAGGAGGGCAGTCGTTTGAATTTCATTTAAAATAATTAGTATTTATTTAATTTACTGGGCTGTTGATGCTGACGTGGCTTCGCTTAGGTGTCTCGTATGAGAAGCGCAGAGGAGGGCAGTCGTTTGAATTTAATTTAAAATAATTATTATTTATTTATTAATTTGATTTTCTTGGCTTTTGGTGCTGAGGTGGCTTTGCTTAGGTACCTAGTATGAGAAGCGCAGAGGAGGGCAGTCGTTTGAATTAAATTTAAAATAATTATTATTTATTTATTTATTTGATTTTCTTGGCTTTTGGTGCTGAAATGGCCTTGCTTAGGTACCTAGTATGAGAAGCGCAGAGGAGGGCAGTCGTTTGAATTTAATTGAAAATAATTATTATTTATTTATTTAATTGATTTTCTTGGCTTTTGACGCTGAAATGGCTTTGCTTAGGTGCTTCGTATGAGAAGCGCTGAGGAGGGCAGTTTTTTCAATTTAATTTCCAACAATTATTTTTGTTTATTTATTTGATATTTTGGGAGTATTATGTAACGAATTTTTATGAAATGCAATTGCTTCGAAACCTATTCCAAGATTTTGAATATTGCCCTATTATGCATAAATCTATGAAATTGCAGGCTTTCGGCACTTTTTCCATTTGTATACTAATGCATATATTTGTTAATCAAAAAGACTTACCCACTGAAGGCGCTGCTCCATCTGGATAGAGAATGCGGTGCAAATCATCGTTACCAGTCAATGGGGCGGTTTGAGGTTCTTTTGCCTGAGTTGATATGAAGGAATTGACAGTGCCCAATATAGTGGCAAAAAGGCCGGGTCCAGCATCATCTTTAAGCACCTCCGAGTCATAAGAAGGCGTTGAGGTTGAAGGTAAAACGATTGGCTCTGCGGGTGCAGCTGTGGGTAATTCCGTTTGCGCTGGTGCGCTGTCCTGTGCCTCGTGCGATGGTAAATTAGTTGTTGCTGTGTCTAGAGTGCCTTCATCTGGGATTGAAGCTACATCAAGAGATTGTGGAATGGCCTCTGAATGGTTGAACGTTACGTCATGAGTTTCTTCCTCATTTGAAGACAGATTTGGGGAGATGGAAACCGGCTCTGGTATCTGTTCAGATTGCCTGGATGCATCTAATGTAGCAACCTCTGGTGGCTTTGTAATTTCAGCTGCAGCGTGTGAAGTCAGCTCTGGCACCTCTGCTTTTTGGGGAGGCACATCGATTCTTTGTGGAGCCGCCTCTGATATTTGTGGGGCCACCTCTGATATTTGTGGAGCCTCCTCTGATATTTGTGGGGCCACCTCTGATATTTGTGGAGCCGCCTCTGCTGTTTCTAGAACCAGCTCAGGGGACTGCGTAGTTCCTTCTGCTGACTGTTGAGTAGTCTTTGGTGCTGGGGTTACTTCAGCGTCATGCAAAGAATCAAAAGGCATATCGTAAGAAGGCGTGGTATGCTGTTGTTCTTCCTCAAGCTTTGGCTGTGACAAATCCTTATGAGTAGATTTTGGTGGTTCTTGCTCTTGTTTCAACAGCGGTCTCTTTTCCACCTGCTGTTCCTGCAAACTTCTGTAGTAATCATTCGGATTCATATAGTTCTGCTTGCTCAAAAGAGGTGGCAAACTTGTGGCCTGTTCGGAAAGAGCTGGTGCTGGTTGCTGGCCTGTCGGCTCAGCAGCATTGGTGTGATTAGCGGCCAACACAGAATCTTCTGTTTTCTCAGCTGCTTGTTTAACTGGCTCAACTGTTTGATCTTCAGTTGGTTCCACTAGAGGCTGAATTTCGTCTTGCGCTTTATCTTTCTGTTGGACTGGCAGAACGGCAGGTGGGTCAGCAGTCTGGCTTTTGGTCAGTCCCATGGGTAATGTGGCTTCTGTAGTGGCCTTCTCTTTGAGGATTTCTGGTGATGCTTCTACAGTTCTTGTTTCAAGTAAGATGTCCCCGTGTGTCTCCTGTACTTTTTCTTCTTTTTGTACGGGTGCAGCCTGAGCGTCGGACTCCGGTTTTTCTTCTTCAACTACTTGAGTATTTTTCAAGGGCTCTGTTATCAGACCTTCTTGTTTGCTTATCTTTGGCACAGCATCGCTGTCTGCTTTTTTAATGTCTTCCACGTTTGCTACATTTTCCACCTTATCGCCCTCTTTGACGCTGTCTTGTTTGATGTTAATTTTATCGTTTAACTCTTCGTATATTTTGCCATCCAACTCTTCGTCGTCATCTTCCTCGTAATCGAAATCATCATCATCGTCGTTCTCGTCGCTTTCGATATTTATTTCGTTTTTCATTGCCGGTGGCTGTACTTTCGGTTCGTTAGAAACATGATCTGTGGTAGCAGGTTCCGCCTCTAAGGGCAACGCCGTGCCATCGACAAGTTGCAAATTTGGTTTTATTGGAGTCGAAGGCACTGGAGCTTCTTTAGTCGTTTCATTATCTTGATGTGTTAATATAATGTCAGGTTTAACATTCAACGGCGATGTGGTGGTCGTTACGATGTCGTCAGCCGATTCGGAGGCATTTAGCACAGTTTGAGGCTCTTTTGGCTTGTCGAGCGTTTGCTCAGCTCCCTTGGAAGGCGAAGCTTCGGCTGCAATAGCATTTTCTAAAGAGGTGTGATCTGCTTGTTGGTTAGGAGCTGGGCCAGGTTGTGCATCTGAAGGTGAACTGGATGCAGGTTGCTGAGTTTCCCCAGTAGTTGTTGGCGCCGGTTGCTGCTCCTGCGGCTTGGCTGTTCCAAGCACCGGAACTTCAAACTCCAGCATTTTCTCGCTAACGTAAATCTTTTGCTCCCTGATAAAATCTTTGTTAGCATAGCCTCGGCGTCCGTTGATCTCCACTCCCCATAGCTGTGGATCAGTGCCAGCACTTTTCGATAATATGCGCACAGGCGTATTGATCTTAAACGATAATAAGCCCTCGCCTCCAGCCGCATAGCTAAGCTTCGTTGATCCTAGCGATATAATCTCTGTGAAAAAGAAAAATATGCATGTGGGAGAGTTTGATATTGAATGTAAAACATACGTAATGCAATGATGGTTATAAACATGTTTAAATAATTTAAAAAAAAATGTTACAAATTTATTGAAATGGGTGCAAAGCTAGTTTAGATCAGTATAGTTTTGAATTCAATTCATGTTTGTGTATAGGCATGTATGAGTGAATATATAAATGGGTCACCCAGATACGAAAACTGATTGGAGCGCATACTCCTACACCTGCAACTACATAAATACATACATATGCACACACATTTCGCCGGAAATGGGCAAATTGGTGAAAAAATCAAAGTCCTAAACCAAGTGGTATATTTATAGCAATTAACAATTACTCATGAGAATACAAATTTGTGGAAGCAGTAGGCTACATACATTCAAATGTACATAGTATGTATGTACGTGTGTATGTTCACACACATAAGTAACATATTTTCGCCCTCATTTGTTGACGCGAAAAATGGACAAGCGAAAATTATTGGATTTGCCGTAAAACTGGTCATTCGAGCGCTGTTGCAATCAACTTACGTTCACATTTTGGATCGGCGCAGAGTCTTTTGTCCGACAAGGCCCACGTATTTCTTGGGAGGCATGAGAGTACCATTAGGCCCCAAAAAATATTGTTACCAATTCGCGGCGACATGTTGTTGTCGTTTGCCAACCGCATTTTGCATTGTCTGATTTAACTAAAATTTAACAGATTTAACTCGCGACCGAATAATTGCTCTTAACAATTGTTGAAAAGTGTTTTACATTAGCTGAGTTGGCTTTTTGTTAAACAGCTGCTTACAGTCTGGTTTTTGCCATTCACCATTAATATAACATAATTTTCACTGCTACTCTGTCACAGTCTACAAAGTCACGTATCACGAACAACTAATATATGAAAATTATATTTGTCAGTTACATTAATAAAATAAGGTATTGTTTGTCCAATCACCACAGACATAAGATAGGCTTAAAATAGTAATTGGTTCTTAGTGCGAGTAAGTCTGTTTTCATTCATAAAAGTAGACCGCGTATACCGTTTCTATTCACAGTTGAAGTCACTACTTATTTGATATCGCTGTTTCTAGAGCTGCCATCAGTCGGAGTAAGAAAATGTATCGATGCCCTGGTATGCTCTCTCCACAGCCACAAAAACTCAGTTGGATTGTTAACAAATACTCGTGGTCGTGGTCGGGCCAAAGTTGTACTATTTTTTTAAAATAGTGCCACAAATTTTACAAAATTCGGGTTGGCATAGTTATCTTAAAGGTGCAGTATGCATGCATAGTATAGAAATGGTGAAATAACGCACTCCAAAATTTGTGTATGCAAAAATGCAAAGTGTGTGACCTTGAAAGTTAAAGTTGGAGCATTTGAAATACAAATTTGTGGGTAACGTTGGCGGTCCTCAGAATATGCGAACGCTATTAGCTTTTACGCTTTTCCTATTCGTAATGAGAAATAGCACGCAAATGTTTTCCAATGGCAGGAATTTTCCTTGATGTTTTTATATTCCTTGAAAGGCTTTCCTTCTGACATCATATTTTGAGCACTGTGAGTTATCAGGGTGGCTAAACTACGTCGAGAGTGGCAAAAGAGAGAAATATGGCTGCATGTTCGCCGCATTTAGTTTGTGAATGTTTGCTTGCCATATTGAGCAAATTAATACAAATTTAACAAATGAATAAAATTCAATAACTAAAGCGAGTCGCGAACACATTTCGATTTCGATTTTGAATGAGCGTGTTTTGGTGCAGGCCAAAACAGATTGAGAGAGCAATTAAATTTTGATTTGGTCGTGTGCATGTGTGTGCGCAAATGAAACGAGAGCGGAAGAGAGAGCCAGCGAGTACAGTGAGTGCTTGCGCTGTTCATTATTTAAAATCTTTCGCATTTTAAACGTGCTTGTGATCGGTTGTAGTTCGCGGATGATCCGGAATTGTATTTAATTTTAGTACTTAAATTGTTAGTTCTGTACCTTAATAAATATATATTTTTGAATGGCTGCAGCCATGCGCTAGTTGCAGTACCTGCCAATTGCTCTTCCCCTCGGGATTGGAGAAGATGTAAAGTTTTAATGTTGTTTCTGGCAAGAAATTCATACGTAATTGTGTAACAAAAGTAATTATGCACGACAATGTGTGCATATTACATACACATGTGTTTACATATCTTTATAAATTGGCAACATTAATCAAATGCCAAACTGTAATTAAAATCAACAAATTGCGTTGAGGCGTACTTGCAATTGGACTTAACAATACAACGAATCATTTTAATAAAAAAACAAAGGCGCGCGCTGCAAGCAGAACTTGTTTACTTGTCAGCTACAGAGCTTTTAAATATACAGCGACTGCAACAATAAAAACCTGCGCCCAAAGTGAACAACCGAAATTAATAAATGCAATAAAATCTGTGTTCATTTGAGCAATAACTAAGCATTGAAATTGTGACGTAATTTACATAAACATATACAATTATTCTAAGAACGAAAAATACTCAATACCTAAAAGTCATCGCCTTTTACTAGTACTTGTGCTTTGACAGCTGCAATTACCAATTGGCTTTTAATTTGAATTTTGCATGCAACAGGGCCGCGTGTCGTTTGCACAAACGCCCGTTTTCACATACACTGGCAGAGGAGAAAGGCAGCCGTGTGTTTGTGTATGGTAAACAAAAATACAAATGTTCATATGCCACAACAATAGCAACAGCGGGAAAACAAAGAAAAGCTGAAAAAAAGTGCAAACCACCCACTACCACACATACACACACACACACACACATACACACGGTGTGTTGTAAAAACAAACGCCAACAGCAACGAAACAAAACAAAAACAACAATTAGGTAATGTTTTTACGCTATTCTCTTTGGTCTCTGCATTCGTTGCTCGTTGGCTCTCGCTAGCCTTCTCTCTCTGTAGTCTGCGCTCTCTTTTCAATGCTGTTGTTTCCTTTATTTTTGTTTTTGTATTTACAACAGCAACTCAACTTCTATGCTTGAACATTACACACGTTTTGGTTGCGCGGTGGAAAATTTTTGAGCGGAAAATTTTTTTTGTAAAGTTCTTGCTGATTAGGCGCATGTTGACAGTTTCATTGATACACACACTTTTACAATTTGCGCAGTGGCCGGTAAAATACATATGTGTGTGTATGTATGTTTGTTTATATAAACATGTAAAAATGTAGTATTTATACATATGTATGTCTATGGATATGCATGTATAAAGCTTATTGAAAGAATTGTGTTTACAGTTTCAGTATCGTACAGCTGATAAGTGCAACAAAAATGTAAAGTGCTGAAATAAGAGTGCTGCGAATCAAAACAAATACGGAGCAGCATTAAAAACAATTAAATTCTTGCATACATAACTTTGAAAGTGTTTTAATATATGCGAACAAAGCATGCAATTCTGCTAAAAAGTATTAGAAATTTGGAACTACATACATATACAAATTTTAAGTAGTTGCAGCGAAAAGTCAAAACAAACATATAAGACGCTAGCAACAAATAGCTTAGCAACAATGTTGCGAAACAACGAAGTAGACAATGTCAGATCAACTGCAACAGAAACGAAATTAGTTGAGGGTCAAATGACCAATCCAAATACTATTGTGGGCACAACGGCATTGACGCTCTCAGCTGTGCCTGAGAGCCCAGAACCAGCTGTTGTTACGTCGCCAACATCGCCATCGTCCTCGCTTCTGTCGCATGCAGCTAGCGAGCCCACATTTGACGTTCAGATGCGTACGCAGCAACAACAGAAAATTAAACTCTATCACGATGCCAAGCAGCATGCCGTATGGCGCACCGATTCCCTAGCCTCGAATTCGTCGAACTCGTCAGCAAAAGCGGGTGCTGCTACTGATTATGTCAGCATGAGATCAACTGCGCCAGCATGTCTACTGCAGCGGAAATCGTCTGACAGCTCAGTGGTGTCATCATCGATGCCGCGCCGCGTCTCATTTCCGGAAAGCGATAAGGAGCTGGTCACTGGATATTTGGAACCGGCCAATCCATGGGAAGAAGGTGAGTGAGAAAATCCGAGCTTAGACATTTAATGGGTGCCATAATAATAAAGAGGCAAAGATTCGGAACAAAATGCTATATATACTTGTATGTTATTGACGACCATTGAAAAAAGTGTTCCTTGACTCTGGCTTTTGCTTCTTATTACGTGTATACCTATGTACTCGTATGTACATCTGTGTGTGCATATGTTAATATGTACATTATGTACTTCCATAATTTCTTGAAATTGGAGTCGAGCAAGAAAACGCTGCATTGTGGTTTCTTCAGGTTATTCAACGAATTGGAAATTTAAAAATTACCTTTTAGAACTATTAAACACTGCAATAATTAATTAAACACTGCAATAACTATTTAAAACTGTAAAAGGGATGTGTATTTAAAAAGAAGATGTTTTTATTAAAGATTTTCATAAAAACATACACTATTCAATTTCTTTAATCGCACCTAGAATACAAAAAAAGGGTAGCTAGTAGTTAAAGGATATGAATTGTGTCATATTTTAGCAGGCTAGAGAAAATCAGGAGTATTTCAAAAAGAAAGAAGCCAGAAGTAATTATCAACTTTAGTAAACATATTTATTTTAAATGAAAATAACTTGATCTTATATCTTTAGATTTTGCTAGTCGATTTCACACTCTTTTTGAGCTATTTATGTACAACTATCTATACATACGGGTGTGTGTGTGTATATATATGTATATGAGATGATCTAGTCGGCGTATACGCTTTATATGCGTTTCTGCAGCTGTATTTGTCAACACATCAAAAGAAATTCTTGTCTTTAAGTCAATACGGAAGCGAAAATGTTTAACTAATGTCGGTAGCACCTCAGTGTACATATTGTCGTTTTGCAATGCACTTCCTGTGATTTATTTCAATTAAACCGATTAATTTTATTACAAAATGAAATTGCGAATAAAATCAAAAGAAAAATGATGAACGAGCACAAAAGGCAATGCATTAATGCTGACGTCAACCGGTAAGGGACAAGAAAAATAAAAAATAAAATAAAAACTTAAGTACCTACTGAGAGCGAAAATGAAAAAATGCAACTAATTGAAAAGCGTTGTTGCATCGATGCTAATTTTTAGGTAACACACAGAGAAAACAAACGAGTAACAGCTGTAAATGCGAAACAGCCGCAAAGCGAATGAGCACACAAGTTGGGAAGCAACAATGACAACAACAAAAAGAACAAAAATGCGCGTGGGTGGGAGCTGGGCTGTTTGCTGGTTGACGGCCAGCCAATTCGATAAAGTGCGCAAAAGTATTTATGTACATATGTATGTATGTACTTTTACATTGAATAAGTAACTACTCGTTTATGACGCTGCAGTCTCATGTATTTGTACGTGTACGTACTTAGTAGAGTCTACAGAAGAATAAATGGCCTATTGTCTGACTGCTGTCAACCGCAATGCAGTTTGACGTTTTCTAGTGCTCTTCCGCGTTTATGTTAGCAACGAAGAGAAATTGAGAGAGACAACCATTGCGTAGATATCGGACATTGTACGCAACAGCAACGCAACAGCTGACAGTTGACAACTACGTGGGCGACATCTCCATGTTAGTTGGCAAAACATTCCACACCAGAGAAAACGGTCATAAATGACTGCTGAAAGACATAGATAAAGGGGAGACGGGTAGACAAAAAGCAATTGATAGTGTAGTCTAAATTGAATATTAAATTGTAGATAACTACTATTGTATAACTATTTACGCATTATTCGAAATTTGTTATTTAACTTTGGAAGTTTAATTCTGCAATGGAATCTTTTTTAAATGTAAAACCAAACAAATTTAAATTTCTTTCGATGTATAGTACACAAGTGTTGGGGAGGCGGGTAATTAAAAAAAAAATGAACAAACTTTCTCTGCTTAGGCCTAAGGGCCTAGTTCGGTTAGTCTAGCTCCTACACATTCCGTGATCGATTGATTCATACAGACACGTACTGTAATGGCGATATTGACTGATCTGTTTGTATGTACTCGCAAGTATATTAAAAATGTATACACTATATGGCGTCTGCAACGGTACAGGGTATCAAAAGCGGGGAAGACCCCCTAATAGACACTTGGTAATTGACCCTGTCCGTGTTTATTCTTTTGTATCAAAACAATGCTGAAAGGTCGTAATACTGAATGATTTATTAAGCCAAAATTTTAATTACAATATGGCATGTTGGAACAACGGCTAATAACCCTGTGGAATGAACAATCAGAGGTGCATTCACATTTTTCCCCCATAAAAATAGAATCTAAATGTGAATTTTTAATTGAAAAAATAATATAAAATTGGAAGACAACGCTATTTTCGTAGCTGTTATCCTAACTAAAATTTTAAATAATAATTGCTATTGAAAACATTATATTGTGCAAAATTATGGCTATAACGAATACTATAGATGTGAGAATTATTTATAAGTAAATTTCGTCTTTTTTACGCTGTTACAGTAAGTTGTAAAAATTGTGCTGTGATCAAGGTGCAGTCATAGGAATAATAAGCCTATGATAATTATTTGTAAATGCCGTTCTACTTAACCTTTCCAATTGGCAGATACTTCTATGAACTTATGTGCGATGTTTTCAATGCCGACTCATTTATGTACATACTTACATATGTATGTCGATCATTCGATTCAAAACATTTTATTTGCTTTTTTCAGACTCTTTATAGTTGTCTTGCTATTATATTGTTCCCTTCTTTGATTTTGTTATTCGTCTTTTACACGTCAGCGATAAAAACAACCACAAAATCACTGATAAGATACGCAATAATTCGGTTCTGATTCGCGCTTTCTGTCTTCCCCACCCTACCCCACCCCACCCCACCCCACCCCACCCTACCATTCTCAGCCAGCCTTGTGTGCCCTTTTTATTATTATGTATGTATTGTTATTTACTACATATGTATGTACATGTATTTGTAGGCCTGTTTCGCTAGGTCCGCTGCTAGTCGTTTTTATTTGTTGTTGTGCCATTTTGTCGTCGCGTACACTTTAATCTATAAATTGTACAAACAATTACAATTTTGTCGACGACGCGCATTCTGTTTGCTCGCATGTTAATATTTGTATATGTATGTACATATGTACGTACATTCTCATTAATATACATAAGCATGAATGTACATATGTGTCTCATGTATTTGAGTGTTTAATTTTTTTGCTTGTTTCTGTTTCTTTATTTGTTTATGCATACAATTTGTTGTTCTTCTTTATTTATTTATTTGTTTTTTTTTTTTGCTTATCGTACATATATATGTACATACATTTGTGATGTCATCGTCACTACAATATCGGAAAGCAATAACAAAACTGAATATTCACAACAACAATTATAGTTGATAAATATGTCTTAAGACTCAGCTTAGCACTCCTTGCCGTACGAACACACGTAGTTTCTTCTATTTGCATACACACATACATATTTACATATTTATTTATGTACATACATATACATATGTATGTAATTTATATATAAACAAATCGTTCACAGAAGCGCCTTCAATTAGCGGCAAAACATATACACACACATACATATGTACACACAAACATGTACATATGTATGTATGTACACGTATGTATGTATGTTTTATATTCTGACGTTGACTAGCCAAAAACAAACGTCTGTTGATAAACCCAATTGGAAAGTCAACAAAATGCTAGCCATAAAACAATCGCACATCGAACTTTTCGTCTGAACAACGAAGCAAATACAAAAGCAAACTAAAAAAATGTATGTCTGTATATTAATAGAAACTCATATGCCGCTGGTTGAATACCCTATGAATCTACAAACACATTTGTTTTATAAAAAACATAAGTTTATTTCGTTATTCAGTTGCCTATTTATTTGTGTTCGATCTAGGCATGTCCGTCCGTCCGTCTGGATGAACGCAAGGATCTCAGAAACTATAAGAGCTAGAATAACCAAAGTTGGCATCCAGATTCTCCTAGGTCCGAGAAAGGACGAGTTTATTTTATTTTTTGGACTGTAGCGTTCTCTCTTGTTTTTTTTTTCAATCCTGGAACGAAACTCTTCACGTTTACTATTATGTGATTTATGTTGACAATAGATTTTTAACAAAGTGTTGCCAAGTGTTCTTAAGGTTAACCGTAATTTGTATGAAATCAAACAAATTCTTGCTGGTCCGGTATTCGAAGATACAATTGAATTGTTCAATTTGAAAAGTTTTGCCTTTGAGTGGGCAGCAGTCGAGTTTGCATCTGCAAAAAATATCTGTTTTTAAAAAAGTCACGAATTTGTAAATATTGCTTAAACAATATCGTGTTTCTAGCAATTCTATAAATATTCTAAAAATTAAAAAAAGTATTGTTATGTCTATATTGCTTGGATTAATAGGAATATTGCGAATGTTGAAACATCGAATGTAGCTTTAAGTCCGGATTTTATATGCTAAATAAGTTGCCGGTTGTTCCTGTTTTTTTCTGCCTTCGATTAATTTCTTAATGGTTATTTTTATGAGTTACAGGAACAAACAAACGTTTTTGCGCCTAAATATAAATAAGCTTTAAAAACGATTGCGTTATTGTTTTATTTTCATTTAATTTAAACCAAATAAATGTGAAGTTTTCTTCCCCTCCTCTTTAAAGGCTAACAGCACTTTTCAAATAGTGTATCTAAACAAGAGCTCCTCAAGCGTAAATGTCATAGAGATAATTAGATCTAAATTGATTTTGTAGGTAAACCCCCTTTTAAATTAACATTTAATTGGCTACCGATCGCTCATTTTGATTTGGCGAACAATGTAGGTAATAGAATTACATAATTTGCAATTTGCATTTCATTTGGGAGCTACAGCAACAAATTTGATAGACAGTGTGATACAAAGTTTGGATTTTTAGTGTCTGTCTATACAGGCATTAAAAAAATGCCTTTGTTGACTATCCACGCAATTTCGTCATCGGCAAATGTATTTTTAATACTTCAGACCTCACCACAAGATTGCCGAATTGTCTTGGCGTGCAAAAGTC